GTTCTCCAGGTGTCATTTAAAAATCCATTACCTGGCGGGGCTCAATGGCTCACACCTGTAATCCCAGCACTTTGGGAGGCCGAGGCAGGTCGATCACCAATCTGAGGTCGGGAGTTCGAGACCAGCCTGACCAACATGGGGAAACCCCGTCTCTACTAAAAATACAAAAAAATTAGCCGGGAATGGTGGTGGGCGTCTGTCATCCCAGCTACTCAGGAGGCTGAGGCAGGAGAATTGCCTGAACCGGGAGGTGGAGGTTGCAGTGAGCTGAGATTGCATCATTGCACTCCAGCCTGGGTGACAAGAGTGAAATTCCGTCTCAAAAAAAAATGCATTACCCAGGGAAATGGGAGATTCAACAATACAGAGGGGAGCAATCATGGGTGAAAAATAAAAAACTATTTCATGTATGAGCATCTCTGAATTGAGACTGCCCAATAAAGTGATTATATTTGTCATGTAATCAGATTTATTCCTACCCAACAACTAAGTATGGGCACCATGCTTAGGGGCAGTGGGAATGTTTATTTCAAAAGGTAGAGTACATAAGATCTGGCTGAAGGAGTGGGAGTTTGTGTTCTCTGTTCACCTGGATCTCCAAGCTATGTACATTCAGAGATTGTCAGCCAGGCACAGTGCCTCTCACCTGTAATCTCAGCACATTGGGAGGTTGAGATGGGAGGATTGCTTGAGCCTAGGAGTTCAAGATTAGCCTGGGCAACATAGTGAGACCCCGTATCTACAGAAAATTTTAAAATTAGCCAAGTGTAGTGGCGCATGGCTGTAGTCCCTGCTACTCAGGAGGCTGAGGCAGAAGGATCACTTGAGTCCAAAAGTTCAAGGCTGCAGTGAGCTGTGACCACTGCACTCCAGCCTGGGAGACAGAGTAAGACCCTGTCTCAAATATATATATATATATCTATATATCTGGAGAGAGAGAGAGAGTCAATATCCCTTCTTTCCTGAATCTTCTCTCTATTGTTTTTTATTTTAAGACAGAGTCCTGCTCTGTTACCCAGACTGGAGTACAGTGGCATAATCTCAGCTCACTGCAGCCTCCACCTCCTGGGTTCAAGTGATTCTCCTGTCTCAGTCTCTCGAGTACCTGGGGTTACAGGTGCACACCACCATGCCCAGCTAATTTTTTGTATTTGTAGTAGAGATGGAACTTCAGTATGTTGGCTAGGCTGGTCTTGACCTCTTGAACTCTGGTGACCTCCCGACCTCGGCCTCCCAAAGTGCTGGGATTATAGACGTGAGCCACCACATCCAATCTGAATCTTCTCTCTTATTGATATTTTAATTTTTTTTGTTTTTTTTTTTTTTTTTTTTTTTGAGACGGAGTCTTGCTCTGTCACCCAGGCTGGAGAGCAGTGGCGCAATCTTGGCTCACTGCAAGCTCCGCCTCTCAGGTTCACGCCATTCTCCTGCCTCAGCCTCCTGAGTAGCTGGGACTACAGGCACCCACCACCACGCCCAGCTTTTATATATATATATATATACATTTTTTTTTTTTTTTTTTGTATTTTTAGTAGAGACGGGGTTTCACCGTGTTAGCCAGGATGGTCTCGATCTCCTGACCTCGTGGTCTGCCCACCTCGGCCTCCCAAAGTGCAGGGATTACAGGCGTGAGCCACCGCACCCGGCAATATATTTTTAAATTCTTATTAGGCAACACTGAAATGTCCATGAAGATGGTTCACCTATGGGAATGAAAATTACAAGCTATTGTCTTTTGAGGATAAATGGAACATATTCCTTAGTTTCCTACAAAGGGCCCTTGTCTCTTCCTGTGAGACTTTTTCAAATACATATTTTGGACATTTCTCTTTCATTATCAGACTGTGGCAAGGAGGAAATTGCATGCAGAAATAACTCTCTAGGATGAGCAGAGCCTGCTCTATCCCTTTCCAAGCCTTCTGTGACCTCCCAACTGGAAGTGATAGCAGCAGCACCCCACCTGGAGTGGCCACTGCCATGATGCTGGCTGCAATGGGGGAGCCACAGCTGGGACCGCAGCACTCCACGGAGCTGGAGGGAGCTGGGAACACATGGCGCCCCCACTCCTTCCAAGTTGGAGGGACAGGAGACCCTCCCTCCCAGGAGTAGCTGCAGCAACCCAGTCACAGCCGCAAACCCGGGCTCCCCTTCAGCAGTGACTCCACCAGCTTTCACAACATGGAAGTCAAACTTAGGCACCCTAGTTTCTAGGGTGCCCTTCAGGAACTTTTATTCGTTCAGGGCAGCCAGCCAATTTTTAAGCGTAGTGTCTCTTTGTAATCATAAATCATTATGTTTCATTAATCTTTCAACACTTTCGTCTTTGAGTTCTTTCGAAATTCTTGGGTGGATACCACTTGATCTTGTCAGCTGAGCTTGTTTGCTGACAGGTCTAGAACCTTGGGGTTACCAATGTTATTGCCTACATTCCCTCTGACTATCTGTGGGACCAATAACCTCATTTCTTGGAATCCATCCTTAGGAAGTAATCAAAGATGTTGAGGCCAGGTGCGGAGGCTCACACCTGTAATCCCAGCACTTTGAAAGGCCAAGGTAGGCGGATCACTTGAGGCCAAGAGTTCGAGACCAGCGCGGCCAACATGATAAAACCCCATCTCTACTAAAAATACAAAAATTAGCCAGGCATGGTGAGTGCACACCTGTAATCCCAGCTACTTGGGAGGCTGAGGCATGAGAATCGCTTAAGCCCAGAAAATGGAAGTTGCAGTGAGCCGAGATCACGCCATTGCACTCCAACATGGCAACTGAGGGAAACTCTCTCTCAAAAAAAAAAAAAAGAAAGAAAAGAGGCCAGGTGCAGTGGCTTACACCTGTAATCTTAGCACTTTGGGAGGCTGAGGCTGGCGGATCACTTGCCGCCTCTGCCACCCCTGAGACAGCACGAACAACCCTTCCTCTTCCTCCTCAGCTTACTCAATGTGAAGATGGTGAGGATGAAGACCTTGATGATGATCTATTTCCACTTAATGAATAGTAAATATATTTTCTCTTCCTTAAAAAACAGTGTTCACATAATATGAATGTAGCAGATACTTCCAAGATACCAACCTCCTCTTCAATACAACTACGACTATGGCTTTGAACAGTGTTTAAAATAATATCAATAAATATTTATTTGTATATGAAAACAGGAAAAAGGTAAACTAAAGCCATGGGGGTTGTGTTAGGGTAGAGGGATTACAGGTAATTATTTTTCTCCATTTTGCAAATTTCCTTTAATGATACTGTCGTTGCTTTTTTTTTTTTTTTTTTTTGGATACGGAGTCTAGCTCTGTCCCTAGGCTGGAGAGCAGTGGTGCGATCTCGGCTCACTGCAACCTCCGCCTCTGGGGTTCAAGTGATTTTCCTGCCTCAGCCTCACAAGTAGCTGGGACTATAGACATGTGCCACCATGCCCAGCTAATTTTGGTATGTTTAGTAGAGACAGGGTTTCACCATATTGGCCAGGATGATCTCAATCTCTTGACTTTATGATCCACCCACCTTGGTCTCATAAACTGCTGGGATTACAGTCATGAGCCACCATGCCCGGCCCTTTTTTTCTTTTTTGAGATGGCATCTCGCTCTGTGGCCCAGACTGGGGTGCAACGGCACAATCATAGCTCACTGCAGCCTCAACTTCCTGGGCTCAATCCATCCTTCTACCTCAGCCTACCAAGCAGCTGGGACCACTGGCACATGCCATCATGCACCCAGCTAATTTTAGTATTTTTTGTAGAGACAGGGTCTCATTACGTTGCTTAGGCTGGTCTCCAACTCTTGGGCTCAAGAATCCTCCCGTCCCAGCCTCCCCAAGTGCTAAGATTACAGGCTTGAGTCATCATGTCTGGCCCTGTCATTGCTTTTTAGTTTTCAAACATTTTTTAAAAGGTAAATCTGGCCGGGCACGGTGGCTCACACCTGTAATCCCAGCATTTTGGGAGGCTGAGGTGGGTGGATCACGAGGTCAGGAGATCAAGACCATCCTGGCAAATATGGTAGAACCCTGTTCTCTACTAAAAATACAAAAATTAGCTGGGCATGGTGGTGTGCGCCTGTAGTCCCAGCTACTCAGGAGGCTGAGGCAGGAGAATCGCTTGAACCTGGGAGGTGGAGGTTGCAGTGAGCCAAGATCTTACCACTGCACTCCAGCCTGGGTCACAGAGCGAGACTCCATCTAAAAAATAAAAGTAAATCTCTCCAAGCAGTAAGAGTCATGCAACCAAGCTACTGAGTTCAGTTTCTCCCATGAACTTGTCTCGGAACGTAGTGGAAGTCACAACCATTAAAGCCTGTAGCCCCCCCACCCTTGCACAAGGTGGCCCCCTCTTACGCGTGCCTTACCCTGCAAGGCTGTAATTGTGGTAGGTTGTGAAAGCACTTTGAAGGTAAAAGTGTCTGTTGATACTTCGAAAACTGCTTTTAAACAGCTATAATAGCATATGCCACATGAACAAAGCACAGAACCTTATAACTATGCTTGCTTGTGGAAAGACATCCCTTGTCCACAGACCAAGTATTTGAAACTACCACTCCATACAGCTCCAGGGCCCTGAGAGAATGGTAGCCATGGCAGCTTTGGGAAACCAGCCACCCTTGGCTTCACTTTGATCTTCCTCTGTCTACACCCTTGTTTCATTTCCTCTGCCACAGACGTTCAATTACCAGGTACTATTATTGCTTGATAATAACTATAATTACTACAAGGACTGCCTGAGATGAAAAAGACAGGTGAAATCGAACTTTCACATGGACTCGTGTCTGAGCTGGGGAGTCTGTTTGAGTTTGAGTCAGGGAAAGCCTCAAACCCCCCACCACCCGCTCCCGTTGGTCCCCGCATTAACTGGGGGCGAACAAGGACCAGACCCTCCAAGCTGGAGGCTTGAAAACTCAAGGGCAAGCGCCTGGTCCAGCGATTCGGAAACCGAGATGCAAAGTCCTCCCGCGCTCCTAGAGAGGACCCGGAAGCGCGGCGCGGTCCCGGAAGACGAGGTGCTGACACACTTCCGGCCTTTGTGACTCATTGTGTCTGTGTCGAGGCGTCGGGAGGGCCTATATCCGAGTGCGGTGCCCTTCGGCCGGCCTGAGCCCCAGAGTCAGCTCCCCTTTCTCGCCCAGCGCCCTCAGGCCGCTCCCGGGGCTCACGGTGAGACTTGGGGCCGGCCTCTGGGGTGGGCGGGCGGGGCCGCAAGGGTGTGTGCGCGAGGGTGGGCTCCGCAGCTGCGGCCCTGGGACCCCCTCCAGGCGGCCCCGGTGTTGTGAGAAGAGAGTCCATGCCCCTGCCTCCTGGCCGGGCCCGGCCGTAGGAAGCATCGCTGTCCTTGGGAGACGTCCCCACCCCACCTCCGGGACCAGGCTGGGAGGGGGCGAGGGTTTCAGTGGCCGAGGGTGCCCGGAGACGTGGGGAGAAGCCGTCTGCGGGACCCTCTCCCGCAGTGTCGTCATCGCCCTTTGGCATTTCTGCAAAGGGGGTCGCGAGCGAACCGACCCCGGTCTTGATTTTTCTGTTCTCCTTTCGTCGCCATTTGCTTTGATTCCGATGAGGTGTTTTTTCCCCACCTGGTTCCTTCGGGACCTTGAGGTGAAATGAGCGGAAGGATGAGAGATGGACACATTTTGAGGTGCCGCATACGTTTCCAGACCTGCCTTTCCTCCTCCTGCCCTCATCACTGAGCTGTGATTAAACAGTATTTGAAGCCTAGTCATAGTGGATAAAGAAGTGATTGGGATCTAGTAGAGATTATATACACCCCACTCTTTCAGCTTGATGGAATGCTTTGAAGGCTTTGGAAAAGATCTGTCCGGGACGTTGGGTGGATTTTTCAATTCTGGATAGTTGCTCTGTTTGACATGGAGTGGGATGAGAAGTGGAGGGAATTTGTGGAAATTGCACTGTGTCACTAGGAGACTGATTAGCTGAGTGACCTTGGATAAGACGAGACACACTAAGTCTTAATTTCGCCATCAATAAAACTAACTGGATTTTCTCAAAAGGCCCTTCCGACTTCGAAATGATTTGGTCAATGTAGTTGAAAAATTAACTACTGTTTAGCTTGACACTCCTCCGTCCCTCCCCTCCCTTTCCTGCAGTGCCCCCGGTACACAATAAGATACTTTCATTATAGAGAGTGGCTGTTCCATGGCCTGCGACCAAAGAAAGCATTTATTGTACGGGCCAGTGCTAGGCGGATTGGAGGCGGTCAATAAATACTTGTTGAATTGAATTGTGGAGAATTCATTGTAACCACATCAACAAAGCACTGTTAGTATATATGCTGAACACATGTGGGGAAATCGCTGTGTTACATAGGTAACCATGGTGATTTGCCCCAGAATGTGTATCCAGGTTTGTATCTTCTCTAAATTACCATATAATATTCTTGTTTATTTCAGGCAGTTTTCACCACTCTTAAAATACTAACGGGGAAGCTAGCTACTTAGTCTTTTGCTCATTCTCGATTTAAAAGCATTTAAAATACAGATAAATAGCGTATTAAATCTAACATTTTCATTCTGTGGGAGTATCAATATTCTTTGAATAACTACATGTATTTTAAGGTAACTTTTTCATATTAAAACATTTGATAGCTCTTTAAAAAAAATGAGTGTAAAGGGCAAAGGGCAATTTATTTAAACTTTTTTTTTCTTTTTTTTTTTTTTTGAGACAGAGTCTTGCTCTGTCGCCCAGGCTAGAGTGCAGTGGTGCAATCTCGGCTCACTGCAACCTCTGCCTCCCGAATTCAAGCGATCCTCCTGCCTCAGCCTCCCGAATAGCTGGGACTACAGGCATGTGCCACAAGGCCTGGCTGATTTTTGTGTTTTTAGTAGAGAGAGAGTTTTGCCATGTTGGCCAGGCTGGTCTCGAACTCCTGATCTCAGGCAATCTGCCCACCTCGGCTTCCCAAAGTGCCGGGATTACAGGCGTGACCCACCGTGTGCCCAGCCTTTATTTACACTTTCAACACTATGCCCTGGAAAAATACTGGGCTGTTTAGAAAACAGCCTTTGAGCTTGTAACTTCAAGCCCTTGTTTAAGAAAATCATTTGTTTATCCTAGGTGAGAACTGGGGTATCCTTAGCTGCTGGGGGTAATTTTATTTAAAGTGGATGGTATGTCAGTATGGTTTTCAGCCCATATTGACCCAGAGGTAGTTTCCTACTATCTGGAACCCCCACCCTACCCCCATTTGACTGATAAGGATACAAAATGCCAGAGAAGTTAAATACCTCACTCAGGGATGTGCCACTTATTGTGGGAGACTAGAATTCAGTTATTGACGCCTGTGCAGCTTTCACTATTACCGGAGTTGTCCCATTGCTTAATCTGAAAATTGGAATGTGCAGGCTGAAAATTGGAATGTACAGTTACATCTTTTAAGCTTATTGAAAAAAATTAAGACATTTCTGTAGTGCCTAGTAAATGCCAGGCACTATTTTAGGTGCTTTATATCTATTACCTCATTTAATCCTCACAGCAACTCTATGGGACAAATGCTGATTTTTACTCCCATTATACAGATGAGGAAACTGACACAGAGAGAGGTTAACTTGTTGACTTGCCTAAGGTCATCAACTAGTAAGGGGTGGAGCAGCTTTAATGCTAACCTGAAACTCATCCAGCTAGCCCATGGAACAAATTTGAGGGCAACATTGAATGTAGAATGAACAGGCTTTTAAAAAATAGTAACATTGGGCCAGGCACGGTGGCTCAAGCCTGTAATCACAGCACTTTGGGAGACTGAGGCGGGCGGATCATGAGGTCAGGAGATCGAGACCATCCTGGCTAATATGGTGAAACCCCATCCCTACTAAAAATACAAAAAAAAAAAAAAATGACCGGGCGCAGTGGCTCACGCCTGTAATCCCAGCACTTTGGGAGGCACGAGGTCAGAAGATCGAGACCATCCTGGCTAACACGGTGAAACCTCGTCTCTACTAAAAATACAAAAAAATTAGCTGGGCACGGTGGCGGGCGCCTGTAGTCCCAGCTACTCAGGAGGCTGAGGCAGGAGAATGGCATGAACCTGGAAGGTGGAGCTTACAGTGAGCCGAGATCAGGCCACTGCACTCCAGCCTGGGTAACAGAGCAAGACTCCATCTCAAAAAAATAATAATAATAACATTGTCAATTCAGTCAAGGGTATTTTTAAAACAGGCTTGCAAGGAATCATGCAAAGTGGTCTAAGAAGTACAAAGAGGCATGCTCTTGATAATCTAGTTGAGGAAGAAGGCAAGAAAAATTAGAAAGAAACACCGTGAGAAATTACCTAGCAAATGTTTGGTGAAGAGTATTAGGGCATTTTAGAGACAGTAGAGAAGACTCTGTGCTCAGATCATCTGGCAAACCTAAGATAAAACCCAGCCTTTCCACTGCTGTGATGGGTCTTCCCTGGACCCCAGAGTAGGAGCAGAGAGATACTGAGGGTGAGGAGGACGACCTATCCCAGTTGGGGGCAGAGGGAATGTGCCAATATCCGTGTCTATTTCCCCCAGACTCATATCCTCCTTAGAGTTGTGTCCTGTTGATTCCCACTGACCCAAGAAATGTTCTGCTCAATAGCTGAGGCAGGATAAAACTTGCACAGAAGTAGGGATTTCTGGTGGCTGGACTCGCTGTCACACTAGTTCTGCTCAGTTACCATGTTTGAAGATCCCACCTGGTTATGTTGTAGACAGTCCCCACTTGAATCTACTGCTGTGTCTCCTCCCTTTCCCAGGAAGGGCTTCAGTCACATAGTGACCCTCCAGTGAAAACTGGGTAGTAGATGAGCCCCTTTCCTGAGTGATTTTTTATTTTTTTTTCTTCGAGAAAGAGTCTCGCTCTGTCATCCAGGCTGGAGTGCAGTGGCACGATCTCGGTTCACTGCAGCCTCCATCTCCCAGGTTCAAGTGATTCTCCTGCCTCAGCCTCCCGAGTAGCTGAGCTTAACAGGCATGTGCCACACACCCAGCTATTTTTTCTATTTTTAGTAGAAACGGGGTTTCTCCATGTTGGCCAGGCTGGCCTCAAGCTCCTGAGCCCAGGTGATCCACTCTCCTGGGCCTCCCAAAGTGCTGGGATTACAGGCGTGAGCCACCGCACCTGGCCCTGATTGATTCTTCATTGTCAGCTTCATAGGCCTTCATTTTAGGATCTGTATACCCCCCGTGTTAGGTACAAGATAAATTTTGTATCATGGTTAAAGAGTTTAAATTGGGGAGTCACTTTTATTTCAAATTCTGCCTCTACCATGTACTTGCTGGGTGACCTTGGGTAGGTTATTTAATGGCAGTATACCTCATTTATTTTTATTATTATTTTTTTTTTTGAGATGGAGTCTCGCTCTGTTGACCAGGCTGGATTGCAATGGTGCAATCTCGACTCAGTGCAGCCTCCGCCTCCCAGGTTCAAGCGACTCTTCTGCCTCAGCCTCCCAAGTAGCTGGGACTACAGGCGTGCACCACCACACCTGGCTAATTTTTGTATTTTTGGTAAAGACAGGGTTTCTTTATGTTATCCAGGCTGGTCGTGAACTCCTGACCTCAGGTTATCTACCTGCCTTGGCCTCCCAAAGTGCTGGGATGACAGGCATGAGCCACTGCGTTGAGCCTCTCAGTTCTTTACATAGTGAGATAAGTGTAGCTACCTCCTAAGATTGTTATGTGGTCAAGTGAAAATGCTTAAATACCCGGTACCTAGAAAGCACTCAGGAAACGTTGGCTCTTACTGTTATACTTGAGAGGGTTCTTGAACAGCGAGGAGAGGCAAGTGGTGTTTTAGCTTAGCTTTAAAGGATAAATAGGATTTGAAAAGGCAGAGAGGACTCGGTGGGAAGTCCCAGGTGTGGAGTGTGATGTGAGGAAAGGATGGCAGTCAAAATACAAGGCATATATATGAGAGTGCTTTTGTTGCATAGTGAAGGTTTATGGGGGGATTGATGGGAAAAGAAGCTTGAGGGGAAGTTGGGACCGGGCACTGGAGAATATTGACTACAAGGCCATAGAGTTTTAGAAAGAATAATCTGAGAGGTGGATCGTGGTAGAGAAGGGAGAAAATGAAGGCAGGGAGCCAAAGAAAGGAAGCTGGACTTCATGGAACTAGATAAAAAAAATAAATATGGCCTGTAATCCCAGCACTTTGGGAGGCCGAGGCAGGTGGATCACTTGAGGCCAGGAATTTGAGACCAGCCTGGCCAACATGATGAAACCCTGTCTCTACTAAAAGTACAAAAATTAGCCGGGCATGGTGGTTAGTGCATGTAATCCCAGCTACTCGGGAGGCTGAGGCAGGAGAATCACTTGAACCCAAGAGGTGGAGGTTGCAGTGAGCTGAAATCATGCCATTGCACTCCAGCCTGGGCGATAAAGCAAGACTCCGTTAAAAAAAAAAAAAAAAAAAAAAAAGATTATTTTTGTGCTGTTATATGTACACAATCCCCTTTTCACCAAAATTAAGAATATGGTTAGTGAGAGCCATATAACTAAAAATGCTTTTGCTAGTTTAAAACTCTTGGTTTAACTCATCATGATAAAGCAGTCGAATTGTCTGTTTCTGAAACTTCAATTTGATGCTTAGTTTTGATGGCTGTAGAGGTGAAAAAGATAAATTCAGAAAGATTTGTAGCTTCAGATGGAAGAATCAGTGTCAGTTCTGCTTAGTAACTTGTGATTGATCCAACCCATCAACCATGCTAAATTTTTCCTGTTGAAATTCAAAGAGTATATTCTTACAAACTAATCAGGCGGTAGCATTTTATATTTTTAACAAATAGGCTTAAGACCCACCTGAAATTCTTCATTTGAAAGATTTTCAAACAGGTTAGAAAATATTTCCTAGTCTCACTATGTTGCCCAGGCTGGAGTGCAGTGGCGCAATCTCAGCTTACTGCAACCTCGACCTCCTGGGTTCAAGTGATTCTCCTGCCTCAGCCTCTCAAATAGCTGGGGTTACAGGCACCTGCCACCATGCCCAGTTAATTTTTTGTATTTTTAGTAGAGACGAGGTTTCACGATGATGGCCAGGCTGGTCTTGAACTCCTGACCGCAGGTGACCCCCGCTCCCCTGCTTCAGCCTCCCAAAGTGCTGGGATTATAGGCATGAGCCACTTCACCCAGTCCCAAGTTCCTAAAATGTGAACATAGATGGGTTTTTCCTGGATACTTGATATCACTTTTGGCAGTTAAATTACAGAACAATGGAACCATTTCATACAGCTGTTCTTGTAATTGCTCTTTCTTCACACTTTTTTTTAAAGAAGCTACTTTCTCACTCATTGGTGACTTTTTCTTTGATTTAGATTGACATTGGTTTTTACCTCCTAATGTGGCCAAAACGTTGCTCTAGATAGAAGCTTCATCTGTGCCATTTTCTTGTTGTTCACGTCTGTTTATATTACTAGTATGTCCTGCAATTGCGGTTTCTCTACAAGAATCTTTTTTTTTTTTTTCTTTTCCTAATAGGGCCTTGCTCTGTCACCCAGGCTGGAATGCAGTGGCGTCATCTTAGCTGACTGCAACCTCAAACTTCTGGTCTCATGCAATCCTCCCATCTTAGCCTCCTGAGTAGCTGTGACTGCAGACACGGTCCCCATGCCCAGCTAATTTTTTTTCTTTTTCACAGAGACAAGGTCTTGCTATGTTGCCCAGGCTGGTCTCAAACTCCTGGCCTCAAGCATCCTCCTGCCTCATCCTCCCAAAGGGCTGGAATTATAGGCATGAGCCACCACATCTGGCCACAAGAATCTTTAAAGCTGCTTGTCTCTTTTATGAGAGTAAGATTAGTTAAAGGTGGATTTTTTTTTTCTTTTTTCTTGTTTTGAGACAGAGTCTCGCTCTGTGGCCAGGACGGAGTGCAGTGGCACGATCTTGGCTCACTGCAACCTCAGCCTCCGGGGTTCAAGTGATTATCCTTCCTCAGCCTCCCAAGTAGCTGGGACTACAGGTGTGCGCCACCACGCCCAGCTAATTTTTGTATTTTTAGTGGAGACAGGGTTTCACCATGTTCACCAGGATGGTCTCAATCTCCTGACCTTGTGATCCACCCGCCTTGGGCTCCCAAAGTGCTGGGATTAACAGGCGTGAGCCACCGCGCCCGGCCAAAGCTAGATTTAGAAATCCATTATTTCACATAACTGGTCTCAGATAAACCGGGCTACATCCCAGTGTCTAAAATGAACAACACCTGTGACAGGTCAGCACAGACTAAGTAAGAGTATTAGTGTCAATTTGTTAAATATGGCTTAATTTCTCTCACTTTTAAGATACAGACATTCTGATTATTTTCTTTCTGTATCCCTTGCAGATCATCTTGTATTTTGGAAACCACAATTTAGACTGCCCAAGGCACCCATAAAAATAGTAAAAGTAGCTGGATGGTACAAAAGTAGGTCCCAGGGCTTCAAATTTGGTTGAATATTGACTCCAGTAGGCAGCCACCTGCTACTGAGCAAACCTAACCCCAGTTATGTCATCTGTAAAACGGCACTTAACAGTTTGGCCGACCTGCTAGGGCTGTTGTGGGGACAAAAGAAGATGGTGCATGTACTGCTTTAAGCCTGGCACCTGCCACTCTGTTAACATTCAGCTCTCTGGGCTGGGCACTGTCAATGCTCTGTTTCGTAACCTGCTGTCCACCTGCAGGTAAATCACTCTGACTCCAGGCAAACACCCTGAGGGTGGAGTTGGCCCGTTTGAGGTTTCTGATTGCAAATCTTGATATATGAAGTGACAGTGGAGACTGTAGTGTTTTACTCTATTTTTTAGGATTTTTTTTTTTTTTTTTTGACAGAGTTTAACTTCTTGTGTCCCAGGCAGGGAATACAGTGGCATAATCTCGGCTCACTACAACCTCTGCCTCCTGGGTTCAAGCAATTCTCCTGCCTCAGCTTCCCGAGTAGCTGGGATTACAGGCACCCGCCACCACACCCGGCTAAGTTTTGTATTTTTAGTAGAGATGGAGTTTCACCATGTTGGCCAGGCTGGTCTCGAACTCCTGACCTCAGGTGATCCGCCTGCCTCGGCCTCCCAGAGTGCTGGGATTACAGGCGTGAGCCACCACCCCTGGCCTCAGGAGCGTTCTGATAGTGCTTCAATGTGTTGCCTCCTATGAAGTGTTAGCAGCACAGATCACTTTTTATAAAGGTACTACAAAGGTACTAATGACTTTTTTTTTTTATACTTCAGGAATAGTACAGAAACACATCATAAAACCTCCCAGGACATAAAGGTGAGCACAGACCCTGTTTGGATCAAGTCAGTTCCTGGAGCCTGAATGATGACTGCTGAATCACGGGAAGCCACGGGTCTATCCCCACAGGCTGCACAGGAGAAGGATGGTATCGTAATAGTGAAGGTGGAAGAGGAAGATGAGGAAGACCACGTGTGGGGGCAGGATTCTAGCCTACAGGACACGCCTCCTCCAGACCCGGAGATATTCCGTCAACGCTTCAGGCGCTTCTGTTACCAGAACACTTTTGGACCCCGAGAGGCTCTCAGTCGACTGAAGGAACTTTGTCATCAGTGGCTGCGGCCAGAAATCAATACCAAGGAGCAGATCCTGGAGCTGCTGGTGCTGGAGCAGTTTCTTTCCATCCTGCCCAAGGAGCTCCAGGTCTGGCTGCAGGAATACCGCCCCGATAGTGGAGAGGAGGCTGTGACCCTTCTAGAAGACTTGGAGCTTGATTTATCAGGACAACAGGTAAAAAGAGGTGAAACCTGTTATGTGTGAGCAGGACACAGACGTTGAAAGTAGAGCCAAAAATATTGGCAGTCTTTAGGTCATTAGGTAGTCACTCTGTCTAAAAAATGTTCTGTCTTTCTCCCTGCATCCACTGGCATACTCATGGTCTGTTTTTAAATATTGTAGTTCCCATTTACAGAGTGATTTACCCACAAGCCCAACCTGTCTGTCTTCAGGTCCCAGGTCAAGTTCATGGACCTGAGATGCTCGCAAGGGGGATGGTGCCTCTGGATCCAGTTCAGGAGTCCTCGAGCTTTGACCTTCATCACGGGGCCACCCAGTCCCACTTCAAACATTCATCTCGGAAACCCCGCCTCTTACAGTCACGAGGTAAGAAGCAAGGTTTCATTTGGGGGAAGGGAAATGATTCAGGACGAGAGTCTTCTTTGTGCTGCTGAGTGCCTGTGATGAAGAAGCACATTAGGCCTGGGCAACATAGCGAGACCCTATCTCTACAAAAAGTAGAAAAATTGGCCAGGTGCGGTGGCTCACGCCTGTAGTCTCAGCACTTTGAGAGGCCAAGGTGGGCGGATCACAAGGTCAGGAGATCGAGACCATCCTGGCCAACATGGGGAAACCCCATCTCTACTAAAAATACAAAAAATTAGCCGGGCGTGGTGGCGGACACCTGTAATCCTCAGGAGGCTGAGGCAGGAGAATGGCGTGAATCTGGAGGTGGAACTTGCAATGAGGCGAGATCGCACCACTGCACTCCAGCCTGGGTGACAGAGTAAGACTCCGTCTCTCAAAAAAAAAAAAAATAGAAAAATTAGCCGGGTATGGTGACACACACCTGTGATTCCAGCTACTCAGGAGGCTGAGGTGGGAGGATTGCTTGAGCCCAGGAGGTTGAGGCTGCAGTGAGCTGTAATCACGCCACTGTACTCCAACCTGGGCAACAGAGCAAGGACCCTGTCTCAAAAGCTACTTACAGAAAAGAATTAGCCTGGGCATGGTAGCTCACACCTGTAATCCCAGCACTTTGGGAGGCTGAGGCAGGCAGATCACTTGAGGTTAAGAGTTTGAGACCAGCCTGACCAACATGGTGAAACCCTGTCTCTACTAAAAATATGAAAATTAGTCAGGCATGTTGGTGCATGCCTGTAATCCCAGCTACTCGGAGGCTAAGGCAAGAGAATCACTTGAACCCGGGAGGTAGAGGTTGCAGTGAATCGAGAACCCACCACTGAGCTCTAGCCTGGGTGATAGAGTGAGACTCTGTCTTATAAATAAATAAATTAATTAATTAATTAAAAATTTTTTAAAAAGCTGCATGCTTGTTTTTTGTTGTTAGTTATTTTATATTGTTGTCATTATTCCCAAATATTGGGGAAAATGCAACTTACAGACCAATCTCAGGAGTTAAGTTACTACGAAGGCAAATGAACTATGCATAATGAACCTAGTAGGCATTATTTATTGAATTATCAGCATTCCAGGTGTCCAGCACATTTTTAATAGGAAAGTTTTGGGAACAGATGTTATTATTTCCAGCCTAGGTTTTAAAGCACTCTAGTATGTCATAAATTATCTTCAAAAGGATCAGAAATCTTGTTTAAAGATCTATTTTATTTAAAATATATAAAAATAATCACTGCACTCCAGCCTGGGTGACAGAGTGAGATTCTGTCTCAAAAAAAAAAAAAAAACTATAGCATCAGTCTTTTCTAGGTTATTTTCAGAAATTTCAAACAATGAGAAAGAATGAAAAAACTTTTGAGGGGAGTTGAGGAACATGAAAAAAGATCATTTCACAGTCTTTTTTTTTTTTTTTTTTGAGACGGAGTCTCGCTCTGTCGCCCGGGCTGGAGTGCAGTGGTGCCATCTCAGCTCACTACAAGCTCCGCCTCCCGGGTTTACGCCATTCTCCTGCCTCAGCCTCCCGAGTAGCTGGGACTATAGGCGCCCACCACCTCGCCCGGCTAGCTTTTTGTATTTTTTCGTAGAGACGGGGTTTCACTGTGTTAGCCAGGATGGTCTCGATCTCCTGACCTCGTGATCCGCCTGCCTCGGCCTCCCAAAGTGCTGGGATTACAGGCTTGAGCCACCGCGCCCGGCCCACAGTCTTATAAATAAAAAGTCAAGTTGTTTTTTCCCTTTGATGGAAAAATGTAATATCATTATCCAATTTTAAAATCAAAGTGTGTGCATAGAATGTCTGTAAAAACAAGGAAATGCTAAAAGTACAGTCATTTATCACTTAATGGCAGGGATATGTTATGGTAAGTGCAATGTGAAGTGATTTTGTTATGCGAACATCATAAAGTATACTTACACAAACCTGGATGGTCTAGCCTACTGCACACCTAGGCTACAGACCTGTACAGTATGTTACTGTACTAAACACTGTAGGGAATTTAACACAGTGGTAAGTATTTGTGTATCTAAACATAGAAAAAGTAAAAACCGAGTATAAAAGATTTTTAGTCCTGGCACGGTGGCTTACGCTTGTAATCCCAGCACTTTGGGAGGCCGAGGTGGGTGGATCACTTGAGGTTAGGAGTTTGTGACCAGCCTGGCCAACAGGGTAAAGCCCAGTCTCTACTGAAAATACAAAAATTGGCTGAGCACAGTGGCTCACACCTATAATCCCAGCGCTTTGGGTGGCCAAGGCAGGTGGATCACCTGAGGTCAAGAGTTCGAGACCAGCCTGACCAACATGGAGAAACCCCGTCTTTACTAAAAATACAAAATTAGCCAGGCATGATGGCACATGCCTGTAATCCCAGCTACTTGGGAGGCTGAGGCAGGAGAATCACTTGAACCCGGGCAGCAGAGGTTGCAGTGAGCTGAGATCACGCCATCATCACGCCATCAAACTCTAGCCTGAGCAACAAGAGCGAAACTAGTCTCAAAAAAAAAAAATATATATATATATATACACACACACCTGTATGGAACACTTATCCGTGAACAGAGCTTGCAGGACCGGAAGTTGCTCTGGATGAGTCAGTGAGTGGTGAGTGAATGTGAAAGCCTAGGACATTACACTACCGTAGACTCTAGAAACACTGTACACTTAGGCTACACTGAATTTATCTCAAAAATTTTTGTTTCTTCAATTTCTAAAAATATGAAAATCAGCCAGGTATGGTGGCTCATGGCTTAATCCCAGCACTTTGGGAGGCCAAGGCAGACGGATCACTTGAGACCAGGAGTCTGAGACTGGTCTGGCCAACATAGTGAAACTCCATCTCTACAAAATACAAAAAATTAGCCAGGCGTGGTGGTGCACGCCTGTAATTCCAGTTACTCAGGAGACTGAGGCACAAGAATCACTTGAACGTGGTAGGTAGAGGTTGCGGTGAGCCGAGATTGCACCACTGCACTGCAGCCTGGGTGACAGAGTGACACTCTGTCTCAGAAAAATAAATAAATAAATAAATAAATAAAAATTAGCTTACTGTAACTTTTTTTACTTTATGAACTTTTTGGGTTTTTTTTAACTTTTTGACTGTTGTAATAACACATAACTCAAAACACAAACATGTTGCACAGCTGTACAAAAACATTTTTTTATTCTCCTATAAGGGTTTTTCTAGTTAAAAAAATTTTATTTTATACTTTTTAAACTTTTTTGTTAAAAATTCATACACACTCCAGTCTGGGCAACAGAGCAAAAGTCCGTCTCAAAAAAAAAAAAAAAGGCCAGGCGCAGTGGCTCATGCCTGTAATCCCAGCACTTTGGGAGGCCAAGGTAGGCAAATCACGAGGTTAGGAGTTCGAGACTAGCGTGGCTAACATGGCGAAACTCTGTCTCTACTAAAAATACAAAAATTAGCTGGTTTTGGTGGCATACACCTATAATCACAGCTACTCAAGAGGCTGAGGCACAAGAACGCTTGAACCCGGGAGGCGGAGCTTGCAGTGAGCCGAGATTGCATCACTGCACTCCAGCCTGGGCGACAGAGTGAGACTCCGTCTCAAAAACAAAACAAAACAAAAAAACACGCACCATGATGTTTAACTCCACCACTGTTGATGTCCTTATAAGTTTTCTCCACACTCCACAAGCAGAAGTCACAGGGGGGTGACCTCAGGAAACTGGAGAGGATATTCATGGTCTTAAGCACTTGATTATAGAGTTTAGGTTGCCAGAGTAACAATTTCAAAGACCCTGGCACACACAGTTACTCTTTAGTAAATAGTTCTTAAATGAACTGAGACATGTACATTTATTCTCAATTTCCTCTTTGTCTTGTTTTTCAGAGTGTTTCCTAACTCTCAGAAGGTTAAAAAATTAACTACTTGGGGCCGGGCGCGGTGGCTCAAGCCTGTAATCCCAGCACTTTGGGAGGCCGAGACGGGCGGATCACGAGGTCAGGAGATCGAGACCATCCTGGCTAACACGGTGAAACCCCGTCTCTACTAAGAAATACAAAAAAAAAATTGCCGGGCGAGGTGGCGGGTGCCTGTAGTCCCAGCTACTCGGGAGGCTGAGGCCGGAGAATGGCGTAAACCCGGGAGGCGGCGCTTGCAGTGAGCTGAGATCCGGCCACTGCACTCCAGCCTGGGCTACAGAGCGAGACTCCGTCTCAAAAAAAAAAAAAAAAAAAAATTAAGTACTTGGGACCAGGCACAGTGACTCATGCCTGTAGTCCCAGCACTTTGGGAGGCTGAGGCGGGCAGATCATAAGGTCAAGAGATGGAGACCATCCTGGCCAACATGGTGAAACCCCATCTCTACTAAAAATACAAAAATTATCTGAGCATGGTGGCAGATGCCTGTAGTCCCAGCTACTCGGGAGGCTGAGGCAGGAGAATCGCTTGAACCCAGGAGGTGGAGGTTGCAGTGAGCCAAGATCACACCACTGCATGCCAGCCTGGGTGATAGAATGAAACTCCGTCTCAAAAAAAAAAAAACCGTACTTGGTTGGGTGCGATGGCTTACATCTGTAATCCCAGCATTTTGGGAGACCAAGGTGGGAGGATCACTTGAGCCCAGGAGGTCAAGGCTGCAGTGAGACATGTTTGAGCACTGCATTCCAACCTGGGTGACAGCCCATTTTATTATTGTATGGTTTGAAATAGGTACAAAGTTTGGTCATTCCGTTTCAAATTCATTTCTCAAATATACTTGTATCTCACTAACATCATCTGTCTACCAGTAACATTTCCAAATCTAATAGTACTTGGCAAGAGGTGGTGGGGAGGGGGTTAAATTGTACAATTTAAAATTTTCCTAATTCTTTTTTTTTTTTTTTTTTTTTTTTTTTTTTTAGACGTCTCTTGTGCCCAGTGAGTCAGTGCGATCTAGCTCACTGCAAGCTCCCTCCGTTCACGCCATTCTCCGCCTCAGCCTCCTCTGGATACAGCCCCCACCTCCCGCTATTTTTTTTTCTTAATAGACGTTTCCCTTTACAGATGTCTCTCCTCTCGTTCCCCGTCTCGCCTCCAAATGCTGGATTACAGCTTGACCACCGCCCCCAAATTTTCCTAATTCTTATGCATCACAGTTATTGTGATCATATGATAATGTTAAACTTTTGTCTCTCAGCATTTGAACCATGCATACATCTTATCAAAAAACAAAACAAACAAACAAAAAAAACAGTATTTATTGTGGCCAAGTGAGGGAGAAAAGTAGAGGGACAAAAAGTGGCAAAAACTTAGCCAGAGGTGGCCGGACGCAGTGGCTAACACTTGTAATCCCAGCACTTTGGGAGGCCGAGGCGGGCAGATCACCTAAGGTCAGGAGTTTGAGACCAGCCTGACCAACATGGAGGAACCCCGCCCCTACTAAAAATACAAAATTAGCCAGGCATGGTGGCGCGCCTGTAGTCCCAGCTACTCTGGAGGCTGAGGCAGGAGGATCTCTTGAACCCGGGAGCCGAAGGTTGCGGTGAGCTGAGATCGCATAATTGCACTCCAGCCTGGGCAACAAGGACAAAAGTCTGTCTCAAAAAAAAAAAAAAGAAACCTAGAGCTAAGGAGACCTCCTTACTTCCCTCCCTTTCTGGATATTGCTACTAAAGTGTTTTTTTTTGGCGGGGGGGTTTTCATTGAGTCATTGAGACGGGGTCTCACTCTGTCATCCAGGCTGGAGTGCGTGATCATAGCTCACTGCAGCCTCGACCCCTTGGACTCAAGCGATCCTCCCGCCTCAGCAGCCACTGAAGATTTTAAAGCTGTGTTGTGTTTTCTACAAGTGTAGACATAAATGGGATTCTCATATCCTGGTATCGTTCCTTGGACTGGAGGAAATTAGGAGCCAGACTTGAGTCATGGGCTGAAGGTACCCACTTTCATAGCTGAGAATAGGAACCTGGGTTCCCATCCTGGCTCTGCCACTGGGAATGTGACATTAGGGAAGTCATTTGCACTCTCAAAGACTCAGTTTCCCCTTCTTTAAAATAAAAGGGTTGGACCAGGTGATTAGGACCCTTTTATGACTCCTGGTCAGGAGTAGAGGTCTTGGGAAAACTGAGGCCCTGTGTTCTCTCATTTGTGTTGTCTGGAATTCTCTGTTTGGGACCTAAACATTGAACAGTGGCTGGTGCAGGAAGGAATGTGCCCCGAGCCCTTCCTTGAGCAAGGCTCAGAGCAGAGCTGATTTACTCACAGCCCCTTTCTCCTCCCCCAGCTCTTCCTGCTGCCCATGTTCCTGCTCCCCCTCATGAGGGTAGTCCCAGAGACCAAGGGATGGCATCTGCACTATTCACAGCGGATTCCCAGGTGAGCTGTGGCCCCTCTGCTCTCCTGAGTCCCCAGCATCTGCCTCTGTTCCTGAGCTCTCTTCGTGGTCTCCACAGGCCACTCTGGATGCCCCTGCTCTCAAAGAAGCCCCAACCCTGTCCCCTCCTTTTAGCATCTTTCTACCACAAACTTCCCCCCACCCCCAGGTTCTGGCCACCCTTTTCTTCCCAGCATCCTGTAGCTTTGCAGCCACCTCTGTTCCTGACTCCAGGTTTGAGCAATGGGATTGTCCCTGAGTTTGGGGGGAAATGACTGTTTGTCTCCTGTTATTTCAGGCAATGGTGAAGATTGAGGACATGGCTGTGTCCCTCATTCTGGAGGAATGGGGATGTCAGAATCTGGCTCGGAGGAATCTCAGCAGGGACCACAGGCAGGAGAATTATGGGAGCACATTTCCCCAGGGTAAGACGGATGCAGGCTTACTGTCTGGTAAGATGGTTTTGTCTCTGTGTGTTAGCTGTGGAATCTCTGATGTGTTCAACTGGGTGTTGGTGAGGAGTTAGAGACTACCTACCCCCCCACTTTTTTTTTTTTTTTTTTTTTTGAGATGGAGTCTCACTCTGCCGCCCAAACTGGAGTGCAGTGGCCGGATCTCAACTCACTGCAAGCTCCACCTCCCGGGTTTACGCCATTCTCCTGCCTCAGCCTCCTGAGTAGCTGGGACTACAGGCACCCGCCACCTCACCCGGCTAGTTTTTTGTATTTTTAGTAGAGACGGGGTTTCACCGTGTTAGCCAGGATGCTCTCGATCTCCTGACCTCGTGATCTGCCCGTCTCGGCCTCCCAAAGTGCTGGGATTACAGGCTTGAGCCACCGTGCCCGGCCCCTACCCCCTTTTTTAGACCAGATGGAGAGTGAGAATGTTTGTGTTCATTTAACTCCAAAAGCATGGTACTGTGACCCTGATTCCAGGTGGGTTTTTTATCGCTAGGTAGTTTTCGCTCTTTAGAATCAGAAATAATTGCATTCCAAGTCCTCACCTCTTCAGCCACTCAGTTGCCTGGAAGGCAGTTCTGCTCCGTTGCCATGGATTACAGTTTAGGTGCCTCTGTCGGGGGAATATCTCTTTCCTAGCAGAGATGACCAGGCGAACTGATCATCCGTCTAATCCCAACCCATTGTCCTGGTACTACATTCCCGAAACTACCAAACATCCTTCTGTTGGCTTTCTGTCTTCTTCCATTCTGTGTGATTAGTGTGATTCCAATACACTGCTTTGTATAATTCCACGAACTTGCACCTGGACTGTCCTTGTGATGAGGATTCCCAGCTTCCAAACTTAATGGTGATTTTCTATGAAGAGCTCTGGGTCCTGGATGTGTAGTAAGAACAAGGAAGTTCAAGGGGCATCAGCCAGATAAGACAAGGTGACACTGTTGGCAGACATTTCCATTTGTCTCTGCTGGATCTTAACCCCTCAGGACAGTGCTGCAAGGAAGCCCTCACGTGAGTACAGTAATAGGGAGGTCCGCAGCAAGCTTCTACCTGGAGAGGGCAAAGGGAGTGTGAATACAGCGTGAACATGAAGGATGTTACTAATGAAACATCAAGTTCTGTTTTTGATCAGGCATACATGGGGCTTACAATTTCTCTTGGTACTTGCTCTTTGTGCTGGATGAATTTTTTTTTTTTTTTTTTTTTTTTTTTGAGACAGGGTCTTGCTGTTTCCCAGGCTGGCATGCAGTGCTGCGATCACAGCTTGCTGCAGCCTTGACCTCCCAGGCTCAAGCAATCCTCCCACCTCAGCTTCCCAAGTAGCTGGGACTACAGGCATGCATCACCATGCCCAGCTAATTTTTGCCTTTTTTGTAGAGAAGAGGTTTCGCCATGTTGCCTAGGCTGGTCTGAAACCCTTGGGATAAAGCGATCCACCTGTCTCCGCTTCCCGGAGTTCTGGGATTTAACAGGATCGAACCACTGCACCTGGTCTCCAGCATTGTTTTCTGTTACTTTTTCATTCTTAGTTATTCTGTGTCAGTCAGTGAAGGGTTTAATTATTTATACTAATGTTGTAACCACCTTTTTCACCTACTCCTCTGTTACTTGAGCACTGTCAGCTCTGTGCTCCTCTCCCTGGTGGAGAGAAACTATTCCATGTGTCTGACGGTTCCTGTAGCCTGCCAGGTTCAAAACAAGTTCCTTGGCCAGGCACACCGGCTCACACTTGTAATCCCAATACTTGAGGAGGCTGTGGCAGGAGGATCGCTTGAAGCCGGGAGTTCAGGACCAGCATGGGCAATATAGCAAGACCACTGTCTCTACAAAAAATTTTAAAACTTAGCCAGGCAGGGTGGTGCAGGCCTGTAGTGCCAGCTGCTTGGGAGGCTGAGGCAGGAGGATCACTTGAGCCCAGGAGATTGAGGCTGCAGTGAGCTGTGCTCATGCCACTGTACTCCAGCCTGGGTGACAGAACAAGACCCTGTCTGAAAAACAAAAACAAAACAAAGTTTCTTGACCGGGCGCGGTGGCTCAAGCCTGTAATCGCAGCACTTTGGGAGGCCGAGACGGGCGGATCACGAGGTCAGGAGATCGAGACCATCCTGGCTAACACGGTGAAACCCCGTCTCTATTAAAAAAAATACAAAAAAACTAGCCAGGCGTGGTGGCGGGCGCCTGTAGTCCCAGCTACTCGGGAGGCTGAGGCAGGAGAATGGCGTAAACCCGGGAGGTGGAGCTTGCAGTGAGCTGAGATCTGGCCACTGCACTCCAGCCTGGGCAACAGAGCGAGACTCCGTCTCAAAAAACAAAACAAAACAAAGTTTCTTGTTTGCCTGTTAATCATCAGCTTGTTGATAGAAAACTCACAGAACTGGAGAAATATTTACTTTTCCTTTTTAAACTGTATTCCTTTCTGCTAATACCACTAATCATTTTCTGTGAAAGACCTGTTCTTTTTTTGAACTTACGAATACTTGTTAGAAATGGAACATGATGTTTTAAATGTATACATAAACCTTCCAGTTAATTATCAGGTGATCCAGTGGTAGACCTGTGACCTCTGAAGGCTCCTGCTTCTCATCCCTTCCCTCCTGCCATGACTTGTTCTCTTCCCTCTACTCATTCCCCTTGTGTCTGTTTCTTCCCGTCCTCTCCCCATGTTCCCTCTGTTGTCATTTCCCCTTACTCTCCACTCTTTACCTGCGCTCTCATTTTCCAGATTTTTGTTGTTCCAAAATTAGGACAACAGATCTTTCTGTTGTCCCAGTTTTTCCCCTTGTTTTTCTCCTATTTTACTCCAATTAATATTTTTTTTTTTCTGTTTTTTTTGTTTTTTGTTTTTTGAGACGGAGTCTCGCTCTGTCGCCCAGGCTGGAGTGCAGTGGCGCGATCTCGGCTCACTGCAAGCTCCGCCTCCTGGGTTTACGCCATTCTCCTGCCTCAGCCTCCTAAGTAGCTGGGACTACAGGCGCCCGCCACCGCGCCCGGCTAATTTTTTGTATTTTTAGTAGAGACGGGGTTTCACCGTGGTCTCGATCTCCTGACCTTGTGATCCGCCTGTCTCGGCCTCCCAAAGTGCTGGGATTACAGGCGTGAGCCACCGCGCCCGGCCTACTCCAATTAATATTGTGAAGTCAGGCCGGGTGCAGTGGCTCACACCTGTAATCCCATCACTTTGGGAAGCCAAAGCAGGCGGATCACCTGAGGTCAGCAGTTTGAGAGCAGCCTGGCCAACATGGTGAAACCCCGTGTCTACTAAAAAAATACAAAAGTTACCTGGGCGTGGTAGCATGCACCTGCAGTCCCAGCTGCTTGGGAGGCTGAGGCAGGAAAATCGCTTGAACCTGGGAGGCAGAGGTTGTAGTGAACCAAGATTGCGCCACTGCTCTCCAGCCTGGGTGACAGAGCGAGACTCTGTCTCAAAAGAAGTAAAAATAAAAATATTGCAAAGTCATTTTGCAGCCGTGTAGAAGCTTCCAGGGAAACTGTCACTTGATCCACCTGTATATTGAAAAGAAAAAGGTGCGATTTGAATTTTCTATGTATTGTGTCAGGTGGTGAAAACAGGAATGAGAACGAGGAGTCAACCTCAAAGGCTGAAACCACAGAAGATTTGGCATCACGTGGGGAGACAGCAGGAAGATTCCAGAAAGAGTTTGGAGAGAAACGTGACCAGGAGGGCAAAACAGGAGAAAGACAGCAGAAAATCCCGGAGGAGAAAACCAGGAAAGAGAAGAGAGATTCAGGGCCAGCTACAGGAAAGGACAAAAAAACCACCCCAGGAGAGAGAGGTCCAAGGGAGAAGGGGAAAGGATTGGGAAGAAGCTTCAGTCTGAGCTCCAACTTCACCACCCCTGAAGAAGTTCCCACAGGAACAAAGTCTCACAGATGCGATGAATGTGGTAAATGCTTCACGCGAAGTTCAAGCCTTATCCGCCATAAAATCATCCACACTGGAGAAAAGCCCTATGAATGTAGTGAGTGTGGGAAAGCCTTCAGTCTTAACTCCAACCTTGTCCTGCATCAGAGGATCCACACAGGAGAGAAACCTCATGAATGTAATGAGTGTGGCAAGGCCTTCAGCCATAGTTCCAATCTCATCCTCCATCAGCGCATCCACTCTGGAGAGAAACCTTATGAATGTAATGAGTGCGGGAAGGCCTTCAGCCAGAGCTCAGACCTCACCAAGCATCAGAGAATCCACACGGGGGAGAAACCCTATGAATGTAGTGAATGTGGAAAAGCTTTCAACCGAAACTCGTACCTGATTTTGCATCGGAGAATTCACACTCGAGAAAAGCCCTACAAGTGCACTAAGTGTGGCAAGGCCTTCACCCGCAGCTCCACACTCACTCTGCATCACAGAATCCATGCCAGAGAACGAGCCTCTGAGTACAGCCCAGCCTCCCTTGATGCATTTGGCGCATTCCTGAAAAGTTGTGTGTAAAGGAAGAATTTGCCATCGAGCCATTTCCCCTTTTTGTTTCTAAAATTATTTCAGAGATGTGTGCCCTTGGAGGGAAAAAGAAATACAGCCTCCACGGATTAAAAAAGAAAAATCACACTTAAGGATCCTTCGAGTCACAGCAGCAGTGTTCTGCCTTTATGTAGTAGTTTGGCATATAATCCCTCCACACAGCCCCTGCAGGGAGAAGCTTATCTTACGGATAATCCATGTGAGATTTCCACACAAGATAAAAGCACATGCAGAGTGAAATGTCCAGCTTTTCAGTAATGAGGATACCTTTAAGGCACTCTTGGACTCTCGGCAACCACAACATAATAGTTCAAAGATGAAGATTGGCTCCACGAACGTGATACGGAGGTTAGGATGCTACTTGCTGCAAACAAGCTCTACTTTGGCCAACATCCTGCTTATTCCTCAAAAAAGAAGGACAGTGAAAACGAAAACAACATTGGGACATGCTGCTCAAGCTAGTTATATATACAATATGTTATATATATGATCACTGGTAGCCTACCAAAGCTGTAGAAATCTAGGACTGTGCTAATCAGTATCAAACCAAAGATTTCTATCTCTTCCCGAAAGAGAGGGTATGTGCACCAGTCTACAGTTCCAAAGGACTGCAACAAATGTAGATGGTTCTATCCTCATCCCTGAGATCAGTTCGACTGAAATGGCAACAACAACTCAAAATACACCTCTCCCTTCTTGAAATCCCTAAAGCACTGTCGCACTCCTAAATGCGTTTCTCCACAAGTTAGCACTTGATTGTATACTGCCTTTTAATCCTTCATTGTTTCATGTATGAAGTTTTTAACCACCCCCCCCCACCCCCAAAAAAGATTAAGTTGTCAAGGGATATATTTCTATCCCTGCCAGCACAGTGCTGGACATAGTGAGTGCTGAACACCTAAGAGGCACTCATTCAGACTGACTTCTACAGGACCTCTACATCTGTGATAAAGGTCTGTGATAAAGGTCTGTGAATCATGAGTTCCTGAAATATGGTAGCCTGGCCTAGCTTCTAAAGAGGACCTTCATAGCCACAAGGCATGCTAAACCTCTAGGGTCTGATGCTATTTTTGTTCCAAATATAAACGAAAGGCACTAGTCAGCCGCCTGCATAGACTTTCTAAACAGATCAGTGAGTAAATACCATGGAATGTCAGAAATGACTTTATCATCGTCATCTTGAAGAAAAATATGAACACTGATGAAGGCCTTTTTTTTTTTTTACATCTTTCTGTGGCAAAGCTCTTAGAATTCTTTTCAGTTAGCCGCTGAACAGGATGATGACTTGGGGATTTTCTGAATCATTTGTAACTTAGATACTGGAGTTCAGAAGATGTGATTTTTGTTGCTTTTCAGAAAAAGGAACGTGGTAGGGAGTGTTTTTTCCCACGCTTTTCTAGTAACTTTGCAGAAGCATTAGTTGTTTACTGGCAATTACTAAATGTACATTGTTGCTCTGAGAAACTCAGCAGTGTACTGAGATGTGGCTGGTTGTGTCACCGTCATAGTGCACAGTGACTTTTCTGTTTCTTGTCACTAAAGACTGAGGTGAGGTTATGAGACTTTCACTGGTCCCATCGTCTGTGCGCAGGGTGCAACTGGCTACCTAGAAGCTGATGGCAGGAGAATGTTTCACACACAGGAGATTGTGAGCTGTGTAGGTAGTCATCGCCACTCTAGTAGGACAAGGGTCCTACCCAAGGCTAGGACAGCCCTGCGGAAACAGAAACGTAGACTGAGAACAAACCTCCAGACTATCAGTGTGACCTTCGCATAACAAGAGAACACCATTTATAGTTTGAGACTTTCCCTTGAGAAATTTATACTAAAACTATTACTCATCAATCATTCACTGATCAGCAGCTAAAGTCCGTGAGACCAAATGGTTTTATATGGAACCAACGAAGTGGGAGCTAAAACTCTGCACAGTGGTCATTCTTTGGCCTCTCCTTGGCTTTATGACTTAAACCAACCACAACTTCCCCATAGCTTCTAGGCAGTTTCGTCAGCATTACTTGGGAAAACGTTGTTGCAAGTCAACCAGTCACCAGGATATTTCTACCCATGCAATGGAAGAAAAACCTGTTACTCCAGAAAATATATCTAAGTAACTTTTTATAGTAAAATGGAGGCAGAAAATATCTTAAGGATTTTCTTCAAAGAATAAGCCACAGCAGTGGTTATGTAGAAAACTGCTGGTGCTTTTGAGCAAGGACTTTTGCCCTCTAGAAAGCAACTGAGGCCAGGCGTGGTGGCTCACGCCTGTAATCCCAGCACTTTGGGAGGCTGAGGCGGGCGGATCACCTGAGGTCAGGAGTTTTGAGACCAGCCTGGCCAACGTGGTGAAAGCCCGTCTCTACTAAAAATACAAAAATTAGCCGGGCGTGGTGGCGCGTGTCTGTAATCCCAGCTACTTGGGAGGCTGAGGCGGGAGAATCACTTGAACCCAGGAGGCAGAGGTTGCAGTGAGCCAAGATTTCGCCACTGCATTGCAGCTTGGGTGACGAGCAAAACTCCGTCTCAGAAAAAAAGGAAAGAAACTGGAAGTGAGGTGTGGAACTCTGGGCAATGACCCAAGCACTTATTTTTTAAGAGAGAAAGGACTTGGTCATGTTTACATTGGCCTTTTTTTTTTTTTTTTTTCCTTCAGCCACAACTACATGCTGATATAATTCAGCCATCATTTTTGAGTTTTGTTTTTAAATGAAGGTTAAATGTGACCTGTGCCCTCACATTTAATTCCGTTTCATGGGGACATCTTCCTGACTTTGTTGGATAGCTGCCACTAGGGTTGCTTTGGATCTTCAGCACATGCTCTCCTTGAAGCAGCTATTTGAAGATGTGTTTTCTGAGGAAAACAGGCTACAACTGTTGATTAAGACCACTTGCAGTGCATTCGTTTATCAGATGCTCAGTGCAAAGTGTAATTGGGTCATGGTCAAAAACGCTTGCAACATCTAATTGGCATTCAAGATAGTCATTCAAAAGTTCTTGGCCCACTGAAGTCTAATAACAGTTGAAACATTCTGCAGCTAACCATTAGCATGCTAGTTGTCCTAATGGAAATTTTTGAAGAGTTTTTCAGTATATAACCTACCTTTGCCAGGAAGAGAAGTCAAATCCTCAGGTTGTTGGGTATTTGTTTCTACTCCAGCCTGGCAGGCAAGGCTAAAACCTTAGAATATCGATGTATGAGACATCTTGATATGTAAAGCACTTATTATTAAAGGCATAAAAGTCAAACTACTAAATATGTGTAGAGAGATTGACATGTGGTACGTGGGACAGTTCACATAGACATCAGAGAATTTATTCCAGAAAGGAACCTCCTGAATGTGATGAATATGGCAAAGCCTTTAATCACATCTCAGCCCTTAGCATCAGAAAGCTTACACTGTAAATAAACGATGAATATTATATGTGAGGAAAATTTTCATGTATAGCACTCATTGCTTCAGACAGAAAATTCCGTCAGTATATTCCAATAATCATGTGATGAATTTGAGAAACACTGCAAGAGGGAGCTCAATCTTGGCCGGGCGCGGTGGCTCACCCCTGTAATCCCAGCACTTTGGGAGGCCGAGGCGTGCGGATCATGAAGTCAGTAGTTCGAGACCAGCCTGGTCAACATGGTGAAACCCTGTCTCTACTAAAAATACAAAAAAAATCAGCTGGGCGTGGTGGTGCGCGCCTGTAGTCCCAACTACTCGGGAGGCTGAGACAGGAGAATCGCTTGAACCTGGGAGGCAGAGGTTGCAGTGAGCCGAGATTGCGCCACTGCGCTCCAGCCTGGGTGACAGAGCGAGACTCCGTATCAAAAAAAAAAAAAAAAGAGGGAGCTCAGTCTTAACTGCAGAGAATCTACAGATGAAAAAAAAAATGTGGGGAAATGCTTTAAAAAAAATAACAAAATGTGCAACTTCTTAGAAAAATTGTTAATGTTAGATACTTTATATTTTATATGACCATAATGTCCATGTGTGTTTTGTACCTTCAGTCCGTTATTGTTCTGTGTATTACCTGTAAGCAGATTCTGTATTTTATTTTAGCCTACTTGACAGAACACATCACTCAGAAAATGTGAAGTTTCGGAGCAAACAGTGAAGAAATCAAGTGTGGTTGTAGACAAAATGTCAGTTCACAGAACGGAGCAGCAGGGAGATGAAGGGAAAATCTTCATAGTTCGGTGCTTATCACATCAAGAGATTGGTAAATTTCTGAGGAAAGACAGGCTAATGGGGCACTGAAATGGAACAACTCCTTTAAACATGTGCAGCCTTTTGAGTTTTTCCTCAAAACCAAGAAGTTGACCTCTGAGCTGTCAGGTGACCATTGTGTGCAAAGGGGATGGATTCTCTTGTCAGTAGAGGGTCTTCTGCATGAAGCGAGAGCAGGAAGTGTACTGGAATCACCAATTGGGACTGCTTCAGCTGACCAGGTTCTCTAAACCATAGTCATGCTTTCCCACTAACTCACTCTTAAATCCTTATGCTTAGAAAATTGGGGAAAAGGCGGGCGCAGTGGCTCAGGCCTGTAATCCCAGCACTTTGGAGGCTGAAGTGGGTGGATCACGAGGTCACGAGATCGGACTATCCTGGCTAACATGGTGAAACCTCATCTCTACTAAAAGTACAAAAAATTAGCCGGGCGTGGTGGCAGGCACCTGTAGTCCCATCTACTTGGGAGGCTGAGGCAGGAGAATCGCTTGAACCCAGGAGGTGGGGGCTGCAGTGAGCCAAGACGGTGCCACTGCACTCCAGCCTGGGCGACAGAGAGAGACTCCATCTCAAAAAAAAAAAAAAGGTATAGAACTGGCCGGGCATGGTGGCTCACTCCTGTAATTTCAGCACTTTAGGAGGCCGAGGCGGGTGGATCACTTGAGGTCAGGAGTTTGAGACCAGCCTGGCCAACGTGGTGAAAGCCCATCTCTACTAAAAATACAAAAATTAGCCGGGAATGGTCGTGGGCACCTGTCGTCCCAGCTACTCGAGAGGCTGAGGCAGGAGAATCACCTGAATCTGGGAGGCAGAGTTTGCAGTGAGCCAGGATTGCACCACTGCACTCCAGCCTGGGTGACAGAGTGAGACTCTCTGTCTCAAAAAAAAAAAAAAAAGAGAAAAGGAAAGACAATTGGGGATAGGAGAGCAGCAAGGTGGGCTTTCCCCGGAATTGTGTGCAGATGCATCCAGTCGCGGCATTGCAGGAAGTCTGTCTGATGAAGCTTGGGAAGCATTTTGCAATATTCCCTTTGTGTTCCTGTGTTCCCTGCTCCCACTTTTCTCCCCCTGGTCTGTGATTATTAGGAGAGAGGTTTTGTGAAGACTCGTTGCTGTGAAAGCATCTTTTTTTAAATTTTTATCCTAGAGTCAGTCACTTCTATTCCAGGTGGTCATGCTGACCTACTTATCCAAAACCAGCTAACCAGGTTCATCCTACCATCCTCATGGAAGACTTTGTGTATGAATTGGAATAACAGTGCTGAAATACACTCAAACAGTGCCAGCAGTACTTCCCGGGGGGGGGGGCCTATCATCCTCATGGAAGACTCTGTATGAATTGGAATAACAGTGCTGAAATACACTCAAACAGTGCCAGCAGTACTTCCCGGGGAGGGTATATTTCTCTGTGTGCTACTCTGAGCAACTTCTCAGAAATACGAGGGGGCTGAGGTTTTCCCATCTGGGAAATCGGGTGAAAGTCTGCAGATTGTTAAATATAGTATCAGAGAAAAAGAAGTCAGTGATAGAAATAGATCATTTCGTAGACATTAGGGTAGATTTTTATTTCAACTACTACTGGAGAATTTAATAAAAAGCATTATTGTTTGAAAAGTTTTTCTAACATAGATTTAGGGATTTTTTTTTTTTTAGAATGGACACACTACTGTACATTTAAAAGCAGTTATTTTGCTATTCAGATTTTTTATTATCTGAAAATGAGATTATCTGTTTTACTTTTCAAAGTTTTGTGAAACAAACTTGAAGTTATAGGGAGGTAAGCCATCTCCCAGTCTGCAGGTCAAACAAAAGTTTAGAAAATACTTTTGACATCCCACAATCCAGAATGTCTTAACAGGAGATTTGAATTTCACGATGTGTGGTTCCATCTAATAGCAGACACCACCCCGATCTCATGTTTTCCTGTTACCCTAAAACAGTGGGAGGAAACTGGGTGTTTGGTAGACTTCTAAATCATGGTCTCCGACGACTTGAATCTGAGATTCTCACCTCCATTTACTAAAGAATCATGACTTGGCCGGGCGCGGTGGCTCAAGCCTGTAATCCCAGCACTTTGGGAGGCCGAGACGGGCGGATCACGAGGTCAGGAGATCGAGACCATCCTGGCTAACACGGTGAAACCCCGTCTCTACTAAAAAATACAAAAAACTAGCCGGGCGCGGTGGCGGGCGCCTGTAGTCCCAACTACTCGGGAGGCTGAGGCAGGAGAATGGCGTGAACCCGGGAGGCGGAGCTTGCAGTGAGCTGAGATCCGGCCACTGCACTCCAGCCTGGGCGGCAGAGCAAGACTCCGTCTCAAAAAAAAAAAAAAAAAAAAAAAATCATGACTTAACTCAAACTGCACAGTAATCAAACTGCACAGTAATCAGTAAAGTGAATACGTCTTTAAAATGGAATTGTCTCCCTTCAGCAACCACTCATTAAGGAGTGAGACTGAGTATTTTAAGATAGAAAGATCTGTGAGTGATTGAAAGGTGATATTTTAAAACTTGGATTTCATTCCAGTGTCAGGTTTTGAGTTTTAAGTTCCTTTGGTCTGGGGAAGGGTCCAGGCAGCCACAGTTGCCCTAAATCACCATCATTTAGTCTTCCAGCAAGGTTAAGTGCGGTGCGGAAGGAGAAGGGGGACGAGGACGGTAACAGCCCCGTACTCTGTGCTGAGAAAGAGTAATTAGGAGACCTGAAGAGGGGCCGAGGAAAGGCTGTTGGAGCGTGCCGGGGTTGGTACCCGAGCACCTTCCCCTCACCTCAACCAGGGAAGAGCATCTGGCTGCTTTTTAAAGTTTTTAGTCTGCCCTCGCAAGGACAAAGCATGTTAGATTAGAGATGCTTCTGCTGATTGCAGGGGTTCTTATTTAAGAACATATATGAGGGGGGTGGGGTGGGAGGAGACAGGTTGTGGTTATGCAGGAAAATCTTGTCCTAAAAATATATGAGTTTGGGGATAAGGGGTGGGATAGCCAAGCAAAATCGGTATTTTAAAATGAGCATATGTATTTTTACTAACTTTTAGTTAAATACAGATTTTACAACGAGGTCAGCATAAGCCTACATCTATATAGAGAGCTAACTCAGGCATTGTCTTGTTTATTTGTAGACTGGATTAAAAACAACCTGTCCTGTTTTGTCAGTTCCCAGCTTCTTCGTTTAGAATAAATTAGACCAAAAGAAGAAACGTGTCTCTGTATAACCACAGAATGAAGTTACTGTTGTTAAAACTGGATTTTTCACTTTACTAGGTTCCGAAGAGTCCAGATGCTTGGTTAGATGTTCAATATGTGATTTTTTTAAATTGAATTTGTTCATTTAAAATCCTCCTTAACATTTCTAGAAAGACTTCTTTCAATAAATAATGGAATCTTAGAGGAAAAGTGATTTTTTAAAAGCTAGGGAACTCCTCCACTAAAAGTAACCATTGGAAACCTCGATTGAGGGCTAAAGTTTTAATCGTAAGAGAAATGGCAGCATAACGAAATATGTACACATGCATAGTGGTCCATTTTAGGAGGCCAGTGGTGTCTGATAAAGAAATGTTAGAGTAGTGAGGTCGGGGAAGGAAATTGTGGGGATTTGTAATCTCTTTACGTTGTTTCTCTTCTGAGTCATGGTAAAACAATAAATTATCTTCTCTAGGTGGCAGTGCTTGTGCTGGTTTGTTTTTTGTTTTTGTCATCCTTGGTTGCATAAATACACATTGGGGGTGAAGAAAAAAAGTATTTCAAAGTTAAAAGACTGGAGCTGCAACCCACAGACAAAATTCTCATGCAAAACTATTTGTTTACTTTATAAACCAAAATTAAATTTCAAAGGCCTCCCAGTCACCTGAATGGACCTCTCCTCTCAGCCAAAGGCATTCCAAAGTTAACCTGAAAAACTAGTTCAGGCCATGATGGGAAGGGGAAGCCAGACATGCCTCATTATACCCTCTCCTCTTATGGAATTATTGATACAACAGACCTTAAGACTGATAGACATGGCCGGGCATGGTGGCTCACACCTGCAATCCCAGCACTTTGGGAGGCTGAGGCGGGCAGATCACCTGAGGTCAGGAGTTCCAGACCAGCCTGGCCAACATGGTGAAACCCCCTCTCTACTAAAAATACAAAAATTAGCTGGGCGTGGTGGCAGGCGCCTGTAGTCCCAGCTGCTCGGAAGGCTGAGCCAGGAGAATTGTTTGAACCCAGGAGGCGGAGGGTGCAGTGAGCCGAGATCACGCCACTGCACTCCAGCTTGGGCAACAGAGTGAGACTTCAAAGAAAAAGGGTGAACTAGGAGGATGTGTGAGTGTGTCCAGGAGGCATCCAGACACATCTGTGAACTGTTTTTACTTGCACTTCTGACACAATATGTGATTTTTTTGATACACCTACCAATTATCTATCTATGGACACCAACTGGGTGCCCTATGATTCAGTTCAATTCTGACACTACCTATGGCTGGTGCAGACCCCAGCTACACACACACACATTTTTTGAGATAGGATCTTACTGTCACCCAGGCTGGAGTGCAGTGGTGCGATCATCTCACTTCAGCCTGAACTCCTGGATTCAAGCAATCCTGTTGCCTCAGCCTCCTGAGTAGCTGGGACCACAGCTACTTTTTTGTGTGTATTTTTTGTAGAGACTGTCTGGCTATTTCCCAGGCTGGTCTTGAACTCTTGGGCTCAAGTGATCTGCCTGACTTGGCCTCACAGGTGTGAGCCACCACACCCAGCCCTATTTTTTTTTTTTTTTTTGGTAATTATTTTCTTTTATAGAGATGGGGTCCCTCTGTGTTGCCCAGGCTGGTCTCAAACTCCTGTCCTCAAGCAATCCTCCCACCTTGGCCTCCCAAAGTGCTGGGATTACAGGCATGAGCCAGTGTCCGACCCAGAACTGGATTTTGTTTTTCTTTATTTTTGTAAGACAGGGTCTCGTTCTGTTGCTCAGGCTGGAGCGCAGTGGCACGATCATGACTCACTGCAGCCTCAACCTCCTAGACTCAAGCAATCCTCCTGTCTCAGCCTCAGCTGGGACTACAGGCATGCACCACTACGCCTAGAATTTTTTTTTTTTAATTTTTTGCAGAGACAGGGTCTTGCTATGTTGCCCAAACTGGTCTCAAATTCCTGGGCCTCAAGCAATCCTACCACCTCAACTTCCTGAAGTGCTGGGATTACAGTCATGAGCCACCATGCAAGGGCCTAAAATCCAGTTTTAGCAAGAACCCTGCTAAGTTAGTTTAGCAAAAACCTCCCACCCTCCATATCTAATTACTCTTTTTTCTTTTTCTTTTCTTTCTTGATTTTTTTTTTTTAAGACAATCTCTCTCTGTTGCCCAAGCTGGAGGGCACGGTCTCGGCTCATTGCAACCTCCACCTCCTGGGTTCAAGCGAGTCTCCTGACTCAGCCTCCCGAGTAGTTGGGACTACAGGCGCACACCACCACACCCAGCTAATTTTTGTATTTTTTTTAGAGTCGGGGTTTCACTACGTTGGCCAGGCTGGTCTCGAACTCCTGACCTCAAGTGATCCACCTGCCTCAGCCTCCCAGAGTGCTGGGGTGACAGGCGTGAGCCACTGCTCCCAGCCCATATCTAATTACTTTTGATATTTATCTGATCGGGTTCCTTGTCCGCCACCATCCCCCAGGTGATGTCTGATCAGCCTGGCCTGTCTTCAGCAAGAATACCCCTTCCGTCTGATGTTTCCTCTTGGTCATTTTCCATCCACTGACTCCCATCCTACTCCTTGGCTATACATTGCCACCTGCCCATGCTGTGTTCAGAGCTGAGCCCAATCTCTGTCCCCTCACTGCAAGACCCTACTGCAGTGGTTCCTGTGTTTATTAGGATGGTCCTGAATAAAGTCTTCCTTACCATGCTTTAACAAGTAGCGTTAAATAATTTTTTTTCATTACGTTTAACTCCACCATTCCACTTTCATTCCTTTTTTCTTTCAATTTCTTTAGCAAATGTCTTCGCAGCTTTCCAACATGCTGTACATGTCTTCTGCTTCCTGGAAGAAAAAGGACATGTTCAGAGTTGTCATGGGCCAGAGGCTTGCCCAGCCTGCTCTAACGGAAGTCAAGGTTTGGTTACCCTCTACTGGCCAGCTGATGGCAGCAAAAACAGGTGATGATGAGAATGAGCGAGGAAGATCCAGAAAGGCGCCTTTTTGGAGAGAACCATGAACACCTTACTGGAAATGGAAGGGAGGTTCCAGAGACAACACTAAACACTGGAATCTTTTCCTCTCCTGGATTTCTGCTGTAAAGGGCACTGGAATTATTTTTCTTTTGTCAAACCAGTAATCTGCCAGGCATGGTGGTGTGCATCTAATCCCAGCTACTTGGGAGGCTGAGGCAGGAGAATGGCGTAAACCCGGGAGGTGGAGCTTGCAGTGAGCTGAGATCCGGCCACTGCACTCCAGCCTGGGCGACAGAGCAAGACTCCATCTCAAAAAAAAAAATAGCCAGGCACTGTGCCTACTTGGGAGGCTGAGGTGGGAGGATCACTTGAGTCCAGGAGTTGGAGGCTACAGTGAGCTATGATCACACCACTGCACTCCAGCCTGGGCAACAGAGTGAGGCCCTGCCTCAAATAAATAAATAAAAATAAAAAATCTCTTGAGACATAGCAGGCACACAGGATTGGAGAATCTGGCTTGTGCTCTCAGCTTTGATACTAATTAGCTAACTAGTGTACCTTGGATCTGACTTCTTCAGGCACTGGTTTCTTCATCTGAAAACGAGTTTAACCAGATTGTCCTTAAGGTCTCTTTTGACATTAATATTTTACAGCAGCTCAGCCCCTTTGCTCGAGGAGCATCTCAGCCCTGGAAAGGACAATGGGTTTGGAAATAGACGGACTTTCTTCAAGCCCCAGCATAACCACTTAATGGTTTCATAACTAGACAAAGACCCGTTGACCAAGAGGCTGGATGGAGCCCTGCCAAAGCATCAACACAGGTGTGGCTCTTGGAATGTGTGCAGGTTTCCTGGCTCTTCCCTCTGTCCTAGTGATCCTGTTTCCATTTCCCATCTTTCTTCCCCGTCTAACTGACAGGCAGTAGAGCACAGGCTTTGGAGAAAGGAGGCCAAGTTTCACTTCTGACGCTCCCACCTATCAGTTGTGTGATATTGGAAAAGTGACTTTTCTGAGCCTGTTTCCTGGGCTATAAAATGGAGATTTTAGGGCCAGGCACAGTGGCTCACAGTGGCTCCCAGCACTTTGGGAAGCTGAGGCAGGCAGATCACTTGAGGTCAGGAGTTCAAGACCATAGGGGAATGAATTAAAAGGACTAACCATGTGATAATTGTTAAAGCTGGCCAATGGGTACATAGAGGCTGTTTTTGTTTTTTTGTGAGACAGAGTCTCGCTCTGTTGCCAGGCTGGAGTGCAGTGGTGCAATCTCAGCTCACTGCAACCTCTGCCTCCCAGGTTCAAGCAATTCTTCTACCTCAGCCACCCGAGTAGCTGGGATTACAGGTGCATGCCACCGTGCCCGGCTAATTTTTGTATTTTTAGTAGAGACGGGGTTTTCAGGATGGTCTTGATCTCTTGACCTCGTGATCTGCCTGCCTAAACCTCCTAAAGTGCTGGGATTACAGGCGTGAGCCACTGTGCCCTGCCAAGGCTCTTTTTTTTTTTCTTCTTTTTAAGAGAAAGCAAGTTTGTTAGAGAAAGTAAAGAAACAGCCTGGTGCGGTGGCTCACACCTGTAATCCCAGCACTTTGGGAGGCCGAGGCAGGCAGATCATAAGGTCAGGAGATCAAGACCATCCTGGCCAACATGGTGAAAACCCATGTCTACTAAAATACAAAAAACAAAAATTAGCCGGGCGTGGTGGCATGCACCTGTAGTCCCAGCTACTCGGGATACTGAGGCAAGGGAATCGCTTGAACCCGGGAGGCAAAGGTTGCAGTGAGCCGAGATTGCGCCACTGCACTCCAGCCTGGTGACAGAGCAAGACTCCTCAAAAAAAAAAAAAAAAAAAAAAAAAAAAAAGAAACAAAAGAATGTACATGGAGCTCATTTTCTCTAATTTTGCATGTCTTTAAACATAAAAAATTTTTAAATTATCCTGGAAAACATCAGGGAAAAATTATGTTGAGTATCTATGAATTCATGACTCGTTTGGACAGGGAATTCCACGTGCAGGCAGCCATGTTGGTGTTACTCAACACATGTGAGTTTTGCAGGACCAGACAAAAGTCAGCTCACTGGGGGCCAGACGGAGTCGTGCTGAGGTCGAAAATACGGAATCTTCAGTCCAGAAACCTGCAACTGAGCCGGAGCAGCGGGAGGAAAAGGCGGGCAAAGACATCTTCATCAAGTCCTGCAGCATCGGAAGGAGTTCAGCCCCTAGGTCTTCTGCTCCGGAAGTTTAGGACCCACAGAAGGGCAAGGCTACTTCTGATTGATGTCACCGTGACTCTGGTCTACAAAGTTGAGGACTAAACTCTGACCGTTTTCTTCTTTTGTCCAAATTCCTATCTAAGGATCCTGGAGAGTCACCCCCTTCAAACCATAAAGCCTCATCAGATGGGTTTTATTTAACCTTATATAACCTGGCTGACTTTCCAACCAGGCTCTGGCGTAACATCACATGGCAGATAAGGAAACCAAAATATTTCCACCCCAAATATGTTTTTTTGCCATATCTTGAAATAGCCCTGCAAAGCTGTCTCTTGTGGGGAAAATCTACACTCGGTAGAGAATCCCTTTCCCTTTCCAGCCAGCCTTTTTCCTGATCCAGGAGAGAATCAACTGGGCAATTGGCACTTTTAAAAGTCTGTTAAGAAATATTTGCAGTCTGTTCTCTTTGAAGCCTGCTGCCTGGAGGCTCCGTCTGCATAATGAGAATCCTGGTCTCCACAACCCCTTAGTTCAGTGGTCCCCAACCTTTTTTGACACCAGGAACCAGTTTTGTGGAAGACAATTTTTTCCACGGATGGTTTCACGGTTTCAGGATGATTCAAGTGCATTACATTTATTGTGCACTTTATTTCTATTATTACGTTGTAATATATAGTGAAATAATTATACAACTCATCATCATGTAGAATTAGTGGGAGCTCTGAGTTTGTTTTCCTGTAATTAGAGGGTCCCATTGAGGAATTACGTGAGACAGCGACAGATCATCAGGTATTAGGTTCTCATAAAGAGTGCACAACCAGGCCAGGCGCGGTGGCTCAAGCCTGTAATCCCAGCACTTTGGGAGGCCGAGACGGGCGGATCATGAGGTCAGGAGATACAGACCATCCTGGCTAACACGGTGAAACCCCGTCTCTACTAAAAATACCAAAAACATTAGCCGGGTGTGGTGGCGGGCGCCTGTAGTCCCAGCTATTCCGGAGGCTGAGGGGAGAGTGGTGTGAACCTGGGAGGCAGAACTTGCAGTGAGCCAAGATCCAGCCACTGCACTCCAGCCTGGGTGACAGAGTGAGACTCTGTCTCAAAAAAAAAAAAAAAGAAAGAAAGAAAAAAGAAAAAGAGTGCACAACCTAGATTCCTCTCATGCACTGTCCGCAATAGGGGTTTGTGCTCCTGTGAGAATCTAATGCTATGGCTGATCTGACAGCAGGCGGAGCTCAGGGGTAATTAGAGCAATGGGGAGTGGCTGTAGATACAGGTGAAGCTTCGCTCCTGCAGCTCATCTCCTGCAGTAGGGCCCAGTTCCTAACAGGCCATGGACTGGTACCTGTCTGTGCCCCCAAGGATTGGGGACCCCTGCCTTAGGTAACCCAGACATTCCTTTCTATTGATTAGAGGTCTTTAGACAATAACTTTCAGCCAGTTACCAATTAGAAAATCATTGAGTCCACCTATGACTTGGAACATCCCCGCCTGGAATTGTCCTGCCTTTCCCACAGAACCAATGTTCATCTTACATGTATTGATCGGTGTCTTATGTCTCCCTAAATTGTATAAACTCAAGCTGTAGCCCGACCATCGTAGGCACGTGCTCTTAGGACCTCTTGAGACTGTGCCTCGGGCCATTGGTCACTCATATTTGGCTCAAAATAAATGTCTTCAAATATTTTACAGTTTGACTATTTTCATCAATGAAGTATTACTCAATCTCTGACTTCACGGGCCAAGCACGGAGTTCCATGTCCATAAACCTGGACCGAGGTGCTGGGCCCAAGGGTACCCAGTGACCTCGGTCCAGGTTTATGGACAAGGAACTCTGTGCTTGTCCCAAGGGTACTCAGGGACCTTGGGCTCTGAAGTCCACGAGAGTGACCGAGGTGGCTGCCTCAGCCCATGCCCTCCCTGCCCCGGGGAGTCGGGGTTGGGTGGGAGAACCGCCGAAGCCTTCATCTGGTCTGACCGTCTTTGGTAAAAATAGAAAGAGTCCGTGGCTTTTCATTTTGGGGGTCGACTCAGCGCCTCCCTGATGTCTCAAGGGCCAGAGACACAGAGAGGACCTCCCGAATTTCTAGAGGGACCGCTACGGCCCCGCATGACTTTCCCGTGGGGAGGGGCTATGACGCACTTCCGGCTGCGCGGTCCGGAGGTGCGCGGTGCGGTTTCCCGGTGTCCGGAGCGGCTCTGATTCACGGTGAGCCTGCTTTTCGCGGGTTAGCTAGGCGGACAAGAAAGGGAGCGTTGGCTGAGTGGTTTGGGGAGGGCGAAGTGGATTTAGCAGCTGTGGCTTCCGAGGACCTCACCTAGACCGGTCCTAGCAGAGCTGTGGGGAGGAGCTCCCCGTCCCCGCCCAGCCCCAGCTGGTGGAGGCGCTGGCTCCCTGGAAAGCCTTTCTTCCACTTGGGGCTTTAACAAATGAAAGCTGGAAGAACAGATGTTCTGGAAGTTCTTTCGCGTTCCAGAATAGTTTTTTTGTGCGCTCCCCAAGCCAAGCAGTCTATCAGTCTGACCGTGGCTGCCTTTTTTCCCTTTCTGTGAATTGGAGGTCGGAACGCAAGGCTCATTGATGGGAATACGCCCAAGGGGTTGGAAACCTGTGGGAAGCCGAGCGTCATTAGAAGTCTTGGGTAGAATCCAGTCCAAGGAAAGAAATAGTCCCCTCGGGCTTTGTTCGGGCTAGAACGCACACACAGAATAGGGATCTGCTCAGATTTAGAAAAACATTCTTAAAGAACCATGTATAAATAAAGAGTATCAAGACAAAGTTGATTTGGGCTGGGCGCGGTGGCTCACGCCTGTAATCCCAGCACTTTGGGAGGCCGAGGCTGGCGGATCACTTGAGGTCAGGAGTTCGAGACCAGCCTGGCCAAACCCCGTCCCCACTAAAAATACAAAAATTGGCTGTGTGTGGTGGCGCGCACCTGTAATTCCAGCTACTCGGGAGGCTAAGGCAGGAGAATCGCTTGAACCCAGTAGGCGGAGGTTGCAGTGAGCCGAGATCATGCCACTGCACTCCGGCCTGGGCGACAGAGCGACACTTGGTTCCCCCCCCCCAAAAAAAAAGGAAAGTTGATTTGGTGGGTGAGGTACTTGGAAACCCACGAAATCTAAGGAACAGTTGAGCTGTGGCAAGGAAAAGAGTTAAGAGGCAAGACAATTGTTTTCAAGTATTGGAAGGCTGCTATGGAGAAAGTGAGTATTGGTTTTGGACCAACCTAGGATTTTTGAAATGATGCAGAATATGATTCAGGTTAAAGAAGAACTCGTGTGGCCGGGCATGGTGACTCATGCCTGTAATCCCAGCACTTTGGGAGGCCGAGGCTGGCGGATCACTTGAGGTCAGGAGTTCGAGACCAGCCTGGCCAAACCCCGTCCCCACTAAAAATACAAAAATTGGCTGTGTGTGGTGGCGCGCACCTGTAATTCCAGCTACTCGGGAGGCTAAGGCAGGAGAATCGCTTGAACCCAGTAGGCGGAGGTTGCAGTGAGCCGAGATCATGCCACTGCACTCCGGCCTGGGCGACAGAGCGACACTTGGTTCCCCCCCCCCCCAAAAAAAAGGAAAGTTGATTTGGTGGGTGAGGTACTTGGAAACCCACGAAATCTAAGGAACAGTTGAGCTGTGGCAAGGAAAAGAGTTAAGAGGCAAGACAATTGTTTTCAAGTATTGGAAGGCTGCTATGGAGAAAGTGAGTATTGGTTTTGGACCAACCTAGGATTTTTGAAATGATGCAGAATATGATTCAGGTTAAAGAACTCGTGTGGCCGGGCACGGTGACTCATGCCTGTAATCCCAGCACTTTGGGAGGCTGAGGCAGGCGGATCACCTGAGGTCGGGAGTTCGAGACCAGTCTGACCAACATGGAGAAACCCCGTCTACCAAAAATACAAAATTAGCCGGGCGTGGTGGCACATGCCTGTAATCCCAGCTATTAGGGAGGCTGAGGCAGGAGAATCGCTTGAACCTGGGAGGCAGAGGTTGCGGTGAGCCGAGATCGCGCCATTGCACTCCAGCCTGGGCAACAAGAGTGAAACTCCGTCTCAAAAAAAAAAAAGAAGAAGAACTTGTAACAATTTGTGGAATTCTGTGGCTCAAGAATTATCTAATTTGCCTGCCTAGGGATTTTCTTTGTTTTTGGTTTTGTTTTTTTTTTGAGATGGAGCCTCGCTCTGTCTCCCAGGCTGGAGTGCAGTGGCGCCATCTCTGCTCACTGCAAGCTCCGCCTCCTGGGTTCACGCAGTTCTCCTCCCTCATCCCTCAGCCTCCCAAGTAGCTGGGACTACAGGCCCCTGCCACAACGCCCGGCTAATTTTTTGTATTTTTTAGTAGAGACGGGGTTTCACCATGTTAGCCAGGATGGTCTCGATCTCCTGACCTCGTGATCCACCCGCCTCAGCCTCCCAAAGTGCTGGGATTACAGGCGTGAGCCACCGTGCCCGGCCGCCTAGGGATTTTCAGGTACCCGCTGAGTGTGAAACATTTTAGCACAAGTTGTAAGTGCTGTTCTGTTTTTAGAATCTATGGTAATTTGATTTTTTTTTACACCTCATCTTGTTACAGAATGGACTTGGGGCCCTTTCATAAGGGCATATAAGCTTTGGGAGATTGGCGTAAAGGAGGAGGGAAAATGGACACAGAACAAGGGCCTTCTGTTTATGATAGACCATGAAATTTTGCTTGATGGGCTTCTTGAGATAAACAGTCTAGATAGCTTTTAAAAAGTCACTGTGATTATAGACAATGTGAGTTAGTAATGAAGCGTCTGATTTCTAGCCTCATGCTTTATTTTTTAAGAGACAAGGTATTCCTTTGTCACCCAGGCTGGAGCACAGTGTCACAACCCTGCAGCCCCGAACTCTTGAGCTCAAGTTATACCTCAGCCTGGGCAACAAAGCAAGACTTCGTTTCTACAAATAAATAAATAAATATTTTTAATTAGCCAGATGTGGTGACACACACCTGTAGTCCTGGCTACTTCGGAGGCTGAGGCAAGAGGATTGCTTGAGGCCAGGTGTTCAAGGCTGCAGTGAGCTATCATGGCACCACTACACTCCAACCTGGGCAACAAAGCAAGACCCTGCCTCTGTAATTTAAAAACAATAAAATAAAGACCCAGTGAAGTGGTTCACACCTGTAAACCCAGAACTTTGGGAGACCAAGGCAGGAAGATGGCTTGAGACCAGGAGTTCGAGGCATCCATGAGCTGTGTTTGCACCACTGCACTCCAGTCTAGGCAACAGACCAAGACACTGTCTCTAAAAAAGAAATATTTTAAATTTTTAAAAAATGTGAAAGAGGAGTCAAGGGATGACCCCAGGTTTTTCGGTCTGAGTAAAAAGAACAATGAGAGTTGCCATTATCTGAGATGAGCAGCTTTGGAGGGAGAGATGGGAATTCGGTTTTGGACATGTTAAGCTTGAGATGTCTTACTGGACATCCAGGTGGTAATGGCAAGTGGATAGTTGGTTGTATGAGTCTGGAGGTCAGAAGGGATATCTAAGTTGGAGGTACAGTTTGGGCAGTTGTGAGTATATAATTGGTAATTACAACCATGCAACTAGTAAAATCACCAAGGAGAGAGTGCAGGAAGGAGGAAGGGCACCTGGCCCTCTACTCATTTGTAGTCTTTATGCGTTGTGCATTTGAGTTGTGTGCACCGCAAAACTGATGTGCCACTGGGTGTGGTAGCTCACACGTGTAATCCCAGCACTTTGGGAGACTGAGGTGGGCAGATCACTTGAGGTCAGGAGTTCAAGACCAGCCTGGTGAACATGGTGAAACCCCATCTCTACTAAAAATACAAAAATTAGCCGGGCGTGGTGGCACGCACCTGTAATCCCAGTTACTCAGCAGGCTGAGGCATGAGAATCGCTTGAACTCGGGAGGCAGAGGTTGCAGTGAGCTGAGATCATGCCACTGCACTCCAGCCTGGGTGACGGAGCAAGACTCCATCTCAAAAAAAAAATAAAACCACAAAATTGATGAGCCTAGAATAGATCGCTTAGCTAATGAGCTTACCCAGCCAACTGCCCAGCAGCAATGTCCAAGGAAACTTTTTTTTCTGTAATTTGCAGAGGCAGTCATGTGATCCAGTGGCATCTGTGAATTTGGATTCACCGAGTTTTCAGAGTGTATCCCACATGAATGCTACGTTACCACATGACGCTCCCTGTGTGATGCCAGCAGGTGCTGCATGACTCCCTGCTGACTTGCCATGTTTCACAGGCCAGATCACAGAAGCTGAACAGCCCAAACACCGGTTTCTTTCCTGGTCTTAGGGTGCCCTCCTCTGGATAGAGTATGAAATTTTCTAACAGTTATGTAAAGTTAATCTACCACTGAGGAGATCTCCTCTGTTGTCCAGATTGGAGTGTAGTGACACGATCTTGGCTCACTACAACCTCCACCTCACAGGTTCAAGTGATTCCCTGCCTCAGCCTCCCAAGTAGCTGGGATTACAGGTGCCCACCACCACTCCCAACTAATTTTTGTATTTTTAGTAGAGACAGTAACTTGTAATTTTATGGTAACTGTATTTTCTTCTTTTTTTCTTTTTTTGAGACGGAGTTTCACTCTTGTTGCCCAGGCTGGAATGCAATGATGCGATCTCGGCTCACAGCAACCTCTGCCTCCCAGGTTCAAGCGAATCTCCTGCGTCAGCCTGCCAATTAGCTGAGATTACAGGCATGAACCACCATGCCTGGCTAATTTTGTATTTTTAGGAGAGACGGGGTTTCTCCATGTTGGTCAGGCTGGTCTTGAACTCCCGACCTCAGGTGATCCGCCTGCCTCGGCCTCCCAAAGTGCTGGGATTACAGGCATGAGCCACCGCGCCCGGCCCGGTAACTATATTTTCTTAGGTTTAACATGTGGCCCTAAAGAACCAGAAACCGAAAGGAACCAATATTCCTACCCCACAGAGTCCCATCTTTAGTAAGGCTGTTTCTGGAGTTTATATGATGACCAAGGTACTATGCATGGCCCCAGTTCACCACGTTGTCCAGGCTAGTCTCAACTCCTGGCCTCAAGTGATCTGCTTGCCTTGGTCTCCGGAAGTGCTGGGATTAAGGCCGTTAGCCACCACACCTGGCCACTCCTTTTAAATATTCTAAAGAATGCTCTCCAGCGCAGCTACCTCATTATTTCTTGTTTATTTTAGCCTTTGGTGCTCGGGCCTTTGTTTTAGGAGGTGAGATGGCGTTGCACCTCCCCTGGCTCAATTTTTAAGTATTTCTAAATTTGGGCACTCCAGTGGTATATGCTGGCTACATACAGACTTATTTGACCAAAGAATCCTTTATTCAAGTTATTGGTTATAATACTTTTGTTGTTGTTTTTTGTTTTGTTTTGTTTTGTTTTTGAGACGGAGTCTCGCTCTGTTGCCCAGGCTGGAGTGCAGTGGCGCCATCTCAGCTCACTGCAACCTGTGCCTCCGGGGTTCACACTATTCTCATGTCTCAGCCTCCCGAGTAGCTGGGATCACAGGCGCCCGCCACTGCGCCCAGCTAATTTTTGTATTTTTAGTAGAGACGGGGTTTCACCATGTTGGTCAGGTTGGTCTTGAACTCCTGACTTCAGGTGATCCACCCGCCTCGGCCTCCCAAAGTGCTGGGATTACAGGCGTGAGTCACCACGCCCGGCCTTAGTTATAGTGCTTTTGAACACATTTTGGGAAATAATTCTGATGCATTTTTTTCCGTGCCTTACAGTTTCCCTTTTCATGCTTTGGGTTGCTTCCTGATGTCTTAATTCCACTGCTAAATACTCCACCAACAATGGTTTTTTTTAATTTTAATTTTTTAATTTTATAAAGACTAATCAAAGCCTTAATTTCATAAATATGAACCGTGTTTACAGAATGTTAGCACTAAAGTTAACACATCCGTGTTAGCCAGGATGGTCTCGATCTCCTGACCTCGTGATCCGCCTGCCTCAGCCTCCCAAAGTGCTGGGATTATAGGCGTGAGCCACCGTGCTGGGCTTTTTTTTTTTTTTTTGAGACGGAGTCTCACTCTGTCACCCAGGCTGGAGTGCAGTGGTGCGATCTCCGCTCACTGCAAGCTCTGCTGCCACCCGGGTTAATGCCATTCTCCTGCCTCAGCCTCCCTAGAAGCTGGGACTACAGGCGCCCGCCACCACACCCAGCTAATTTTTTTGTATTTTCAGTAGAGACAGAGTTTCGCTGTGTTCGCCAGGATGGTCTCGATCTCCTGACTTCGTGATCCGTCCACCTTGGCCTCCCAAAGTGCTGGCATTACAGGCGTGAGCCACCGCGCCTGGCCTCAGCCGACTTTTAATATTTTTAAAGTGCTGTCAAGCCAGATCCATGGAGATTGTCATGTGTTTGAAATTAGCATAATTGGTTGTTTTGGGGTGGTTTGTTTGTTTTTTTTGTTCTTTGATTTTGATTTTGTTTTTGTTTTTTGAGGCAGGGTCTTGCTCTGTCACCCAGGCTGGAGTTCAATAGTGCAATCACAGCTGCAGGTCACTGCAGCCTCAACCTCCTGAGCTTAAGTGATACTCCCACCTCAGCCTCCTGAGTAGCTGGGACCACAGGTTTGTGCCACCACACCTGGCTAATCTTTGTATTTTTTGTGGAGACGGGGTTTCACCATGTTGGCCAGGCTGGTCTCAAACTCCTGACCTCAAGTGATCCACCCGCCTCAGCCTCTCAAAGTTCTGGGATTACAGATGTGAGCCACTGCACCTGGCACTCGGTTTGTTTTGTTTTTATTTTTTGAGACAGAGTCTTGCTCTGTCACCCAGGCTGGAGTGCAGTGGCAAGATCTCGGCTCATTGCAACCTCTGCCTCTCATGTTCAAGCAATTCTCATACCTCAGCCTCCCAAATAGCTGGGATTACAGGTGTGTGCCACTATGCCTGGCCAATTTTTGTATTTAGTGGAGACAGGATTTCACCATGTTGGCCAGGGTGGTCTCGAGTCCAGGCCCGCCTCGGACTCCCAGAGTGCTGAGATTACAGGCATGAGCCACTGTGCCCGACCTCAGTTATTTTTAATGTACTAGTTAATTACACGCTTCGAGCATGACCCAGGTCATACTGACAGGCCCAGTCATTTGACTAGTGAGTTTTCCTTTTTTTTTTTTGAGACGGAGTTTCACTCTTGTTGCCCAGGCTAGAGTGCAGTGGCGCAATCTCCGCTCACTGCAAGCTCCGCTTCCAGGGTTCACGCATTCTCTTGCCTCAGCCTCCCGAGTAGCTGGGACCACAGGTGCCCACCACCACGCCTGGCTAATTTTTTGTATTTTTAGTAGAGATCGGGTTTCACCATGTTAGTCCGGATGGTGTCGATCTCTTGACTTCATGATCCCCCTGCCTCGGCCTCCCAAAGTGCTGGGATTACAGGGGTGAGCCACCGTGCCTGGCCTTGACTAGTGAATTTTCATTGCTCAAGCTGAATGTCTTAGGTTTAAACAGATGGCATCTAGCCAGTAGATAGCTTGATAAAATCCCAGAAACTATAATATCTATAATGGTGAAATTCTGAACTAGTTTTGGAGCAAAGTTAATTTTAAAATTGTGCCACATTGCACTTTTTAGGAGAGTGGAGACCACTGAAATCAAAGTAGGATATCCTGAGCTAATTGCAGAAAGACTTTTTTTTAGAGATGGAATCTCACTCTGTTGCCCAGGCTGGAATGCAGTGGCACGATCTCTGCTCACTGCAAACTCCGCCACCAGGGTTCAAGCAATTCTCCTGTCTCAGCTTCCCAAGTAGCTGGGATTACAGGCGTCCACCACCATGCCTGGCTAATTTTGTATTTTTAGTAGAGACAGGGTTTCACCATGTTGGCCAGGCTGGTCTCAAACACCTGACCTCAGGTGATCCACCCGCCTCGGCCTCCCAGAGTGCTAGAATTATAGGCATGAGCCACTGTACCCAGCTCATTCCAGAAAGATTTTGAGCAGTTGTTTTTATATGGTAGTTTTATGGTGGACATAATTTCCACAATTTATTGTGCTAAAGGTATGGCTGTAAAGACCCAAAAACACTTCAGTTTGATTATTTTATGGTAACTATATTTTCTTAGGTTTAACGTGTGACCCTAAAGAACTGGAAACCCAAAGGAACCAATATTCCTGCCCCACAGAGTCCCATCTTTAGTGAGGCTGTTTCTGGAGTTTATATGATGACCAAGGTACTAGGCATGGCCCCAGTTCTGGGCCCTAGGCCTCCACAGGAGCAGGTGGGGCCTCTGATGGTAAAAGTCGAGGAGAAAGAAGAGAAAGGCAAGTGCCTTCCTAGCCTGGAGATGTTCCGCCAGCGGTTCAGGCAGTTTGGGTACCATGACACCCCCGGGCCCCGAGAGGCCCTGAGCCAGCTCCGGGTGCTCTGCTGTGAGTGGCTGAGGCCCGAGATCCACACCAAGGAGCAGATTCTGGAGCTACTGGTGCTGGAGCAGTTCCTGACCATCCTGCCCCAGGAGCTCCAGGCGTGGGTGCAGGAACACTGCCCGGAGAGCGCTGAAGAGGCTGTCACTCTCCTCGAAGATCTGGAGCGGGAACTGGATGAGCCAGGACACCAGGTAGGCGGGAAGACCTTTGTTATTCTAGGAGATTGGGAGCCAAACATTCTAGGCAGGAACAAGGGTTTGTCCATACAGTAAGCTTCGCTGAATGGAAATTTCTACTGAATTAGACCTTGTTTCCTCCTATATTTCTCTGTCATCCAAAACTAACTTTTAGCCTTGGGAATGGAACAGGATGGGTGTTTTCCTTTTCTCTTTCCTAGAGGTTCTGTATAGCTCTCCTGGGATTTTCATTCTTGTTCTTAAAGTGAGCCATGCACAAACCCAGCCATTCCTAATTGTTTTTAGGTCTCAACTCCTCCAAATGAACAGAAGCCGGTATGGGAGAAGATATCCTCCTCGGGAACCGCAAAGGAATCCCCGAGCAGCGTGCAGCCACAGCCCTTGGAGACCAGTCACAAATACGAGTCTTGGGGGCCCCTGTACATCCAAGAGACTGGTGAGGAGCAGGAGTTCACTCAAGATCCGAGAAAGACCCGAGGTGAGGACCAGCCGTTAGACTCCTGTTCAGTGCCCCGGGCCTCTGTGGTTGGAGAAGCAGAATAATTTGTAATTCTTTGTTGTGAGGTGATTTCATAGATTGACTTGATTGGTTGGGCTGACTGGGTGGACATAGTCCCCTTTCCTCCCCCAAGTAAGCCTGTCTTCACCTGGGCCCTAGCATGGGGATGGATCACTCTTAAAGGATCAGTTTCTCTTTGAAGTTTCGGTATTACAAATAATTTTTTTTTAAAGGGTCGATTGAAGTGAGTTTAATAAAGAAACTGTTAACAGAGGTGTAGACAGTTCGAATGAACCAGTAAGGAATAGTGTTGCACCCGACAACAGTGAAAAGCTGTTACTCCCTGTGAGCCTAAAGGGACGGGCAGAGGCGGGGCCTTGTTACCAGAACCAGGTAAGACCTATAGTCTTGGAGGAGGGGGTCACTCGATAGAAGTTGTGGCTGCAGGCCCTGCCGTGGGGTGAGGAGAAAACGGAATAAATACCCCAACTGCACCCTCCTCCTGCCCTTAAATCTCCTGCTTTTGTTCCCCAATGGCAAACCCAGTTGGCAGCCAGAGGGCAGGAAAGACAAGACAGTGTGGCCCTTAGGGTCAGCTTACTGGGGCACAGGCGGGGGCAGAGAATGGATCTGGGAAGGGCAAATGGAAAATAATTGGCAGCCTCCTTTCTGAAGCTATGGAAAGAGATGGGGCGTTTTTCACACGTCAAAGATACATTAGGTGACTACTCCTGAGCTCAAATCTCCATATATTATGGTTTATAGAATAATCTCAGGCCACAAATGGTCATCCCCTGTCGGGGTGTTTTTGTGTGTTTTTCTGAGACAGGGATTCCATCTGTCACCCAGGCTGGACGGCAGCCTCAATCTCTGGGGCTCAAGTGATCCTCCCGCCTCAGCCTCCCAAGTAGCTGGGACCACCGTGTCTGGCTAACTTTATATTTTTTTTTTGTAGAGAGAGGGTCTCACTATGTTGCCCAGGCTGGCCCTATGTTATTTTGTTATTTTATGGTTTCTACTCTTAAGTACCTTCATTTACCTGAAGGATTAGAACTAAATTTTTGAAACAAGAGTTAATGTTTAATTATATGTTTGCAAAAATATGGCATGTTATTCCAAATCCTAATAGTTTCAAACCAGGACTTTGCTTACGTGTTGGTGGTGTAGGCCACTATTTATGTGTGTGGTGTGATTTCATGACAAGAGTCCATGGCCCTCAGAAATCTCCCTCCGTGCTTGCTGTGTCTGAAACGTGAAACTCCCTCGTGGAAATAGAGTTTTGAGCCGAGTTAAAAATCACATTTTCTAGGAAAAGTAAAAAATTAAACTCTTTTTTTTTTTTTTTTTTTTTTTTTGAGACGGAGTCTCGCTTTGTCGCCCAGGCTGGAGTGCAGTGGCCGGATCTCAGCTCACTGCAAGCTCCGCCTCCCGGGTTTACGCCATTCTTCTGCCTCAGCCTCCCGAGTAGCTGGGACTACAGGCGCCCACCACCTCGCCCGGCTAGTTTTTTGTATTTTTAGTAGAGACGGGGTTTCACCATATTAGCCAGGATGGTCTCCATCTCCTGACCTCGTGATCTGCCCGTCTCGGCCTCCCAAAGTGCTGGGATTACAGGCTTGAGCCACCGAAAAATTAAACTCTTAACTAAATTCTTCACAGTTTATGGTGAACTCAGTAGACCTCTCCAGGCAATTGGGGTCTCCCCAGAGTTGCCACAGTAATTAGAGATAAAAATAGCCAGAGACCTATCTGGTCAGTTTTATTTTCCATATCTCTTGGTGTAGCCCCTTGGCAGTATTACACAAAGAAGAGGGTGGAGTGGAAGGATTATCAGAGCCAGGAACAGGCTTGGGTTTTAGTACCCAGATGGGACAGAAGACAAAGCTGCTGGGCCCTCCTAAGGAAAGGGAAGTTGACTCTGAAAGCTTTAGAAAGCATAAAGTCTTTATTTTTTTTTTTTGAGATGGAGTCTGCCTCTGTCTCCAGGCTGGAGTGCAGTGATGCAATCTCAGCTCAGTGCAACCTCTGCCTCCCAGGTTCAAGAGATTCTTCTGCCTCAGCCTCCCAAGTAGCTGGAACTACAGGCACGTACCACCACGTGCCCAGCTCTTTTTTTTTTTTTTTTTTTTGAGACAGAGTCTCGCTCTGTCGCCCAGGCTGGAGTGCAGTGGCCGGATCTCAGCTCACTGCAAGCTCCGCCGCCCGGGTTCACGCCATTCTTCTGCCTCAGCCTCCCAAGTAGCTGGGACTACAGGCGCCTGCCACCTCGCCCCGCTATTTTTTTGTATTTTTTAGTAGAGACGGGGTTTCACCGTGTTAGCCAGTATGGTCTCGATCTCCTGACCTTGTGATCCACCTGTCTCGGCCTCCCAAAGTGCTGGGATTACAGGCTTGAGCCACCGCGCCCAGTCTTTTTTTTTTTTTTTTTAAACAGAGTTTCGCTCTTGTTGCCCAGGCTGGAATACGGTGGCGCCATCTTGGCCCACTGGAACCTCCACCTTCTGGTTTCAAGTGATTCTCCTGCCTCAGCCTCCTGAGTAGCTGGGATTACAGGCGCCCGCCACCATGCTCAGCGAATTTTTGTATTTTTAGTAGAGATGGGTTTCACATTGGCCAGACTGGTCTCGAACTCCTGACCTCATGATCCGCTCTTCTCGGTCTCCCAAAGTGCTGGGATTACAGGCATGAGCTACCACGCCCAACCAAGAAATTGTTAATAAAAACACAAACAGGCACCTTTGATAAAAACAAAATAGAATTTCTAAAAGTGAAAACTGTAGTCATTGAAATTAAGAATGCAGTGGCTGTTTTAAATAATCAAGGACATGATTAGTAAACAGAGGTAGATGTGAGGAAGTCATCTGAAATACTGCTTAGAAAGATGAAGGTGGCAGGCATTGGACATCAGTATGGGATCAGATGAGGATGTCCAGCGTATGTTTAATAGCTGTTCCAGAGGAGGAGGACAGAGTTGGAGAGGACAGACATGGTGGCTCACACCAGTCATCCCAGCACTTTGGAAGGCCTAGGCTGGCAGATCTCTTGGGGGCCAGGAGTTCAAGACCAGACTGGCCAACATAGTGAAACCCTGCCTCTACTAAAAATAAAAAAATTAGCCGGGCGCGGTGGCTCAAGCCTGTAATCCCAGCACTTTGGGAGGCTGAGACGGGCGGATCACAAGGTCAGGAGATCGAGACCATCCTGGCTAACACGGTGAAACCCCGTCTCTACTAAGAAATACAAAAAACGGCCGGGTGCGGTGGCTCAAGCCTGTAATCCCAGCACTTTGGGAGGCCGAGACGGGCGGATCACGAAGTCAGGAGATCGAGACCATCCTGGCTGACACTGTGAAACCCCGTCTCTACTAAAAACTACAAAAAAAAAAAAAAACTAGCCGGGCGAGGTGGCGGGCGCCTGTAGTCCCAACTACTCGGGAGGCTGAGGCAGGAGAATGGCGTGAACCCGGGAGGCGGAGCTTGCAGTGAGCTGAGATCCGGCCACTGCACTCCAGCCTGGGTGGCAGAGCGAGACTCCGTCTCAAAAAAAAAAAAAAAAAAAAAAAAAAAATACAAAAAACTAGCCGGGCGAGGTGGCGGGCGCCTGTGGTCCCAGCTACTCCGGAGGCTGAGGCAGGAGAATGGCGTAAACCCGGGAGGCGGAGCTTGCAGTGAGCTGAGATCCAGCCACTGCACTCCAGCCTGGGCGACAGAGCCAGACTCAGTCTCAAAAAAAAAAAATAAAAATAAAAAAAATAAATAAATAAATTGGGCATGGTGGCACTTGCCTGGAATCCCAGCTATTCAGGAGGCTGAGACATGAGAATCACTTAAACCTGGGAGGCAGAGGTTGCAGTGAGCGGAGATCATGCCACTGCATTCCAGCCTGGGCAACAGAGCTAGACCCTGTCTCAAAAAAAAAAAAAAAAAAAAAGAGGAAGAGAGACTAGTGACCAAGAGAAAATGCTAAGTTGTCCAGAGTGATGAAATATATAAATCCTAAGATTCAGGAAACAATCCCAAGTAAGATAAATAAAATATAGATAATGAGTAAAACTGCAGAATGTCTAAATTTATAGAATGTCTTAAAAGTAGGCTGGGCGCAGTGGCTCACGCCTGTAATCCCAACACTTTGGGAGGCCGAGGTGGGCGGATCACGAGGTCAGGAGATCAAGATCATCCTGGCCAACATGGTGAAACCCCGTCTCTACTAAAAATACAAAAATTAGCTGGTCATGGTGGCATGCACCAGTAGTCCCAGCTACTCGGGAGGCTGAGGCAGGAGAATCACTTGAAGCCAGGAGGCGGAGGTTGCAGTGAGCCGAGATCGCGCCATTGTACTCCAGCCTGGTGACAGAGCGAGGCTCCATCTCAAAAAAAAAAAAAAAAAAAACAATAACCCAGACTGGCTGGACATGGTGGCTCACACCTGTAATCCCAACACTTTCGGAGACTGATGCAGGAGGATCACCTGAGGTCAGGAGTTCGAGACCAGCCTGGCCAACATAGAGAAACCCCGTATCAGCTGGGCATGGTGGCACGCGCCTGTAGTCCCAGCTACTCCGGAGGCTGAGGCGGGGGGAATTGCTTGAACCTGGGAGGCGGAGGTTGCAGTAAGTCAAGATCGCGTCACTGCACTCTGGCCTGGTGCAACAGAGTAAGACCCCATCAAAAAGAAAAAGAAAGAAAAACATCCCTACTAAAAATACAAAAATTAGTTGAGCGTGTTGGCGCACGCCTGTAGTCCCAGCTACTTGGGAGGCTGAGGCAGGAAAATCACCTGAACCCAGGAGGTAGAGGTTGTGGTGGAGGCAGTGACCCAAGATTGCGCCACTGCACTTCAGCCTGGGCGACAGAGTGAGACCCCATCTCAAAAGTAACCAAGACATAAAAGACAGATTACCACCTCAAAGGAATGCTGATTAGACTAATTGCAAACTACCCAGCAGTAACAGTGCAGCCTGGAAGACAATGACATAAATAGTCCTGGTAAATTCTTTTTTAATTTTTGCCTCATTCAGCTGTTTTTTAAAATGTTAACTTTTGGCTGGGCATGGTGGCTCACACCTGTAATCCCTGCACTTTGGGAGGCCAAAGCAGATGGATCACTTGAGGCCAGGAGTTCGATGCCAGCCTGAGCAACATGGTAAAACCCCATCTGTACAAAAAATACAAAAATTAGCCAGGTGTGGTGACTAGTGCCTGGGGTCCCAGCTACTTGGGAGGCTGAGGCAGGAGGATCATTTGAGCCTGGGAGGTGGAGGTTGCAGTGAGCTAAGATCATGCCACTGTACTCCCACCTGGGCAACAGAGCCAGACCCTGTCTCAAAACAAAACAAAAATAAAGTTTTATGAAGTTACTTCTTTCCCACACATGTAGTCCATGGCTGTGCAGTGACTCGAAGAGAAGTCTGCGTGTAGGCAAGCCATTGCTAATTATGGAGAGTGAAAAGGACTTTAGCTGCTGAAGCTCTGACCCCCAGCAGATGGGGAGGAGAGAGTGAGCCTGGAAGCAGCTGATAGTCACTGTCAGCAAAGGAAGGAGACAGCTGGGCAGAGAGAGAGAAGCTGTCAGGGCAGTTCCTAGGGAAGGGGAAAGGGCTTTGGAGGAAGGTAGCTTGCTGACAGGCTTCCGTACCCTCAGAGGACTAACAGTTCTCAAAGGGGGCCCATTTTTCAGAGGGAATTTCTCTTACTCCCCTTTTCCCTGATGTGGATGACCAGGTGGACTTTGAAGAGGTGTGACTGCCTGGTGAGGCGTTCTAAAAAGATAAACTGGTTCCATCTGGTTTCAACAGTGAGTGTCACTTTATAACTAAATTACAAGACGTAGCCAGTGTGAGTGAAATGATGAGGTTAAGCCCTCCTGGAGATCACGCACTTTCGTTCCGATTGATACGGATCTGGGGCTGGAATGATTGTAAATGGTCAGAATGTCCTGATTGCTTTTATGTTCAATTGCTGTGGGAACATGGGTTTTTGTGAGTTTGCCACTCAGCCTCTTCCTTAATTGTCCTTGTCATTTTCCTTACCTCTGGCCCTGCAGCAATCAATTTTTTTTAATTAAAAAAAAAAATTTTTTTTTTTTTTTAATTAAAAAAGGCCGAGCGTGGTGGCTCATGCCTGTAATTCCAACACTTTGGGAGGCCGAGGCGGGTGGATCACCTGAGGTCAGGAGTTCTAGACCAGCCTGACTATGGTCTAGAACATGGAGAAACCCTGTCTCTACTAAAAATACAAAATAAGCCAGGCGTGGTGGCACATGCCTATACTCCCAGCTAGTCAGGAGGCTGAGGCAGGAGAGTCGCTTGAACCTGGGAGGTGGAGGTTATGGTGAGCCAATATTGCACCATTGCACTCCAACCTAGACAACAGGAGCAAAACTCCGTCTCAAAAAAAAACAAAAAAAAAAGCTGGGTGCGGTGGCTCACGTCTGTAATCCAGCAGGTGGATCACCTGATGTCAGGAGTTTGACACCAGCCTGGCCAACATGGTGAACCCCATCTCTGTGCTAGGTGCTTCTGGTCCCAGCTATTCAGGAGGCTGAGTCAGGAGAATCACTTGAACCCAGGCGCGGAGGCTGCGGTGAGCCAACATAACACCACTGCACTCCAGCCTGGGCAACAGAAATAAATAAATAAATATTTTTTAAAAGATAGGGTCTCACTTTGTTGCCCAGGCTGGCACAATCATGGCTCACTGCCGCCTTGACCCACTGCAACCTTGACTTTCCAGGCTTAAGTGATCTCACCTTAGTATCCCAAGTAGCTGGAACCACAGGGGCACACCATGCCTGCCTAATTTTTTTATTTTTACTTTTTGTGGAAATAGGGTCTCCTTATATTGCCCCAGCTGGTCTTGAACTCCCAGATTCAAACCATCCTCCCACCTCAGCTCCCAAAGTGCTGGGATTACAGGCGTAAGCTCCTGTGCCCGGCTACCACTTTCCTATGTCCTGCATTTTGCCTTCTGTATGTGAAGTTGTTTTTCTGGCAGAAAAAGCCATGTTCTCTTCACATCCTAATGCTTCGGGTGGGGGCTTGTGTGAAAGTGTGGTATGGAGGCCGGGCCTGGTGGCTGACGCCTGTAATCCCAGCACTTTGGGAGGCTGAGGTGGGCGGATCACAAGGTCAGGAGATCAAGACCATCCTGGCCAACATGTCGAAACCCCATCTATACTAAAAAAAAAATACAAAAAATAGTGGGTGTGGTGGCATGTGCCTGTAATTCCAGCTACTCTGGAGGCTGAGGCAGGAGAATCGCTTGAATCAGGGAGTTGGAGATTGCAGTGAGCCGAGGTCGCCTGCATTCCCGCCTGCTGACAGTGAGACTCCGTCTCAAATAAAGAAGTGCAGCATTGTAAACTAGATTGCATGCTGATTTACTTGTATCTGTGCGCTATCATGAGCTCTATTTAGTCACCCTTCAGTATCTGTCAGTCTCACCTGATGGTTCTATTTCTCTGGTAAACAGTTTCTTCCTCAGAACAAGAAACAACTGAAGTATCCTTAATCTGCTTATTGTTTCAGATTGCAGATTGAGTACCCAGCATGAGGAATCAGCAGATGAGCAGAAAGGTTCTGAAGCAGATGGGCTCAAAGGGGATATAATTTCTGTGATTATCGCCAATAAACCTGAGGCCAGGTTAGAGAGGCAGTGCGTAAAACTTGAAAATGAAAAAGGAGCAAAACCCCCTCTTCAAGAGTCAGGCTCCAAGAAAGGTAGAGAATCAGTTCCTACTAAACCTACCCCAGGAGAGAGACGTTATATATGTGCTGAGTGTGGCAAAGCCTTTAGTAATAGCTCAAATCTCACCAAACACCGGAGAACACACACTGGGGAGAAACCTTACGTGTGCACCAAGTGTGGGAAAGCTTTCAGCCACAGCTCAAACCTCACCCTCCACTACAGAACACACTTGGTGGACCGGCCCTACGACTGTAAGTGTGGAAAAGCCTTTGGGCAGAGCTCAGACCTTCTTAAACATCAGAGAATGCACACCGAGGAGGCGCCGTATCAGTGCAAAGATTGTGGCAAGGCTTTCAGTGGGAAAGGCAGCCTCATTCGTCACTATCGGATCCACACTGGGGAGAAGCCTTATCAGTGTAACGAATGTGGGAAGAGCTTCAGTCAGCACGCGGGCCTCAGCTCCCACCAGAGACTTCACACCGGAGAGAAGCCATATAAGTGTAAGGAGTGTGGGAAAGCCTTCAACCACAGCTCCAACTTCAATAAACACCACAGAATCCACACTGGGGAAAAGCCCTACTGGTGTCATCACTGTGGAAAGACCTTCTGTAGCAAGTCCAATCTTTCCAAACATCAGCGAGTCCACACTGGAGAGGGAGAAGCACTGTAACTGCCACGTGCGCTCGTGTTGTCGTGGTTGTTTTAAACTTTAGCATCTGAACACCAGGAAGAAGTCTTGTCGTTGCAGCAGCATTGATTCCAGTGATAGAGTTTGTGTCACTCAACATTGGGATGCCTGAGGAGTGAGAGCTCCACAGCAACACGACAGGCAGGAGGTCCTCAGAAGGTGTCGGGAGGTTCCACACTCGCCAGTTCACTGGAGCCAGAGTCCCTTCCCCACACTTAGGGTCCCAGTAAACCATGCCAGCATTACCTTTTGCATAGTTAAACTGATGTGTATCCAGTCTAGTTAAGGAAGAAACATTAAGACTTTAATTTTTAACATATATTCAAGAATTTTAATTTGTAAAGAATTGAGCCACATTGAACACAATTGAATGAGATTCAGAATAAACTTATAACATCTTGTAATGCCTCAGGACTGTTATAACAAATGATGTGTTGGTTATTGAATACTTACAGATGGAGAAAACTATTCCTACTGGTTTCGCTTTTAGAAAATTTGGATTTGGGGTCAGGCACAGTGACTCATGCCTGTAATCCCAGCACTTTGGAAGGCTGAGGCGGTCGGATCACCTGAGGTCAGGAGTTCGAGACCAGCCTGGCCAAAATGGCAAAACACTGTCTCTACTAAAGATACAATTAGCTGGGCATGATGGCAGGTGCCTGTAGTCCAAGCTACTTGGGAGGCTGAGGTGGGAGAGTCGCTCGAACCCGGGAGGCAGAGGTCGCAGTGAGCCGACATTGCGCCACTGCACTCCAGCCTGGGTGACAGAGCGAGACTCCGTCTCAAAAAAAAAAGTAAAGTGAATGCTTTCACTAGATAATAACTGCATACCAAGAGCCAAGGGCCATGTTGAACCGTCCCAGCACAGCTGTTGTGGATGGGTTTGTGGCAGACAACCATTAACGGCCACAACTCATCTGTTTTTTACAGAAGCCATACAGAAGGAGTGTCTTTTGCATCTTTGAGGGCAGTAATAATCACTTCAGTTCCATTCAGGGTGTGGTATTCTTTTTTTTTTTTTGAGATGGAGTTTCGCTCTTGTCCAGGCTGGAGTGCAATGGCGTGATCTTGGCTCACCGCAACCTCTGCCTCCTGGGTTCAAGCGATTCTCCTGCCTCAGCCTTCCTAGTAGCTGGGATTACAGGCATGTGCCACCATGCCCAGCTAATTTTGTATTTTTAGTAGAGACGGGGTTTCTCCATGTTGGTCAGGCTGGTCTCGAACTCCCGACCTCAGCTGATCCACTTGCCTCAGCCTCTGAGTGCTGGGATTACAGGCGTGAGCCACCGCGCCTGGCCAGGGTGTGGTACTTCTTTCTTGCCACTTTGATTGGCTGGGGAAGGGCAGGGTGTGCAGGAGTTTCCACTTGACCCTTTTTCCTATGACCTACCTGTGCTACAGGTTAAGTAACCAATGTGCTGGGCATCTATCCCCCTGCTAAACATATCCCAATTATTTTCTCAGGGACATGGCCATAGGGTGAGTCTGTCCCCACTGGGCCCACTGAGATGGATTTGGGCCAGGACTCCATTTATCAGCTGACCTCTGTCTGGAGGGCAATGGTAAGTTTTAGATTTGTGTCATCTTAGATCCTATATCAAAAAGCCTCAAAAGGCCTGGGCATTCTGTTTTCCTAATACATTAGTGAACAGCCACAGGTCCTTCGGAGAAATATTTATTGTATATACTTGTGGTACAGTTGGAAGGTCTTCAAAAAAACCCAAACTCCCCTTGAGTTGATGGATTCCGAATCTCAGAACTGGCTCAGATCTGGAAAGTAGCAGAAGGATTGCAATTTCCCATTGTTAACAGCTGGTATCAGCCTTCTCATCCACTCTTGGGATTTTTTTGCTTATACAAATCAAAGCCTCACCCTGTTGGCTGAAAGTTTTTGCTAAGAACACCAAGGGTTATTAGTCAATGCCACAGATTCCTGTGGGTCAAGACACCCTAGTGGGCCAGGAGTGGCTCCTGCCTGTAATCCCAGCACTTTGGGAGGCTGATGCAGAAGGATTGTTTGAGCCCGGGAGTTCGAGACCAGCCTGGGCAACATAGTGAGATCCCATCTCTATTGTTTTTTTTAAATTCATATTTAAACAAAAATAAGGCCGGGTGTGGTGGCTTACGCCTCTAATCCCAGCACTTTGGGAGGCCAAGGCAGGCAGATGACGAGGTCAGGAGATCGAGACCATCCTGGCTCAGTGAAACCCCGTCTTTACTAAAAATACAAAAAAAAAAAAAAGAAAGAAAAATTAGCCAGGCGTGGTGGTGGGTGCCTGTAGTCTCAGCTACTCAGGAGGCTGAGGCAGGAGAATGGCATGAACCTGCGAGGTGGAGCTTGCAGTGAGCCGAGATCGCACCGCTGCACTCCAGCCTGGGTGACAGAGCAAGACTCCGTCTCAAAAAATAAATAAAAACAGGCCGGGTGTGGTGGCTCACACCTGTAATCCCAGCACTTTGGGAGGCTGAGGCAGGTGGATCACCTGAAGTCAGGAGTTCAAGACCAGCCTGGCCAACATGGTGAAACCTTGTCTCTACTAAAAATACAAAAAATCAGCCGGGCGTGGTGGCGGGTGCCTGTAGTCCCATCTTCTTGGGAGGCTGAGGCAGAATAGCATGAACCCAGGAGGCGGAGCTTGCGGTGAGCTGAGATTGTGCCACTATACTCCAGCCTGGACGACAGAGCAAGACTCCGTCTCAAAAAGAAAGAAAAAATACAAAAATTAGCCGGGTGTGGTGGCATGCGCCTGTAGTCCCAGCTACTCAGGAGGCTGAGGCAGGAAAATTGCTTGAACCCGGGAGGCAGAGGTTGCAGTGAGCCGAGACTGCCCCATTGCACTCCAGCCTGGGTGACAAAGCGGAACTCCATCTCAAAAAAAAATCACCCTAGTTGCCACTCTGGCCTTGTTGCCCATCATGGTAATTGCGTCCACTTTACCTGTGAGAGCTCAGTGCCACTGCCTGGCCTCTGCTGACCAGTCATCCTATTAACAACAGGGAACTCTGTTCTGTGGCAGAATCTCCTACTGTTAACCCTGCTGAGGCAGCTGTCACTGAACAATCCCGGTGTTGCCCTCAGTTCATCCTTTATTGTCTGAGTGAACGGGAAGCTATTTAGGCCCTCTGAGATAACATAGGTGTTTGGTTCTCAGGACTCATGTAAGAAATTCATTTTAACACACACTGAGTCTGCTGACACCCTTTCTCTGCTCATCATTTCATCAACTCTACTTCATTTACTGTAGGCCATCATTCCTCACCAAGTATTGGATTGTGTTTTTTTTTTCTTTTCATAGACGGAGTCTCATTATATTGCCTAGCCTAGTTCTGAACTCCTCGGCTCAAGCAGTCCTCCCATCTCAGCTTCTTGAGTAGCTGAAACTACAGATGTGTGCCACCACGCCCAGCTAATTTTTTTTTGTAGAGACTGGGTCTCACTGTGTTGCCAGGGTGGTCTGGAACTCCTCAATTCAAGCAGTTCTCCTACCTCAGCCTCCCAGAGTGTTGACACTACAGGCGTGAGCCACTGCACCCAGCTGATGATTTAATACGTGAAAACCACTTGGAAAAGAGCCAGGCAATGCTGACACAGAGTATATGCCATGTATCAGCTGCTGCTACCATCACTTGCAAATCCCATCTCCTCTATAACCTCAACTCTGAAAACCTCTGAAAACAGTATCTTTCCACTTCAGCTTTACTGAACCTGCCCAGGGCTTGATGCTGGTTAGATGGAGAAGGATGAGGAGTATAATCAAAGAAAACTTACAAAATTTTGACCCTGACAGGTTTACAGAAATTTTAAGAGAGGGCAATAAATGGGAAAGTGAGATCTGGTTTGAAACATACTATGAAACTGTAGAAAGTCCAGTAGTAACTGCTCTGCAGTCCACTGGAGACCCACGACTGAGGCTTGGGAGAGCCATCAGGACAACATGGGCAGATTTTTTTTTCTTCTTTGAGACAGAGTCTCGCTCTGTTGCCCAGGCTGGAGTGCAGTGGCCTGATCTCAGCTCCCTGCAGCCTCCACCTCCTGGGTTCAAGTGATTCTCCTGCCTCAGCATCCCGAGTAGCTGGGATTACAGGCACATGCCACCAAGCCTGGCTAATTTTTGTATTTTTAGTAGAGACGGTTTCACCATGTTGGCCAGACTGGTCTCGAACTCCTGACCTCATGATCCACCCACCTTGGTCTCCCAAAGTGCTGGGATTACAGCCTTGAGAACACAGGCAGATTTAAAACTTATTTGCATAGGCCGGGCGTAGTGGCACATGCCTGTAATCCCAGCACTTTGGGAGGCTGAGGCAGGCAGATCATGAGGTCAGGAGTTTGAGACCAGCCTGGCCAACATGGTGAAACCCTGTATCTACTAAAAATACAAAAATTAGCTGGGCGTGGTGGTGGGCGCCTATAATCTCAGCTACTAGGGAGGCTGAGGTTGCAGTAAGCCAAGATTGCTCAACTGCACTCCAGCCTGGGCAAGAGCGAGACTCTGTCTCAAAAAAAAGAAAAAAAAGATAATCTATAAAGTAATTTTATTTTATTTTTGAGACCGTCTTGCTCTGTCATCATGCGGTGGTGCAATCACAGGGGCTCACTGCAGCCTCAACTTCTGGGCTCAAGCAATCCTCTTAACCTCAGCCTCCCGAGTAGCTGGGACCGCAAGTGTGCACCACCACACCCAGCTAATTTTTTTTGGAGACGGAGTCTCACTCTGTCGCCCAGACTGGAGTACAATGGTGCGATCTCGTGTGTAAGTGATTCTCCTCCCTCAGTCTCCTGAGCAGCTGGGATTACAGGCACGCGCCACCACACTCAGCTGATTTTTTGTTTGTTTGCTTTTAGGAGATGGCGTTTCACCATGTTGGTCAGGCTGGTCTCAAACTCCTGACCTTGTGACCTGCCCACCTTAGCCTCCCAAAGTGCTAGGATTACAAGTGGGAGCCACGGCACCCAGCCCTAATTTTTTAAAAATTTTGTTGTAGAGATAGGGTCTTGCCACATTGCCTAGGCTGGTCTGAGGAGATTCTACTGCCTTGGCCTCCCAAAGTATTGGGATTATAAGCATGAGCCACTGCACCTAGCCTATAAAGAAATTTTAGTGTTGGGCACAGTGGCTCACGCCTATAATCCCAGCACTTTGGGAGGCTGAGGCTGGCAGATTGCTAGAGCTCAGTTTAAGACCAGCCTGGGCAACATGGTGAAACCCCGTCTCTACTAAAAATACAAAAATTAGCTGGGGCATGGTGGCGCACACCTGTAGTCCCAGCTACTCTGGAGACTGAGGCACAAGAATTGCTTGAACCTGGGAGGCAGAGGCAGCAGTGAGCCAAGATGGCGCCACTGCATTCTAGCCTGGGCAACAGAGCGAGACACTGCCTCAAACAAAAAAAGAAAAATTTAAGTCAACTTTCAGATTCCATTTATAGTCACCAACATGTCTTTTTTTTTTTTTTTTTTTTTGAGATGGAGTTTCGCTTTTGTTGCCCAGGCTGGAGTTCAGTGGCGCGATCTCAGCTTACTGCAACCTGCAACTAACTCTTGGGTTCAAGCAATTCTCCTGGCTTAGCCTCCCGAGTAGCTGGGATTACAGGCATGTGCCACCACACCCAGCTAATTTTGTTTTTAGTAGAGACGGGGTTTCTCCATGTTGGTCAGTATGGTCTAGAACTCCTGACCTCGGGTGATCTGCCAGCCTTGGCCTCCCAAAGTGCTGGCTGGCATTACAGGTGTGAGCCACCATACCCAAGCCAACATGTCTTGTTTTAACTGAAATGTACGGTCCAAACTGCACAAAACCACACTCAATCTCTTCTGAAAAACTATTCTGTTTAATAGTGCACTTCATTTATGCTACAGGATGAGCAGGGTTAGGAAAACACAATGGAAGGTCATCCCGTCGGTTGGGAATACTTGGAGAACGCCATCCTCACCCAGCAACGAGCTCTGCCATCAGGCTCAGGCACAGCCTGCCTTCTCTGGGCTTCGCTTTTTTTCCCCCTCCTTTTGGGCTTTGCTCTTTATCTGCATTAATCTTCAGCTGCTGAAGAGTCAGAGGTGGAGGCAGGAGCGGTCAGAGGTGAGAGGGCAGGGTAGGCAGGCCGAGCGAGCTCCTTGAAAGCATCCTTACCCATTGAAAGCATCCTTACCCAGGCATTTAGAGAAAAATCATTTTCATCACTGGAGTGGGAAGAGGACGAGAGGACAGGAATCAGAGGCCAACGCTAAGTGCTTCTGACCCTCTCCCTCACAGCCGGTTACTAGCTGTTTGGATAGATTTGCCCATTCAGCCCCAGGACAACTGGGGAGGGCGGGGGTCTGCCGGCAGTATACCGGGTTTCTCTTGGAAACATGGTCTGGCTGCTCCAAGAGCCCTAAAGGACATCATCGTCACAGAAGATGTTTCTGGAATCTCTTTCACCCTCAATAAAATAATCCCTCAATGCCAAATTTCCATAATTAATAAAATCATGAAACAAAACAGCATGTTCCTTATCGAAACTTAAAGCTGGACTAGGAACAGTAACTTTGAAATAGTCTCCGTTTCCTCTCCCTAGCAAATAACAGGACCCAGAGCGTCCTTTCCACTGCTGTCTGTGCTGACTACGTGGACTCCAACTAAAGGAATCCATCAAATTCTGTCCCGACTGTGCTTCCGTCCCCACCTCCGCTTGCCTTGTTGCTTTCCAAGGCTGGTGCGATTTCTGGTAAAATTCACCGATTTGCCCAATCTGCCCCATTCTCTAAAATGAAAGGTCTGAGTTGGAAGGGACACATCCTAAGCTGTTGAGATTTATAGAGTAAGGCAAGACCTCTTGAGACTCAGGGGAAGTGAGGAAAATGGGTGTGTGGCTCTTTCACGTGGACTCTCTGATATTTAACTCGGTCGTAACTCTGAGGGAGCTTTTGCTCATGCCCATCCCATTCAAAGGCTTCTCTCCAGTGTGAATTCTCTGATGGCGAACAAGAGCCGAGCTGTACCTGAAGGCTTTCCCACACTCGCTACATTCATAGGGGTTCTCCCCAGTATGGATTCTTTGATGCTGAATAAGGCCTGAACTGTAGGTAAACTTTCCTCCGCATTCCATACATTCGTAGGGCTTCTCTCCAGTGTGGATTCTCTGGTGCTGATAGAGGTGTGAGCTCTGGCTGAAGGCCTTCCCACACTCATTACATTCATAGGGTTTTTCTCCAGTGTGGATTCTCTGATGGTGAATAAGGGTGGAGCTCCTGCTGAAGGCCTTCCCACATTCATTGCAGGCGTAGGGTTTCTCACCAGTGTGGATTCTCTGATGGTGGGTGAGGGTGGAGCTCCAGCTGAAGGTCTTCCCACACTCATTACATTCATAGGGTTTCTCCCCCGTGTGGATCCTCCGATGCAGAATTAGGGCAGAGCTACAGCTGAAGGTTTTCCCACAATCACTACATTCATAAGGTTTCTCCCCAGTGTGGATTCTCTGATGCTGAATAAGGTGTGAGCTCTGGCTGAAGGCCTTCCCACACTCATTACATTCATAGGGCTTTTCTCCGGTGTGGATTCTCTGATGTTGAATAAGGTCTGAAGTTCGATTAAAGCTCTTGCTACATTCATCACACTTATGGGGTCTGTCTCCCACGGGGAGTCTCTGATGTGAGATAAGGTTGGAATTCACAGTGAAGCTGTTCCCAAAGTCATTATATTTCTCGCTTCTTTCTCCCATGGGGGTTATCTTCTCCTCAACTGTCACTTGACCAAAATCTTGCATTTTCCTGGTCAATCTTTCTCCAGGGGAGTTCCCCAGTGGCCTCTTTAGACTGACTTCTCGTTCATAGGCTTCTTTAAACTTGAGACCCTGAGAAATATCCTTCTGAAATCTTCCCAGTAGGACCCCATGTGATCTTGTGTCTTCAGAAATTTCTTGATCATTTTCAGTTCTGGTCTCACGATCTGACACAATAAAAAATGCAAATGTCACTTGTTCCTTGGGGAAGAAAGAGTGAAAATCACAGGACAGGATCATCATAATGAATACTTACAGTGCCAAGAGCACATGCCTGCAAAAAGGCCTGCCCCATATGTGTGCTGCTAAGGCAAAATGAGACAACCAGGCTAAGGAGACAGGGAAGGGGCAGGGCAGAGAGCAAAACCAAGGAGAACAGAGCTGGAAGTGGAGAGACAGCTGAGTGTGTGTGGAGGGGAGGACGGATCAGGCAGAGAGGTAGGGAACCAATATTAGAAGAGGAAGGTCATATTGCTTCATGAAGTGACAAAGCCTTTAGAGAGATCAGGCAGTGGATATAACTGGGGACACAGTGACTGCAAGAAGGGAAAGCAAGTACAGTACAGTTGGTGAGAAAAAGGGGGAAGGGTGAGGAGAGACAGCAGCAGCACAGGAAGGAGCAAGGGGGAGGATGCTAGCGGCGAACATGGCCCCATAAGAAGAGCAATCATGGCACTTGTCACGCCACAAATGCCAAGCCCATGGAAACGGCAAGACAGCTGAGTCCACCTCTGGGCCCTATGCATAAAAGGCTATGCTCGCACGTAAGGCTATGCTCGCACGTGAGGCTATGCAAAGAATCTCAGTGTGTGACGTCTCTTCACTCCTTTGGAGTTTCTAAAGGCAACTCTGCGCACAGAGGATAAATGTAAAGGGTCCAGAGAGTTTGCATTTTTAGCTTAATTGGTATTTTAAAAAGTAAAGACAGGGTAATGTGTGTTAGGGACAGGAACAGCTGTTTCTCCTTCACCTGAACAGGAACCTCTTTCCTCTCTGCTCTCAGTTCCCTTTAAACCCAGGCCCCTTGACTCTTCCTCTCACTCTAGCAGAGAGATGGTGGCAGGATTCAGAAATGGGAATTCTGCTCATGGGAAGAGTTTATCTGCTCACCCTGAGAGTCCCAGAGCTCAATTCCACACCCCGGATCTGCCAGAGAGAGAAGGGAAATGTACAGGGAGGTCTCAAATGAGACTCAGGAACGTCTCCTGGCTCTGTTTGGGAAAATGCCCACTAAGAGTGGTGTGAGAGACAAGGAATTCTACATCCTAAAGGTTAAGAAACTAATTTCTTAATTTTTCTTGTTTTTTGTTTGTTTGTTTGTTTTTGAGACAGGGTCTCACTCTGTCACCCAGGTTGGAGTGTAGTGGCGTGTTCTTGGCTTACTGCAACCTCCACTCCCAGGTTCAAGCAATTCTCCTGCATCAGCCTCCCGAGTAGCTGGGATTACAGGCACATGCCACCACCCCAGCTAATTTTGTTGTATTTTTAGTAGAGACGGCATTTCAACATGTTGGCCAGGCTGGTCTCAAACTCCTGACCTCAGTATCTGCCCGCCTCAGTCTCCCAAAGTGCTGGGATTACAGGCATGAGCCACCGCGCCTGGCCTCATAACCTTTCTAAGTTTCTACAGAGCAGCAGGGGTACTAGGTCCGGAACAAAGCAACAGGTCCCTAGAGGTTACAGAAGGGGAGTAGAGAAGCAGAGAAGGGGGGAGGACAGAGACATGGGCACAGAGCAGCACCTCATGTGTTCGGGGATCACAACACAATAATCCTTCAGAGAAGTCTCTGGATTATATATTAAGTCCTGAGAATAACATGGAAAAAGTACCAGATTTGGCCAGGCGCGCTGGCTCACACCTGTAATCCCAGCACTTTGGGAGGCCGAGGCAAGCCGATCACCAGAGGTCGGGAGTTCGAGAGCAGCCTGACCAACATGGAGAAACCCCGTCTCTACTAAAAATACAAAATTAGCCAGGCGTGGTGACACATGCCTATCATCCCAGCTACTCAGGAGGCTGTGGCAGGAGAATTGCTTGAAAGCAGGAGGCGGAGGTTGCGGTGAGCCAAGATCACGCCATTGCACTCCAGCCTGGCAACAAGAGTGAAACTCCATCTCAAAAAAAAAAAAAAAAAAAAAAAGGTACCAGATTTGGAGTTAAAGACTAGGCCCCAAGTTTTACCACTCATCAGCGCAATCGATGACCATGCATGCACAAAGCATTGAGACCTCTACCCTCACCTCCACTTTATTTACTTATTTATTTTTTGAGACAGGGTCTCTCTGTCACCCAGGCTGGAGTGCAGTGGTGCCATCTCAGCTCACTGCAACCTCAGCTTCCCAGGCTCAAGTGATCCTCCAACCTCAGCCTCCCAAGTAGCTGGGACTACAGGAATGTGCCACCATGCCTGGCTAATTTTTTGGATACTTGGTAGAGACAGGCTCTCGCCATGTTGCCCAGGCTGGTCTTGAACTCTTGACCTCAAGTGATCCTCCTGCCTCGGCCTCTCAGAGTGTTGGGATTACAGGTGTGAGCCACCTCACCAGGTGAGGTGGCTATCACTTTCCTTACCTGTAAAATGAGGAATAATACTAGCTGCCTCAATTAATGTGTTACTGTGAAGATTAAATGAAAGAATATATATGAGAATGCTTTATAAGTTGCAAACTACTGTATAAATGAGTTAAGATTATTGTTCTTACAATTTTCCAAGACTAAGTCAATCCTTAGCCAGGCTGGGCACAGTGGCTCATGCCTGTAATCCCAGCACTTTGGGAGGCCAAGGCAGGTGGATCACTTGAGGTCAAGAGTTTGAGACCAACCTGGCCAACATGGTGAAACCCCGTCTCTACTAAAACAAAACAAAACAAAACAAAAAAATGCAAAATGTAGCCTGGTGTGGTGCGTGCCTGTAGTCCCACCTACTTGGGAGGCAGAGGTGAGAACCTGAGAATGCTTGAACCTGGGAAGTGGATGTTGCACTGAGCAAAGGTGGTGCCATTGCACCTCAAAAAAAAAAAAAATCTGGCCGGGCGCGGTGGCTCAAGCCTGTAATCCCAGCACTTTGGGAGGCCGAGACGGGCGGATCACGAGGTCAGGAGATCGAGACCATCCTGGCTAACACGGTGAAACCCCGTCTCTACTAAAAAAATACAAAAAACTAGCCGGGCGAGGTGGCGGGCACCTGTAGTCCCAGCTACTCGGGAGGCTGAGGCAGGAGAATGGCGTAAACCCAGGAGGCGGAGCTTGCAGTGAGCTGAGATCCGGCCACTGCACTCCAGCCCGGGCGACAGAGCAAGACTCCGTCTCAAAAAAAAAAAAAAAAATCTGCTGAAACAGTCAGCTCTTTTCAGTGACTAGATTGTTACTAACAAACAAACAAGCAAAGAAACACCAGTGAGTTTTGTAGAGAAGGCACAACTCCTTACCCAGTGAGAACACATTCCCGTAATTCTCCAGCATTACATCTCTATAGAGGTCCCTCTGAGCAGGTTCCAAACGCTTCCACTCCTTCCGGATGAAGTACACAGCTACATCCTCAAAGGTTACCAGCTCCTGAAACAACACATGCTGGCATGCAATTTCAGGGTGAGGAATGTGAATGGCAGCACCAAAAAAATAACTGAGGATGGGGTGAAAAATGCACATTTGGGAAGGGAGGAAAGGAGGGCAGGGTGGAGGAAGAGAGACAAGAGTCCAAGATGGAAGGTGAGAGTCCATGATTCAGCAGGACAGAACCATGGGCCTGATGGAGGCAATCAGGGTTTAAAGCTCTGAATGGGATGTCATTGCACAGAAAATGGAAAGGAAAAGGATGAAGGGAACCACAGCTTACCTGGGACTTGGCCTTTAGGAGTGCAGCTGCCAACATCTCATCCCCCAGGCTGTCCTTGTCGGAAAAGGCAGGAACTTTTGAAGGAAGAGCTGAAGGGCAATAAAAGGGCCCAGGAATGAGTCCATCTGCTCTGTGACCTCCCAACCTGCTGACTTCCCAACCCACAGAAAGCTCCCGGGGTCCTGGGACAACACAGGACCCTCTCTCTCACATTTCTAAGTTTGCTTCCTCTGCAGCTAGCTCAAGGGTGTCCAACAAAGGCACACTCAGAGCGGGTCCATCCTGCCTGAGCAGATGGCCACAGGCCTAGTCATTCTAGGCCTCCAGTCTGCCCCGGGCCCCCTCTTCTCTCTCCAGTCACTCTTCTCTCAATGAAGCTGCCCAGTCCTATCTTAGTGATGACTGCATTCTTGTCCATTCACCCAAGTTTGGCCAGAAACATACGATCCTGCTCTTGCATGGTCTATTTTTTTTTTTTGAGGTGGGTTTTGCTATGCTGCCCAGGCTGGTCTCAAACTGCTGGGCTCAAGTGATCCTCCCGCCTCAGCCTCCCAAGTAGCTGGGATTAGGGATTACAGGCGTGCACCACTGCACCCAGCATGAAGTTCTTAGACCAGAGAAAAACCAGCAGCTCCACCCCAGCCCTAACTGGAAACACAATGCCCACAGCTCCTTTCTCTCCACCCCAGATCAAATCTGTACACTAGAAATGTTTCCTGTTTCTATGTTGGATCTCTTATCTTTTTCTGCAATTCTTTTTTTTTTTTTTTTTTTGAGACGGCATCTCGCTCTGTTGCCCAGGCTGGAGTGCAGTGGCACGATCTCGGCTCGCTACAACCTCCGCCTCCCGGATTCAAGCAATTCTCCTGCCTCAGCCTCTGGAGTAGCTGGGACTACAAGCGTATGCCACCGTGCCCAGCTAATTTTTTGTATTTTTAGTAGAGATGGCCACTGTGTTGGCCAGGATGGTCTTGATTTCCTGACCTTGTGATCTGCCCACCCTAGCCTCCTAAAGTGCTGGGATTACAGGAGTGAGCCACCGCGCCTGGCTGCAAAATATATTTTAGTGGCTTCCTATTCACTCTTATCTTTTTGCCTGTGACCCACAAAATGATTCCCAAGTGCTTCCTCTAAAAGCATGCTCCTAAAAAGCACAAACTATGCCTATGAAGTCAGCCACATAGAATGCCCAAAAAATGGAATGACTGACACGGTTTCCTTAGTCTCACGTGAGGTACTCACAACCCTTCAAAACTGCCTCAGTGGCCAGGTGCGATGGCTCACACCTGTAATTTCAACACTTTGGGAGGCCAAGGTGGGCACTGAGCTCAGGAGTTCAAGACCAGCCAGACCAACATGGCAAAAACCCCGTCTCTACAAAAATTAGCTGGGCGTGGTAGTGGGTGCCTGTAGTCCCAGCTACATGGGAGGCTGAGGCAGGAGAATCACTTGAACCCAGGAGGCAGAGGTTGCAGTAAGCCAAGACTGTGCCACTGCACTCTAACCTGAGCAACAAGCAAGACTCCGTCTCAAAAAAAAAAAAAAAAAAATCTGCCTCAATTATCAAACCTATCAAGCTGTCATTGATTACTGTTTGGTCAGCTTCTCCACTAGGCTGTGAGTTACTGAATGACGAAGAGTGTGTCTTATTCACGTCTAGATTCTAGTAGTTAGCCTAGTACCTGGTGAATGAGCGATTTCAATGGATGACTGCTGCTGAATGACTGAGTAATAGAATGAATAAGTCCTTATTCCTCACCACTCTCAAGCAGGGCCTGAGGTTCCTGAGATACGAGATCGGCCTGAGTTTCCATGGAAGGGCAAGGTGCTCTCTGGCCTCCTACGTGCAGACTCAGTGGGAAGCAGGTTTTGAAGGAGAATGAGGAAGCACTGCAGAAGCAAAAGTTCAAGGTTCAAAGATAATTCAAAAAAACCTCCTGGATACAGAAAGATGGGAGCTAGCATTTCAGTGACTACCCAGGAACAGTGAGAAGAAATGCGGCAACTGGGACTAGTCTTTTATTTATTTATTTTTTTAAATAGAGTTTCACTCTTGTCACCCAGGCTGGAGTGCAATGGCGCAATCTTGGCTCACTGCCACCTCTGCCTCCCAGGTTCAACTGATTCTCCTGCCTCAGCCTCCCAAGTAGCTGGGATTACAGGATCACGCCACCACGTCTGGCTAATTTTTGTATTTTTTGTAGAGACAGGATTTCACCATGTTGGCCAAGGTGGTCTCAAACTCCTGACCTCAGGTGATCCACCCACCCCAGCCTCCCCAAGTGCTACGATTACAGGCGTGAGCCACCACGCCCAGCCTGGGACTAGTCTTTTAGATCCTGGTAAATACAATCCTTGAAATGAGACTACCACAAGGACCACAAAAAGGGCCCAGGTTCCTCAACAATATCCCACCGTTGGCTGCCCCCACCACTTTGAGTCATATTTATAACAAAATGCAGGAGTGGGTATATACATTTACTGGCATAAAAAGACTACTCCCAGGCTGGGCATGGTGGCTCATGCCTGTAATCCCAGCACTTTGGGAGGTCGAGGCGGGCAAATCATGAGGTCAGGAGTTCAAGACCAGCCTGGCCAGCATGATGAAACCCTGTCTCTACTAAAAATCCAAAAAATTAGCTGGGCATGGTGGTGTGCACCTATAATCCCAGCTTCTCGGGAAGCTGAGGCAGGAAAATCACTTGAACCCAGGAAGCGGAGGTTGCAGTGAGCCGAGATCACGCCACTGCACTCCAGCCTGGGCAATAGAGCGAGACTCTGTCTCAAAAAAAAAAAAAAAAAAGCCAGGCGCGGTGGCTCAAGCCTGTAATCCCAGCACTTTGGGAGGCCGAGATGGGCGGATCACGAGGTCAGGAGATCGAGACCATCCTGGCTAACACGGTGAAACCCCGTCTCTACTAAGAAATACAAAAAATAGCCGGGCGAGGTGGCAGCGCCTGTAGTCCCAGCTACTCGGGAGGCTGAGGCCGGAGAATGGCGTGAACCCGGGAGGCGGAGCTTGCAGTGAGCTGAGATCCGGCCACTGCACTCCAGCCTGGGCTACAGAGCGAGACTCCGTCTCAAAAAAAAAAAAAAAAAAAAAAAAAAGGAAAAAATACAAAAATCAGATGGGCATGGTATTACATGCACCTGTAATCCCAGCTACTTGGGAGGCTGAGGCAGGAGAATCGCATGAACCCAGGAGGCAGAGGTGGCAGTGACCCGAGATCACGCCACTGTACTCCAGCCTGGGCAACAGAGTGCAACTTCGTCTCAAAAAAAAAAAAAAAACCCTGGATTTTATCCACTTCTCATTATCTCTTTACTCATTTGCTCACATACCAAATGTTTGCTGAGTGCTAACTCTATTGCAACTCACAACTGCAAGCAGTAAAAAAAAATCAGGAATGCAAAAAGTATGTGCTTCATAATTAGACTGTTACACTCACATAAGGCATCAAAGGAAGAGGGTTAGATAAAAGAATGTTTGAGAGAATAAAAGAAAAAAAAAGAACAAAGGAAGAGGAGTCCTGTTTGAAAGTCAATTACAAGTTTGGACAACTCTGGTCTTTGGGTAGCATGGGATACAGAATGTCCAATACCAGTGCCCTTACACAGTGGAAAGCACTGACTCAGGCACAAGCCAGGCCACTGGCAATCAAGGTGACACACCTTATCGCCCTCCTAGCAGGGTCCCTTCAACAGTGTCTCAGAGCCAACCATCATATCCTCTTATCAACCACCTTTACAATCTCCAGGGCTATTTATGAGCTGACACCCTCAACAAGTCAGCTTTCAGTACAAACTCCTAGAAAGGCAGGTCAAAGGTCTGACTCCAGAGAAAAAGGCAATGCTCCCTCTCACAGCTGGGTTAAGCAAAGCTGGAACTCAAAGGCATATTGTTGAGAACAAGCACCCAGTGTCTGGAGCAGTAAACAGTGTTTCTCACAGAAAGAAAACTCTCCATTGTGCCCCCATGGCTTCAGGTCCAGGCGGGGCCCTTCCCCTGCTCTGTTGCCAGCCTCACTCCCTGGTGCTGCCCCTGGGGGCCGAGATAGATGGTCTGGTAGTGAGAATGAGACACAGAAAGCTTTACCTGCCTGATTATTTCCTTCCTTCTTTGAAGTCAGTCCCTAGAAGGCCAAAGGAACAATTACTGGGAATTTAGCAGCCTCTCTTCAAGTTCCCGGGAATTCTGACTTTTGTCGATGCCAATGCTGTGTGATTAAGGGGAAAAAAAGGAATTTAAAATATTCATGCAAATATCTTTTTTTTTTTTTTTTTTTTTCCCCCATGTGAGACAGGGTCTGACTTTGCTGCTCAGGCTGGGGTGCAGTGAGTTTAAGCTCACTCCAGCCTCAAACTCCTGAGTTCAAGTGATCCTCCCAGCTCAGCCTCCCAAGGAGCTGGGACTGAAGGTGTGCACTGCCACATCTAGCTGAGTTTTTTTAAATTTTTTTTGTAGAAATGCAGCCTCACTATGTTGCTCAGGCTGGTCTCAATCTCCTGGCCTCAAGTGATCCTCTCGCCTCAGCCTCCCAAAGCGCTGGGATTACAGGTGTGAGCCACCGAGTCCACCCTAAACTTCATTTCTAATCAAGATATTTAGAGAAAAGGAAAAAAAGAGAGAATACTTATTATATGCTAATAAATACCAATTAAGACCACCACCACAACTAGTAGTATTTGTGTTGCACCCGTGGAGAGATGAAAGGGAATGGTAGGTTCTCAGGTCCACCTCCACCCAGGGTAAGAAAGTTCTAACGTTCTGTCAGCTAACTTGCTAGATACTGTCCTCCCAACTACTTCAGCAGGGGATCCACACTGTACAGCTGAGCCATTAGAAGTTTTCAGGTGATTCGCTGAAAATCTATCTCCTTGGACCTTCACCTCACAGAGACCTACTGCATCACAGAAATTCAATGACTGGCCACATGCAGTGGCTCACGCCTGTAACCCCAGCACTTTAGGAGGCTGAAGTGGGAGGAGTTCCAGGCTACAGTGACCCATGATGGCACCACTGCACTCCAGCCGGGGGCAACAGAGCAAGACCTTAATACGCACAAAAATTTTAAAAGGGAAAAAAAAAGTGCCGGGAGTGGTGGCTAACGCCTGTAATCCCAACACTTTGGGAAGCTGAGGCGAGTGGGATCTCAAGGTTGGGATCACTTGAGGCCAGGAGTTGGAGACCAACCTGGCCCAAAGGGCGGAACCCCGTCTCTACTAAAAATACAAAAAAATTCGCCGGGTGTGGTGGCGGGCGCCTGTAGTCCCAACCACTCCGGAGGCTGAAGCAGGAGAAGCGCTTGAACTGGGAAGCGGAGATTGCAGTGAGCCGCGATCGTGCCACTGCACTCCAGAGAGAGACTGTCTCAAAAATAAATAAATAAAAAATTTTTTAAAAACAAAAGAGCTTCAACAACAGGATCTTCTTCTTCCACCTGACTGTCCATCAAACACGTATAATCAAATGATGCCCACTCTCCAGAGATGTCTTTTCTGGAGAAAATAATACGCTTAGTTCCTCTAATTAGTCCATCGGTTTCAGGTTCATCACTCTGCTATCCTCTCCTGGAGTTTACACAAGCCCTTCAAAGTGTAAACACCGACATGGATTCAATCCCACTTCCAGAGAGAGGATCAAACCAGGAATCTAATACAACCGAAAACGGAGCCTGAGCCGGGTGTATCACTCGATGCACTGGGCTCCAGCAGGATTACCCCTGGGATCGGAGTCTGCACCCACTCCCAGCCCTCGTGCTAACTGCGTAAGCTTCGCAGAACTTCTCTGATCCTTGGACCCAGCTCTGTAAAAATAAACTTCCTCTCCTGTCACGGGCGCGAATTACTGTGTTAACATCAAATAAAAACGTCTGGGAGAAGTACCAAGTTAGGGTCGCTGTCATTAGCTGCTTTCAAGAGAGAGGCGCCCCTATCACTCTGCTGAAACTTTTGAACGCTCCAGCTGGGGCGCCGTTTAAGTCATAAAACCAGAACCGGAGCCCCATTACTAACCCCTACGCAGGCTCCCGCTAGGCTAGGGGGATCCCTGGGGAAGCGGAGTAGAGGACGGGCTGCAAGGGACGGAGGGGCGCCTCCCCGCACCCTGCTCGGGACCGGCCGGGGAACCCTAAGGGCCGCAGCGGCACAGACACCACCCCCTTCCCCGGCGACCACAGCCTCCGTCTCACCGCGAGACCCGGGGACGCGTGGACTCACCCTAGGGGACAGGGACGACAGATTTGGGGGACCGGACACGGACCAGGCCCTGTTGGACCCTGTCACAGACCCACACACCGGGGACAGAACAAAGAACGGAAGTTCCCCCTCGTTTCGCTTCCGGGTCGGTTGTTCTTGACACTCACCCGTGCCCCCAACGCCCACTTGTTCTGTCTAGGAAAATGGGAGGTCCTCGCCTCTCTGTGGTTTGCTGACTCAGGGCAGCTGGCAGGCGGCGAGGGCAAGGAGCCCGATCGCTGACGCGGCACTCGGGGATCTTTCGCTGCGGGGCTGGCCGGCTGCGCCCTCTGCTGGCCACGCACGTGCGAAAGCGGCCGACCACGGTCCTGGGCCTCAGGACATGTGCTCCGGCGTCGCCTGCCTTGGTGGCCGGCAGCTGGGGCGCGCGGAGATGTCGAGCCCGCGCTTCTCAGGCTTGCTCACGAAGGGCAGCAGTAAATATACAATTCTTGAGGGATTCATCAATATTAAAAAATGGACCCTGATTTAAAACTTGCCTCTGAACAAACCGATTTTTTGTTGGCGTCTTGCAAAAATGCCCCCTTTAAATTACCCACATCTGAAGAAAACATTCCAGCCCATCACAGAGTTGACATGAGGAAAAAACCCATGTACAGATGATGAGAGCAGAGAAGAGGAAGCTACCGGCCGGGCGCGGAGGCTCACGCCTGTAATCCAAGCAGTTTAGGAGGCCGAGGCGGGCGGATCACCTGAGGTCAGGAGTTCGAGACCAGCCTGGCCAACATGGCAAAACCTCGTCTCTACTAAAAATACAAAAAAATTACCCGGGCGTGGTGGCGGGCGCCTGTAATCGCAGCTACTCTGGAGGCTGAGACAGGAGAATCGCTTGAACCCAGGAGGCGGAGGTTGCAGTGAGTCGACATCAAACCACTGCACTCCAGCCTGGGCCACAGAGTGAGACCGTGTCAAAAAAAAAAAAAAAAAAGGAAGCTACAGGTGGAAGCGAGGCGGGATAGGTAGTCAAGGAAGTGACCATGTCCTGGAGATGCGGCAACCGTGGTGACCACACAGTCAACACAGTAAGCTCCAGCATTTGCATTGTAATTGAACTCATTCAAGCAGAGCTCTCTCCAGTAGGGACTGTCGCCTGTAGGGAGCATGCGCATTTTGATTTCACCTGTCCCTTTGCTCATTATCATAGTAAAAAACACGCCCCGGGTGGAGATTTAAGATGCTAATGAAACATGCAATATATCAACAAGCCTGTACAGCCACTGCGCATGTGCACCTAGAGGACCACCCAGAACATGGTTACTAGTAACACCTCTCCCACCCCCTTATGAATAATTGTGTAAGACCCCCCCACAAAGGGGGTCTCTCTAGAGCCAGCCTTTGCTGTTTCATCCTTAGGAGCAGCCTTCCCTGAACGATCTCTCTCTCTCAGGGTGTACTGTCTACTCTGCACTTAACTTTCAAGATATTATTTTTCTTTTGCAATAAATTATGCTGGATTTCCTTTGACATGTTTCTTTTTTTCTTTTTCTTTCTTTCTTTCTTCTTTTTTTTTTTTTTTTTTTTTTGTTGTTGTTGTTGTTGTTGTTGAGACAGAGTCTCGCTCTTGTCACCCAGGCTGGAGTGGAGTGGCGTGATCTTGGCTCACTGCAACCTCCGCCTCCTGGGTTCAAGCGATTCTCATGCCTCAGCCTCCCAAGTAGCTGGGACTAGAGGCGTGTGACACCACATCCAGCTAATTTGTTTGTATTTTTAGTAGAGACAAGGTTTCACCGTGTTTGTCAGGCTTGTCTCGCACTCCTGACCTCAAATGACCTGCCCGCCTCGGCCTCCCAAAGTGCTGGGGTTACAGGTGTGAGCCACCGCGCCCAGCCTCCTGTGTGTTTCTTTCAATGTTTTATTTTCTTTTGAGATGGGGGTCTTACTCTGTCACCCAGGCTGGAGTGCAGTATTGTAATTTTGGCTCACTGCAACCTCCACCTCACAGGGTCAAGCAATCCTCCCACCTCAGCCTCCTGAGTAGCTGGAACCCCAGATGCATGCCACCATGCCCAGCTACTTTTTTGTAGAGACAGGGTTTCACCATGTTGCCCAGATTGGTCTCAAACTCCTGAGCTCAAGGGATCTGCCCACCTCAGCCTCCTAAAGTGTTGGGATTACAGGTGTGAGCCACTGCACCTGGCTTTAAATTATTTTAAACTAAGAAGATAAGAACTGAGGTATCACAACAGCTGTCAATAGAAGGAAAGCACCTCATCATGTTCATGCTTTCCTGTTCATGCTTTCCTCTGCCTTCTTCAACATATGAAGTTTTGTGTTTTTTTGTTTTTTTTTTAGAGACAGGGTCTCACTCTGTCACCCAGGCTGAAGTGCAGTGACATGATCCTACCTCACTACAGCTTCAACCTCCTGGACTCAAGCGATCCTCCCTTCTCAGCCTCCAGAGTAGCTGGGACCACAGGCACCCACCATCACACCTGGCTTCCTTTCTGTTTTGTAGACTGGGTGCTGCCAGTTCATGAATCCCTAATAAAGCCAACTCAATCTTTAAAATTCAATTTGTTGGCCGGGCACAGTGCCTCATGCCTGTAATCCCAGCACTTTGGGAGGCTGAGGCAGATGGGTCACCTGAGGTCAGGAGTTTGAGACCAGCCTGGCCAACATGGTGAAAACCCGCCTCTATTAAAAATACAAAAACAAAAATTAGCTGGGAGTGGCGGTGGGCACCTGTAATCCCAGCTACTTGGGAGACTGAGGTGGCAAAATAGCTTGAACCCGGGAGGTGGAGGTTGCAGTGAGCTGAGATTGCACCACTGCACTCCAGCCTGGGAGCAACAAAGCGATACTCCATCTCTCTCTCTCTCTGTCTCTCTCTCTCTCTCTATATATATATATATACACACACACACATATATATAAGTATGTTTATGGCCTGTTTCCCACAACTAGAGTATAAGCTCCATGAGGTCAGGACTTTGTTTTGTTCAGTGATGTAGCTGCTGCCTGGTAGGCACTCCCAAATATTTGTTAAATTAATGACTGACAGGTGGATAGATAACCACTGACCCATACCAAAAAGGGGCACTTGCTTTTTGTTTGTTTTTCGTTTTGGGGTGCGGAAATTTTTTTGGTTTGTTTGTTTGTTTTGACACAAACAAACATGGCGAAACTCTGTCTCTACAAAAAATACAAAATTTAGCCTGGCGTGGTGGCACACATTTGTAGTCCCAACTACTCGGGAGGCTGAGATGGGACAGTCACTTGAGTTCAGGAGGTTGAGGCTGCACTGAACTGTGATTGTAACACTGCACTCCAGCCTGGGTGCAGCAAGACTCTGTCTCAAAAACAACAATAACAAACACAAAACAAAACAAAAACGAAAAAAAGAAACGTTTAGCGAACTTAGTTCTGAAACGCACACAATCAACTGATTCGATGTCAGAGTCATCTTTAAATTCCACAATAATGGCTGTTTTATGAGCTGTATAATTATCTGAACAATGTTTCAAAAGCAGTAGAAACAACAAGGCAAAGGAGAGCAGTGCAAACTATCAACTTTACTAACCCTAGAATAATTCTCATCTTGTTTTTATTTTAACCTTTAATCTAGCCGAGAAGCACTATGCTCCTTGGAAGCTGCCTAGCATTCTTTAAAGAGATACATTTTTTTGGCCAGGCATGGTGGCTCACGCCTGTAATCCTAGCACTTTAGGAGGCCCAGGCAGGCAGATCAGTTGAGGCCAGGAGTCTGAGAACAGACTAGCCAACATGCTGAAAACCGGTCTCTCCTAAAAATACAAAAATTGGCCCGGTGTGGTGGCGCAAGCCTGATATCTCAGCTACTTGGGAGGCTGAGGCACGAGAATCATCACTTGAACCCAGGAGGTGGAGGTTGCAGTGAGCCAACATCTCCCGAAAGAGATACATTTTTCTGACCTCGTTTTTCCAAACAGAAACAAGGCCTTATGTACTTTTCTTTGACAACCCTCTCAGTTTGTCCAGACCTGGTTGGTTTATCGCTGGGGACTAGAATAAGATAAATTCTTTTTTAACTTCCCTTTGGCCAGAAGACCCCTCTTCCTGCAGGATTTCTCAAGTCTGTTCCACTGAGGGTTGCCGGCCCCTTCAACTTGCCTTCATCCAGGCTCCTAAATGGAGAGATTGCATAATTTCCCTGTAAATTACAACTATCAGCCGGGCGCGGTGGCTCAAGCCTGTAATCCCAGCACTTTGGGAGGCCGAGATGGGTGGATCACGAGGTCAGGAGATCGAGACCATCCTGGCTAACACGGTGAAACCCCGTCTCTACTAAAAAATACAAAAAAATAGCCGGGCGAGGTGGCGGGCGCCTGTAGTCCCAGCTACTCGGGAGGCTGAGGCAGGAGAATGGCGTAAACCCGGGAGGCGGAGCTTGCAGTGAGCTGAGATCCGGCCACTGCACTCCAGCCCGGGCGACAGAGCGAGACTCCGTCAAGAAAAAAAAAAAAAAAGTTACAACTGTCACCATACGGGGCTGTTCAGGGTCATAACACAGTTCTCCACCTGCTTTCTAGGAGCTTACACTGTGGGTGGGTATACAGACATCTAGAGCCAGAGTCTGTCTGGCTCTTTCTACATGTCTGTACCCCTTTTTGTAGGGAAGGCAGGAGGAGCAGTGTGTGCAACTTGCTTAGGCTTAGGGGTAAGGAGGGGGTGGAGCAGCCTAGGCTTGCCAGATGTGAATTTTGGGGGTTTTTATGAGAGAGCATCTTGCTCTGTCACCCAGGCTGGAGTGTGGTGGCGCGATCTCAGCTCACTGCAACCTCTGCCTAGCAGGTTCAAGTGATTCTCCTGCCTCAGCCTCTCCAGTAGTTGGGATTACAGGCATGCACCACTGTGCCTGGCTAATTTTTGCATTTTTAGTAGAGACAGGGTTTCACCATCTCTACTGGTCGAAACCAGGCTGGTCTTGAACTCCTGACTTCAGGTGATTCACCCACCTTGGCCTCCCAAAGTGCTGAGATTGCAGGCATGAGCCACTGCGCCTGGCCAGGAACTCAGTATTTAAGGGAAGAAAGCATGCAAGAGGAAAATAAAGCAGAAGGAGAGGCAGTGAGGCAAATGTTTTTGGTTTTGTTTTGTTTTGTTTTTCTTGAGACAGGGTCTCGCTCTGTCGCCAGGCTGGAGTGCAGTGGCGCGATCTCAGCTCACTGCAACCTCTGCCTCCCAGGTTCAAGCGATTCTCGTGCCTCAGCCTCCCAAGTAGCTGGTACTACAGGTGCGTGCCACCACTCTCAGCTAATATTTTGTATTTTCGGTAGAGATGGAGTTTCACCGTGTTAGCCAGGACAGTCTCGATCTCCTGATCTCGTGATCTGTCCACTTCGGCCTCCCAAAGTGCTGAGATTACAGGCATGAGCCACTGAGCCCAGTCCAGCAAATGGTTATTTTACTTTATTTTTTGAAATAGAGTCTCACTGTGTTGCCCAGGCTGGAGTCCAGTGGGTCCATCTCAGCTCACTGCAATCTCCACCTCCCAGGCTCAAGCGATTCTCCCACCTCAGTCTCCTGAGTAGCTGAGATTACAGGTGGGCACCACCACACCCGGCTAATTTTTGTATTTTTAGTAGAGATGGGGTTTCACCATGTTGGCCAGCTGGTCTTGAACTCCTGGCCTCAAGTGATGCACTCGCCTCCCAAAGTGCTAGGATTACAGGCATGAGCCACCGCACCCTGCTGCAAATGGTTACTTTTTTTGTGAGGTTCTCATTAGTGTTTGGTAAATCTACATTTTATGTAAGATACAATAAACATTTGAAAAGAGGGAGTGGAGGAAAAAGTCAATTATGCATCTGTCTCATGATAGGTGGAGGGATGATTCCTGGTCTCTTCCTTGTTCTATAATTGGGAAGATGAGCTTGTAATCAACATTGTCAGTATGAGATTTCACAGAACTCGGATTAGGGCTGGTTTATAGGGGGAGTGTTTATGCTGAAAGATTTAGAGGCTAATGAGGAATTTCCTGGCAAGCAATTTGTGAGGGAGACCATCTAGGGAGGTATATGCCCTTTGCCATTGTAGGAACCTGGCTTATGTATGAGGCTATGACACAGGGTTGTGGAATTACAGCTATCTGGGAACAAAAAGGAAGGGAGTTTTGCCTCAGTTCTCAAGCATAAATTTCTTCAGCATGCCCCCACCATACCCAGCTAATTTTGTTTTCATTTTTTGTAGAAACAAGGTCTCACCATGTTGCCAAGGCCGGTCTCAAATTCCTGGGTTCAAGTGATCCTCCCACCTTGGCCTCCCAACGTGCTGGGATTACAGGTGTGAGTCACCATGCCTGGCCTTGTGGAGTTATTTTATTTATTTATTTATTTATTTATTTATTTATTTATTTATTTTTGAGACGGAGTCTCACTCTGTCTCGCCCAGGCTGGAGTGCAGTGGTGCGATCTCAGCTCACTGCAGCCTCTCCCTCCCGGGTTCAAGCAATTCTTCTGCCTCAGTCTCCCGAGTAGCTGGGACTACAGGCACATGCCACCACGTCCGGCTAATTTTTGTATTTTCAGTAGAGACAGGGTTTCACCATGTTGGCCAGGCTGGTCTCAAACTCCTGACCTCAAGTGATTGGCCAGCCTCGGCCTCCCAAAGTGCTTGGATTACAGGTGTGAGCCACCATGCCTGGCCTTGTGGGGTTATTTTCGAAAGTCCTTGAGACAGTCCCTATATCAGACATGCAAGCATGAGCCCTTCTGCTTGGTGTTCTCATGACTCCAATTTGTTTGGACTTGACAATGTGATTTTTGTCCTGGTATCTGCAACTTTCACAAGATGGAGCAACTCAACACCAGATTCCATCCCAAATTATTCCTTCATTCACTCAAAAAGTATCTAGGCACCAATGTGTTAGGTACCGTGTTGGTCACAGGGGATACCACGATGAACAAGAGAAGGAAACACAGGCTCCTGAATGCGAGAGTGAGGCATGTGGAAAGCAGACACGGAGAGCTGGGTGTGGTGGCTCATGCCTGTAATCCCAGTGCTTTGGGAGGCCAAGGATGGAGGATCGCTTCTGTCAGGGAGTTGGAGGCCAGCCTGGACAACCTAGTGAGACTCCTGTCTCTATCAAAATAAAAAAATAATAATAAAATTAGCTGGGTGTGGTGGGGTGCACCTGTAATCCCAGCTACTCGGGAGGCTGAAATGGGAGGATCACTTGAGCCCGAGAGTTTGAGGGTGCAGTCAGCTGATATCAGGCCACTGCACTTCAGCCTGGGCGACAGAGCGAGACCCTGTCTCAAACAAAACAAAACAAACCACCACCACCAGACAGACATGAGGGCCAGTGCAGCTGTAGCCTGAAGATCAAGGGCTAGAAAAGTAGAGGCCAGACCGGGGCCAGATCAGGCAGGGCCTTGCAGGCTGTGGTTAGTTGTCTGGATTTTATTGTGAGGGAAATAACACGACATGTCATTCATTCTGCAACAGCCTTAAGAACTAGGAGTTCTTATCCCAATTTTACAGACGAGGACGATCAATCAAATCGTTAACTAATTTGTCCAAGGTCACCCGCAGGCGACAGGCGGGGACAGGGTCTGGGAAAACCGGCAGGCACCGAGGCCCAGAGGGCGTCGGGCTTCCCTGCACCGAGTGCCGCCCGCCGCGACCCGGGAACTGCCTGCTCCCCGGACGCCAGGCCCGCCGCTTGCCGCGGAGACACAGAACATGCGCTGCTCGCCTTACGGAAGCCGGGAGGGAAGGGGGCGGGGCCGAGGCTGGCGGGCGCGGGGAAAATGGCGGCGGCGGCGGCGGGTGCAGCTACAAACGGGACCGGAGGGAGCAGCGGGATGGAGGTGGATGCAGCAGGTAACGGGCCGTGCGCGGGCGGCTTCCGGAGACCTCCTTCAGGGGTGCGTTGAGGCCTTGCTGTGCTCCCGGGAGAAGGGAGGAGGGCGGAGCAGCAACATCTTTCTCTGGGATAAGTTGCGGGAGGAAAAGTGTGGCCCGGGCTCCGTCGTCCCCCACTGCTATCTGCAGGGAAGAACGTGGGGCCCGGACTCTCACCCTCTCTCTTTCCCTCCACCCTTAGTAGTTCCCAGCGTGATGGCCTCCGGAGTGACTGGGAGTGTTTCCGTCGCTCTCCATCCCCTTGTCATTCTCAACATCTCCGACCACTGGATCCGCATGCGCTCCCAGGAGGGGCGGCCTGTGCAGGGTGAGTGTTGGGCATAGACTCCAGTCTCCTCTCCTTGCTCACCTCCCCCAGACAGTGGTCTTTTCCCCTTCCTTTACTGGATCCAATTCCCCTCCCCCAAATCATCGTTTCCCCAATACTTGGTTCCCACTCATCTTAGACCCTCAGGTCATAGAAGTCTCTTTAACGTTACCTTTTCCATGTCATTCTCTCCCAGTGATTGGGGCTTTGATTGGCAAGCAGGAGGGCCGAAATATCGAGGTGATGAACTCCTTTGAGCTGCTGTCCCACACCGTGGAAGAGAAGATTATAATTGACAAGGAATATTATTACACCAAGGAGGAGCAGTGTGAGAGTGGAATAGATGTGGGGAAGAGGAGTGGGAGTTAAAAAAAAATGTGCAAGGTGGGGAAGATGGAGAGGGTTGGAAAGAAACCCGAGAGGACGCCAAGAACAGAGGAGAAAAAGTGAAGAGAGTAGCTGGAGAGATCTCAGAAAAAGAACACGTTCAGAGTTCTTTCTCAAAAAGAAAGTAAAGGATGAGAGAAGACAGGATAGAAGGGAGTAATTATTCTAAACTGAGCCAGGATTTGAGGAAGGAGGAGAAGCTGGTGAAAATACACCAGGAGTTTCACATTGAGGAAGGATGGTTTAAAGGACTATGTCAGGCCGGACGCAGTGAATCAGGCCTATAATCCCAGCACTTTGGGAGGCCGAGGCGGGTGGATCATGAGGTCAGGAGTTACAGACCAGCCTGGCAAACATAGTGAAACCCCATCTCTACTGAAAATACAAAAATTAGCCTGGCATGGTGGTGCGTGCCTGAAGTCCCAGCTACTCGGGAGGCTGAGGCAGAATTGCTTGAACCTGGGAGGCAGAGGTTGTGGTGAGCCAAGATCGTGCCACTGCACTCTAGCCTAGGCAACAGAGCAAGACTCAAAAAAAAAAAAAAAAAGAATTACTGTGTGTTCTGGCCCTTTCCCCTCCAGTTAAACAGGTGTTCAAGGAGCTGGAGTTTCTGGGTTGGTATACCACAGGGGGGCCACCTGACCCCTCGGACATCCACGTCCATAAGCAGGTATACATGCTCACACCTGTGCATGCTGGGGCAGAGAATGGAGAATGAGGGGAAGGAGAAAGGTGGGGGTCACTGACTTCTGTGCATTGTCCCTCTCTTCCAGGTGTGTGAGATCATTGAGAGCCCCCTCTTTCTGAAGTTGAACCCTATGACCAAGCACACAGATGTGAGTAATACCCCATGCCTACTCTGTCGTGATTGTCACTGTTGTCTTTTACTGTGTGATACTCTTCTATTGGGGAATGCCAGGTGCCACTTACCAGCTGTAACTCTGTCTTAGTCATTTCATCTCCAAACTGTGAAGGGAGGTAATCCCTACTTCACTGGTTTCTTGGGAAGATGAGATGAGAGGAAATGGGTGAAAGCAGCTCGTCCAAATGTTGGCATATAGTGTTCAGGTTTCTCCATCTCCTTCACAGCTTCCTGTCAGCGTTTTTGAGTCTGTCATCGATATAATCAATGGAGAGGTAATACCCTACCCTTGAACCCTCAGATCCTGCTCTTGGCCTCTTTCCTGCTTTTGATTCTCCCTTTGTGGGTTACCTTGCCTTGTAGGCCACAATGCTGTTTGCTGAGCTGACCTACACTCTGGCCACAGAGGAAGCGGAACGCATTGGTGTAGACCACGTAGCCCGAATGACAGCAACAGGCAGTGGAGAGAACTCCACTGGTAATGGAGGGGATTACTTGGAAGTGGGGTTGGAAGGTGTGGCCACATCCCGTCTCAACCTCCTCCTGTCCTCGTCCCTTTGCAGTGGCTGAACACCTGATAGCACAGCACAGCGCCATCAAGATGCTGCACAGCCGCGTCAAGCTCATCTTGGAGTACGTCAAGGCCTCTGAAGCGGGTAGGACAGGGGCTTCCTTGGGCACTTCCCTGGCATTCTTCCTCTCCCTCCTGGGGAAGTGACAGCATCCAAACTAATGCAGCCTCTTTTTGTGCCTTTAGGAGAGGTCCCCTTTAATCATGAGATCCTGCGGGAGGCCTATGCTCTGTGTCACTGCCTCCCGGTGCTCAGCACAGACAAGTTCAAGACAGATTTTTATGATGTGAGTTTAAAACCTGGATGGGGAGGTGGGGCTCATGCTGTCACTTTCACGTGGAGGACCGGGGACTGTTGTTCCCTGGGCATGCCACGAGGGATCCCCTGAGGAATTTGTCCTTTCTGTTCCCTCCCAGCAATGCAACGACGTGGGGCTCATGGCCTACCTCGGCACCATCACGAAAACGTGCAACACCATGAACCAGTTTGTGAACAAGTTCAACGTCCTCTATGATCGACAAGGCATCGGCAGGCGAATGCGCGGGCTCTTCTTCTGAGGAGGGTACTTGAAGGGCTGATGGACAGGGGTCAGGCAACTGTCCCAAAGGGGAGGGCGCTACACTTGAGAGAAACCGCTGTCATTAATAATAAAGGGGAACAGCCCCCGAGCACCCCTGCTGGTGGCTCTGTCCTCTCTGTTAGGCACCACACTGGTTTGTCAACTTGGATGTTCATCGAGGTTCATCGTGAGCCTTGCTCACAAGCCCTTCTGATGCTTTTCCATGAGGGAGGCACTGCCATTTCAAGTGACCCCGTGTCAGTCACATGGACTGTCGTTAGCATCCAAGGCTGCCTGCTTCCACCTAAGCGGTCTCTGTTCTACACTTTAATGTCACCCTTGACGACATCTTATACATAGCCCAGCCCTATAAACGTGACAACTACTTTCCCGAGCGAAATTAACTTTTCACACATGCATAAAACAAGAGATAGTAAGCAGATTTTTATTAGAAACAAGTCCAAGCCTTGATCCTGTGGGCATTGTGAATTACCAGGAGGGAGTTTCTCAATGACCGTTTACTACATATTTTGGAGAGGCAGCTAGGAAGTGGTCTAAAGGTCAGGATTGCTGTATGTGATCACTTGTGCCGATTTTCATCACCCGCTAACCAGAGCTTTAGAGTGGGAGTTGGGAACTAAGTGGTTAAGTAATGACCTGTCTGCTAGAAAAGGGGAAAAACCAAGAGACCCTGCATTTCATACTGGCGCCGTATCCCCAGAGCCTGACTGGCACACAGGCAGTGTAAGACTAAATAAGGGAGTCGGGGGGCTCAAAAAGTGGAGCCCCAGCTCAAGTATCTCCAAACAGCAGGGACCACTTAGTCTTTGCCACATCCCCAGCATCTATACTGGGGCCTGGCAGGGAGATGCAGCTTACTCAGACAATTTACTGAGTCGATGAAATAGGAGCATAAAAAAGGAACAGGTAGGAATCTAAAAAACACAAAAGGCCCAGGCTAGAAGGTGGCAATCTACAAACACTTTATTAGCAGAAGGAATAAGTGCAGCATAGGAGAAAGAGGGGCTCCTCCTTCCCCTCAAGGGCATCACTGCCCCTTCCCAAGGGGCGGGCCAGCAGGGAACAAGAGGACCCCAGGCTTGCAAGCACGCTGGAATCAGACAAAAGTGATCCGTGTCCGGGAAGCATTGACCTGCCAGACATTGAGCTCCTCGTATTCATCCAGAGCCACCTGGAACTGGGCGGGTGTAAAGCCGCGAGATATGCAGCGCTGCTCTGCCTCAGAGAACCGGACGCTTCGGCCCCCTGAGACCAGTTCACGGATGGTGGCAAATACCACATCTGCTGGTCTCTGAGCCCTGAAGGAAATGAGTAGGTGTGTAAGGTCAGGGGACAAACAGGAATGCTCGACATCAACAGAGAACAATGATGGTCAGTGTTAGAATTGAGGCCAGCCTCAGACACATGGACACAAAAGCCAAAGTGACTCAGCTTTGTCCTTCACTAAACCACTCACCTAGCTGTCTGCCCCTTGTCTCCCAGAAGAGAGTCCTTTGACATCTCCATTAGCCTGATGGCTTCATTCACATCTTCCTTCTCCACCACGTCCACCATTCGCAGACGCGCCTAAGGGGAAGGTAGGGGACAGATGGGAACGGGAGGAGGGCAGTGGAACAAGGTCAGGGAACACCCTTGTTCTGGCTTTAAGGCTGGGCAGCCCATGGGTCGCCTACTCACAAAACAGGAGAGGAGCCCCCCACCCCCCCCAGCATCCGCAGTGTTGGGCCGGCACTGTCAGACCGAGACAAGTGCAATGCCCAGGGCAGCGTCCAGCAATTGCCCAAGTCTCCGCCTCTCAACACTGGCCAGTCCCGGAGTTCAGCTGTCCTGTGAGGGAGACCAGACCCTTTTGAACTCCACTGGGCTCCCCAGCATGACAGATGGAGCTTGGGGAGCTCAGCCAAGACAACTGGCAGAGAGAACGTGTCCTGGGGGCTCGGGAAGTGCTAGCTCAGCAGTAGGTCGGTTAATCACACTACCTGCACGAACAGCACTTTGGAGCCCCCAGGACTGAGGTCCAAGACGGGAGGACAGAAAGGAAGGTCTGTAGCACAGGATCTAGGACATGGAGTGAAACAGATCCCAACCACCCGCTCAGTGAAGGTTAACAAGTGGGGAAAAGGCCTTTCCCTCCACGGACGCTGTGCGTGCCCTGCTGGAGCAGCAAGTACCCACAGTGCGGTAGCACGGAGAGGACCACTATCTGCACTGTCAGCACTTTAGCCCCAGCAGGGCTGGAGCGGGAGGGACTCGGCGATGAGAGCATGGTAAGGAGCTGCCACTTTAAGGGTCAAAACAGATGGTCCTCCAGCAGTTTGGGCACTTACCAGAGCAGTGGAAAGGCGCAGGATAGCCAGCAGGGTCCGAGCGGAAGTGTAGGTGGCATCCTTACTAGCCCAAGCCTCTCGCCTCATCTCCACATACGCTGCTGTGATGTAGTCAGCCAGAGACTCTGGCACTGTGGGCTGCTTCTCGCGGCACATGGCTATGTAACGCCTGTGGGGGAAGGTTCATGGGGAAGCAGAAGAGGGAGATGGGGAAGGGAGTGAATATGAGCCCATGTTGTTTTCTGCACCAGGGCTCCCCATTTAACACGGTCCCCTCCAGGAACTTTAAGTGGAAAAAAACAAATTAGTGGGTATTTGCTTGGCTTCAATATCACTGATGGATTTCACCAAACATATAGCCCCCAAGGACCCTCCCAAGTTATTTCCTTTTTTTGGGGGGGGGGGGGGAATGGCCTTTGTAAGGGTAAGACAAATCCATCTGTCAGTAATAGATGATCCAGACCCCTCCTCTGAGCGCATGACACGGCAAAACAGATATATTTAAAGAGAATAGTTTACAGAATATTTAAAAGGGAGTAAAAACCTGAGGGAACACTGGAGGCTCGTGGAAAAATAGCGATAGAGGCCGAGTATCCAGAATGCCTGGGAGCAGGTGTTTTAGACTTCAGATTTTGGAGTATTTGCACATACATAATGGGATAGCTTGGGGATAGGACTCCAGTCTAAACATGGAATTCACCTGTATTTCATATACAACCGACACATATAACCTGAACACAATTTTATTAAAAATATTTTTGTGGGCCAGGCACAGTGGCTCATACCTGTAATCCCAGCACTTTGGGAGGCAGAGGCGGGCAGATCACTAGGTCAGGAGATTAAGACCATCCTGGCCAACATGGTGAAACCGCTCTCTACTAAAACACAAAAAATTAGCTGGGCGTGATGGCGTGCACCTGTAATCCCAGCTATTCAGGAGGCTGAGGCAGGGGAATCGCTTGAACCTGGGAGGGAGAGGTTGCAGTGAGCTGAGATTACGCCACTACACTCCAGCCTGGCGACAGAACAAGACTTTGTCTCAAAAAAAAAAAAAAAAAAAAATTGTGTAGGAAAGTTTCCCATGTCCCTATTGTATAAAGTGTGGAATTTTCCACTTAAAAGCTGATCTCAGGCTTTGGTCATGTCCGAAGCGGGAAGTGGTGGTGTGAAAAACACACGCTAAGATTAAGCACTTTTTCAGGAGGCTCGCATGGCCCACTCAACGTTTGCCCGTCTGCACCCAGCTCTCCTACCTCATGAGCTTCATGTCCAGAGGTTCGAACTGGGAGGGGGGCTGCCGGCTGTGCTGGTGCACATAGGTGATGTGCTGGGCCAACCTGGATAGAGGGGAGGCCAGAAGGAACATCCTTTTTAGGGCTACACACCCATGTCCTCTTAGGTGTCCCTCCCTTGACTCTGCCACTTCCTTACAGTATAGGAGGGACACGCTTTCCTGAAAATCCTCATCAGCATTTCAGCCCCAACCCACCATTTCCCCGAGAACCGTGGACCAGCCCCTGATGCAAGGGGGAGGCTCTGGGGTTTCCAGGAGCACGGTATTTGTTTTGATTCACCTCCCCTCCTCCCTATAGATCATTACAGGGGACCTCTCTTTGGGTGTTGAGCTCCATTCACCGTAGGTCATTGTCTCGGTCAGGCCGGTCCTGAATCAGCCAGAGGAGGTCAAACCGGGAGAGCAGCGCGGCAGGCAGCTGTATGTTCTGCTCCAGGCTGCGGCGGGGGTTGTAGCGCCCATAGGCAGGGTTGGCGGCAGCCAGGATGGAGCAGCGGGCATTGAGTGTAGTAAGGATGCCAGCCTTGGCAATGGAGATGGTCTGCTGCTCCATGACCTCGTGGATGGCTGTGCGGTCGGCCTCGGCCATTTTGTCGAACTCATCAATGCAGCACACGCCCTGGTCAGCCAGCACCAGAGCCCCACCCTCTAAAGTCAGTTCTCCACTCACGGAGTCTCTCAGCACAGCTGCCGTAAGCCCCACTCCCGAGGAGCCCCGGCCTGTTGTGTACTGGCCTGGAAGAAAAGAAATAAGGAACCATAAGAGAGAAAGAACAAGAAGGGGAACAAACAAAGGACAATAAATGGGCCAGGGAGGCAAGGCCTGTGCTGGGATCATTCCACTGCCTCCCCCAGGCCTTCTTGAGACGCCCGAGGATCTGTGGGGGGCTGGCAACGTTCCCCTTCCCCTCCCACCGGTTCTCTTCAGAGCACAACTGTGGCTCACTGACACCTTGGCTCCTGGGCTCAAGCCATCCTCCAGCCTCAGCCTCCCAAGTAGCTGAGACTATAGGCACTCACTACCACACCCAACTAATTTTTAAAACTTTTTAGTAGAGGCCAGGCGCAGTGGCTCACACCTGTAATCCCAGCACTTTGGTAGAGGCCAAGGCAGGCAGATCATGAGGTCAGGAGTTCGAGACCAGCCTGCCCAACATAGTAAAGCCCCATCTCTACTAAAAGTACAAAAATTAGCCAAGTGTGGTGGCACGTGTCTGTAGTCCCAGCTACTCAGGAGGCTGAGAAGGGAGAATCGCTTGAACCTGAGAGGCAGAGGTTGCAGTGAGCCGAAACCACGCCATTGCACTCCAGCCTGGGTGACTGAGACTCCGTCTCAAAAAAAGGAAACAAACAAACAAAAATACCCAAACAAACAAACTTTTTAGTAGACCAGCCTGGTCTCAAACGATCCTTCCGCCTCAGCCTCTCAGAGCATTGGGGTTACAAGTGTGAGCCACCATGCACCCCCATTTTTTGAATAAACACTGTGGCCCTATCTGTCACTATGTTCACCTCTCCCAAGGCCCAACTACTTACTGCGGGGGGCCAGCCGATCAATGTACGACAGGAGTTGAGACTTGGCCACACCAGGATCCCCCATCAGACAGATGTTGATGTTGCCTGGAGGAAGGGAAGGCAGCCCTGGAATGACTCTTCTCCCAATACTTAGACAACAACAGAGCAATTTTGAGTTCTGCCTCCCTCTAACACCCAGCATTACTTCTAAGCCCTCCCTGTGTCCATGAACGCAAGATGTCCACTCTTATACTCTGACCTACAGAGACACTTGTCATCCTTTTTCCCTCCTAAATGACTTCATCCCCCCGAGCCTCTCCCTTTTTCCTTCTTACCCCGGATCTTCATGCCTCGAGGAGACTGGTCCACACCCCCCACTAGCAGAAGCAGCAGTGCCTTCTTCACATCTTCGTGCCCATATATTTCTGGGGCGATTGAAGCTGCCAGCTTTTCGTAGAAATCCTCTTCTGTAGAGAAGTTAAGGTTGTATTTTTTGGGGGAAAAGGGGGCTAGGATGTAAATGGAATTTCCTCTATCTCCCCTGCCCCTCACCTGCAATCTGCCTCAGCTCCTCCCTGCTGAGCTCTCCAGCCCCAGACTCATCATCCTCACTCTTGTTCATCTTCACAATCCGATGGGCTTCCAGGTAGGTTTCTGAGAGTAAACCCTTGGGCAGGAAAATGCCAGGATACAGATGCAATCCCTTCAACTTGCCCATCACTGGATTCCCTAACGATTTCTTGACAAATCCCTGGGTTCTGTTTGGGGTTTTGCTGCCCACTTTTCTCTGTGCGAGTAGAATGAGTAGGTGAGGGAAAAGGGGACGATCCTCATGTCAAACTCTTCCTTACCTGTACCACCTGTCGGAACCCAGTGCGCAGGATTGGCAAGAAGATACCAGTGACGCTGACGTGGTCTCCAGGCTGGGCAATTCTCGTGTTCTCTCCTTCTACCAGCACCGTGATACTACGAGGGATGTTTCCCACGGGCACTTGATCACTCTAGGGGAGAGAAAGGCACATAAGGCCAGGAGAAATGGACGAGGACCCAACCTTCCCTCCCTAGGCATCCCACTCAAAGGCTCCCAGGCTGCCTAGTCACAGACAAGCCCACAGGAGGGCTACTGAGTTTCCCCTTCCCAAGGCTCTCAGAAATTCTAGTTCCACTTCCCTCCTGCACTTCCCTCTTTCGTTCTTCTTTTTTCCTGCCACTCCACAAGTGACTACAGGATTCAAGTGGACTCCCAATCCACCTGCCCAGGGCCACGTACCCCAAACTCACATGTTCTTGCATCTTCATCTCCTGGAATTTGATGAATTTGGAGCCCCGTGTCTGCAGATACAGCCGCCCTCCTGAGCGGTTGGTTTGGCACTCCTGGCTTGGGCACATGATCAGAGGCATGAAAGTTGGAGACTGGATCTAGGATGTGAGAACAGAAGCACCAAAAGGAAGTCAGAAGCAAAAGAGCCCCATTGGGTCGGTCGGTTCCTTGAATCACATTTTCTCTTCATGGCAGACATCTTGGAAGTGTCAAGAACCCTTTGAACTTAACTCTGGGTCAACAACAAACACCCAAGAAATAGGTAGAAAGACCATGACATACCCAACAATGAAAGGCAAACACACAGGCAACTTTTACAAGCAAAGAAAATGATAGGCATCACGGGATCAAATTAATCTCTACAAAACGACTAATGGGTAAGGGCTTTCCTGCTCCTTGCTCCACACGTACCGGCTGGTAGGTCTCTGCCCCACACTGGTCACAAGTGTAAGTGGCCACCACCATCTTGGGTTTGACTTCAGAGACACGAGTGACAATTCCACGCACAGTCACCAATTTCCCCACAGAGTCAGCCCGCACTTCCCGGATCACACGAGGCTTGTTGCTACTTGGGCCTTGAAAATACAGCTCACTAAGGGGAGAAAACAGTCACAAACAAGATCCTGGAGAACCAATCCCTACATACTTCCCAACAGAGACCACTCACAATCTGCGCATGAGTTCAGCAGGGTACTGGTTCTGGGGGCTTCGGGCTGTTCCAGGGTCCCGACTCCGCTGCTCCATCATCAGCCGATGCTCAATGTAAACGTCCAGGACATCTTTATTTACCACCTAAAGGAGGACAAAATAAACAAATAAATAAATAAACGAGCAACAGGATGGGGAAAGGAGAGCGCAGAGAACACGAGACTGAAGTGCCCCTTCTTTCTGCCTGCTCAGAAAACATCAGTATCTGAGCAGCCTCTCTACAGAAGCTTAAATGCCTTTCCCTTTGTTTGCCATTGTTCTCTAGCCACTCACTTCCCTCTCCTTGTACTGAGGCAGCAGCTCTTGTACGGAATCGGCAAAGAGCTTTGCGTAGCGCCTGGCATTCTCACAAATTGAGTCCACCAACTCGGGGTCATCCTCGGCTACGTCGTCCAGGTCCACATACAGAGCCACTTGTTCCCGATGAGCCAGCCGAACCTCAGGTGAGGAAGAGACAGAAACACCTCAAAGCCACATTCACCTTGTGCACCAGTGTTCATATGTGAAGATACATTACTGAGAACTCAGCACAGGCTCTGGGTATCCACAGGGGAGAACACAGCACCACTTAGAGAGATACTTGCTTCTCAGCCCCCAAACCCTCTAATTATTACCTCTTTAATAAAACCAGCCAAGCTACTTCTTATGGCTCCTTATGCACCCCACTTCCCCATTCCCTTTACCCAATCTTATACTTACCAACTGGTTCCCATACTTGAACTGCTTCTTCCCAAGTTCATCATCCTGGTAGAACTCTTGTAAGAACTTCTTAACCTTTTCTGTAACGTGAAATGTAAAATCATAAAACATAAACTTTAAGACACATCACTGCCCATCCCTCTGATAGAAATCTAAGATACCTATTTTCGCTTAAAACACAGCCTATGAACTAATAATATGAACATTTAAATAAACTACCGAATTCTCCCCAAAGTGGGCATAACTCTTTTGCACAGTCTGTTTTAACCAGCGAAGAATAAAGAGCCCGGGGCAGTGCACAGGGCGATCCAACATCTATTCCCCAGGGGAATTCCTGTCCCTACTTTAGTTTAAAATTCTAGCGCCGATCCCCATTGGCCTCCCACACTCCGGCCTCAAGGTTCTCAGCTTTCTTTCCACCCCCATGATCCCCTGCCTTCTTTGGGTCCCCCGAGCCCCTTATCTCACCGAGACCTCCGCCACCAGGCAGGTCCCGCACCCCACCACCGCTCCCGCCAGCGCTTCCGCTCTTAGTAAACAAAGAAGCACATGGGCCCGGATTCCAGCCGCTTCACAGCCCGGGATTCCTCCGCCCGAGGCGGGAGCCAGTTCAGCCATTGGCCAGCACGCCCAGGGCCACTGCGATCCCAGCCCACTGCCGCCTTTCCCGGGCCCGAGCGAAGCTCCCGGATCCCAGGCACGCCCCCCCGGGTCGCAGCTCTCTCCGAGGCCGCCACGCGGAAGGACACTGTTTACACGACACTCCCTCCACCCGCGTCGCGCCACTTCCGCCCGGCTCCACTTCCGCTCGGAGGGCGGCCTCAAACGGCCAATCCCGGCACGCAGCGGCCCCGGCTTGCCCGCCCCCGGGGCCTCCGCGCGCCTCGGGGAGGCGGCGGGAACCTGGGAATATCCAAAAGCGCGGAGGGAAGCGGGTCCGGGGTCCAGAGCCCTTAAAGAGTCTCCTGAGGTCCTCGGCGCGACTCTTCCCTGTGCAGCCCCCAGCCGGGTAGCGCCCCCCAAGCCCCCCAACCCCACGACTCTATAACACCTTTCCCAAGTGGGATTACTACCTTTTCTTCAACGTCGATGCCCCTCGCGCGCCTTCCAGGTCCCGTGGGCCTTAGCCAGGCCGCAACCCGACCCTGCCTCTGGCGTCGCGCGCCCCAGAACCCGCTGACCCCGGTCCTCGAAGACCCCAGCTCACATCAACAGGTGTTCCCCGGGAGGCTCCCCGCGCAGGACGCCCTCCCAGGCTTGTAGACCCGTACCTTTCTCTAGCGCGTAGTCCTTCAGTGCCATCGCTGCCGAGGCCCGTGCGGCAGCTCTTGGCGGGCTCAGAGGTCTTGCTTCTGGGGAAGCTGAGAACGTCCGGGCGGTGGACTGTGGCCGGCCAACCGAAATTGGCGCGAAACGTCGCCCCCCACGTGACCAGCGCCACTGCGTGCGGGCCAATCGGAAAAGCCGGCCCTTTCTCCCTCCCGCTAGCCGCAAGCCAATCGCCGGGCGGGCCTCGAATGAGTGACGGGGAGGCGGTGCGGGAGTCGGAAGGGAATCTCCGGGCGGGGTGGGGCGGGCGCCGGGTTTCCCGCGGTCCAAGCTGGCGCGGGCGGAGGAGAATCGCTCTTAAAGGGCCAGCGCACGCGCGTTCTTTTGTTCCGGGGCCTCAGGGCGGGGCAGGCCCAACTTTCGCCGTCTTCTTGTCTGCTCTCCAGGACGGCCATGATTTCCCAGTTCTTCATTCTGTCCTCCAAGGGGGACCCGCTCATCTACAAAGACTGTATCCTAGACCCTCGGGGCTGGGAAGGGGCGGAGGGACCGGGCGGGAGGGGCGCCCAGGGCCAGCCCGTGTCGCAGGATCCTTCACTGAGTCCTTCTACCCGCCAGTCCGCGGGGACAGTGGCGGCCGGGATGTGGCCGAGCTCTTCTACCGGAAGCTGACGGGACTGCCAGGAGACGAGTCCCCGGTTGTCATGGTAACCACTGGCGGGAGGCGGGTGAGGAGCTGGGCCCGGGCGGGCCGGGTGGGCGCCGTCTCCCTCCCAGGACTGGTTCCATGGTAGCTTCCACTTGGGGGTTGTATTTCTCCAAGTAAAGCTAACAAGAGGCCCGGCGCGGTGGCTCACGCCTGTAATCCCAGCACTTTGGGAGGCCGAGGAGGGCGGATCACCTGAGGTCAGGAGTTCGAAACCATTCTGACCAACATGCTGAAACTCCGCATCTACTAAAAATACGAAAAAAAAATTAGCTGGGCGTGGTGGCGGGCGCCTGTAATCCCATCTACTCGGGAAGCTGAGGCAGGAGAATCGCTTGAACCGAGGAGGCAGAGGTTGCAGTGAGCCGAGATCCGGACACCGCACCCAGCCTGGGTGACAGAGCGAGACTCCTTCTCGGGGTAATGGGAGTGGGGGAAAAAAAAAAAACGTCCATTGGGCGCCAGCAACACACCAGGCCCAGCTCCCTGCGTGACTCCATTATCAGCAACTTGGGGTAGTTACTATAATTAACCCCGTTTCCACATGGGAAGCTGGGCTCAGGGATCTGTCATGTATCTCCCAAACTAGTAAGAGGCATCGGGATCCCAGCTCAGGTCTCCTGGGTTCTGATTACTCCACCTCCCTTTTCCTAACCCCTCTTCTCCCTGCCTGTGTTTCAGCATCATGATGGCCGTCATTTCATTCACATCAGACACAGCAGCCTGTATTTGGTGGTCACAACTTCAGAAAACGTTTCTCCCTTCAGCCTCCTAGAACTGCTCTCCAGGTGAGGAGGGTTGGGCTGGGCACCTGCTAGCTGGCAGGGTTCTCAGAGGAGGAGGAAATACACGCTCCAAGTGTTTCCTCAGGTTGGCCACTCTTCTGGGCGATTACTGTGGCTCCCTGGGCGAGGGGACCATCTCCCGCAATGTGGCTCTGGTCTACGAACTCCTGGATGAAGTGCTGGTGAGAATCAATGATCCCCTTCTGTGGCCCCCACCTAATTCCCCTGGAGATACATCTGCTCTTCTACTGTGGGATGCTGTGGTTAGGCCAAGTCTATTTTTTTTTTTCCTTTTAGAGACGGTCTTGCTCTGTTGCCCAGGCTGGAGTGCAGTGGTGCAATTATAGCTCACTGCAGCCTGGAACTCCTGGGCTCAAGCTATTCTCCTGCCTCAGCCTCCTCCCCTGTGTCCAGCTCATTGTTTATTTTTTGTAGAGACGGGAGTCTCGCTCTGTTGCCCAGGCTGGTCTTGAACTCGTGGTCTCAAACCATTCTCCTATGTCTCGGCCTTCCAAAGACCTGGGAGTACAAGAGTGTGCCACCATGCCTGGCCCCACTCCCCCTTTTTACCCCTTCCCTCCACTGACCACTCGGACTGTCCTTCCTTTACCACTAGGACTATGGCTATGTACAGACCACATCCACAGAGATGCTGAGGAATTTCATCCAGACGGAAGCTGTGGTCAGCAAGCCCTTCAGCCTCTTTGACCTCAGCAGCGTTGGCTTGGTCAGCAGAGGGAAAGAGGAGGGTGAGGAAGGAGAAGAGGGGTTGGCTGGGGTTGTCAGACCTGATGATTGATTGCTTTGGATGCTTTACAGTTTGGGGCTGAGACACAACAGAGCAAAGTGGCTCCCAGCAGTGCAGCCAGCCGCCCTGTCCTGTCCAGTCGCTCTGACCAGGTGAGGGAGGAATCCATGGGGTCAGACCCTCTGGTTTTGCTCTGGGACCCCAGAGTCCAAGATCTTACGTTGGGGCGCAGTGGTTCATGCCTGTAATCCCAGCACTTTAGGAGGCCGAGGTGGGCGGATCTCCTGATGCCAGGAGTTCGAGAGCAGCCTGGCCAACATGGTAAAATCCAAAAATGCAAAAAAAAAGAAAAAGGAAAAGATCGGCCAGGCGCGGTGGCTCAAGCCTGTAATCTCAGCACTTTGGGAGGCCGAGACAGGCGGATCACAAGGTCAGGAGATCGAGACCATCCTGGCTAACACGGTGAAACCCCATCTCTACTAAAAAATACAAAAAGCTAGCCGGGCGAGGTGGCGGGCGCCTGTAGTCCTAGCTACTCAGGAGGCTGAGGCAGGAGAATGGCGTAAACCCGGGAGGCGGAACTTGCAGTGAGCTGAGATCGGGCCACTGCACTCCAGCCCGGGCGACAGAGCGAGACTCCATCTCAAAAAAAAAAAAGATCTTGACACCTCTCCCACCTCCCCTAGATGTGGGTATCCCTTCCATCACCCATGTCCCCACCCTAGAGCTGTAGCTTTGACTGTCCTGTCCTTTCTCCCTGTCTGTCCATTTCAGAACATAGGCTATTCTGCTTCCAACCATCCAAACCCTCTCTCTTTCTCAGAGCCAAAAGAATGAAGTTTTTTTGGATGTGGTCGAGAGATTGTCTGTACTGATAGCATCTAATGTAAGTCTGAGCTCCCAAACCTGGAGCTGAGGACAAATGGGACTTGAGAAACATGGTGGGGTGGTTAAGACTCCCAGCAACGGCCACACAGTGGCTCATGCTTGTAATCCCAGTGCTTTGGGAGGCCGAGGTAGAAGAATTATTTGGGGCCAGGAGTTTGAAACCAGCCTGGGCAACATAGCCAGACCCCGTCTCTACAAAAAATACAAATAAACAAGTTACCCAGGCATGGTGGTGTACACCTGCTGTCCCAGCTACTTGGGAGGCTGAGGCAGGAGGATCATTTCAGCCTAGGAGGTTGAGGCTGCAGTGAGCCGAGATTGAGCCACTGCACTCTAGTCTGGGTGACAGAGCAAGACCCTATCTCTTTAAAAAAAAAAAAAAAAAAAAAAGGCGGGGCACGGTGGCTCCTACCTGTAATCCCAGCACTTTGGGAGGCCGAGGTGGGTGGATCACTTAAGGTTAGGAGTTTGAGACCAGCCTGTCCAACACGGTGAAACTCTATCTCTACTAAAAATATGAAAATTAGCCATGCATGGTGGCAGACATCTGTAATCCCAGCTACTTGTGAGGCTGAGGCAGGAGACTCTCTTGACCCTGGGAGGTGGAGCTTGCAGTGAGCCGAGATCACGCTGCTGCCAGCCTGGGCGACAGAGAGAGACTGTCTAAAAAAAAAAAAAAAAAAAAAAAAAAAAAAGACTCTAACCTTGATTCCCCTGCCTCTCAGGGCTCCCTGCTGAAGGTGGATGTGCAGGGAGAGATTCGGCTCAAGAGTTTCCTTCCCAGCGGCTCTGGTGAGGCCTCTGCAGGCGGGACCCAGGGTTGGGGTTAGGGCAGGTTCCTTGGTGTGTTAAACCGTGGAGTTTGCTGAGCTCCCCTGATGTTCTCTCCTCCAACAGAGATGCGCATTGGCTTGACGGAAGAGTTTTGTGTGGGAAAGTCAGAGCTAAGAGGTGAGGAAAAAGTGGGTCTTTCTCCCCTTGGAGTAGGTCATTGCTGGAGAGTTCATGGAGGGAAGTCAGAGATGGAGCCTCCCCACTTCTTGCTCCTCTCCCAAAACATGGGTCAGGAGTGAAGTCTCTCCCTCTCTTTCCAGGTTATGGGCCAGGAATCCGGGTCGATGAAGTCTCGTTTCACAGCTCTGTGAATCTGGATGAGTTTGAGTCTCATCGAATCCTCCGCTTGCAACCACCTCAGGGCGAGGTCAGGGTTGGGGTGGCCTCATAAATTCCATCCACCATGGGGAAGGGGGGCAGTGGGGGCATGAGACCAAACTAACCTTGTTGCTCTCTGGTCTCTCAGCTGACTGTGATGCGGTACCAACTCTCCGATGACCTCCCGTCACCGCTCCCCTTCCGACTCTTCCCCTCTGTGCAGTGGGACCGAGGCTCAGGCCGGTGAGACCATTTCCTGGGTTCTAGAACTACCTTGGAACCCAAGCCGAGACCTGTATGTTCCCAAGACTCACTGCAGAGTGGGGGTGGTGGTAGTGGTGATGGAGTGCAAATTGGAAAAAGGCTTGGGCTGGGCGTGGTGGCTCACACCTGTAATCCTAGCACTTTGGGAGGCTGAGATGGGAGGATCACTTGAGCCCAGGAGTTCCAGACCAGCCTGGGCAACATAGCGAGACCCTGTCACTCTGGAAAAAAAAAAAAAGGAAAAAGGTTTGGCTAATGGAGTTGGGCTGGACTTCAGCCCTTTTCTCTCTTGGGGGTACAGCCCATACCCACACAGCCCCGCATGGAGGCCCCTGGTGAGGAATGGTGAGATGCCAGTAAGAGATGGCCTGAGTCATGGTGTTTTACCCTCTCATCCAGGCTCCAGGTTTATCTGAAGTTGCGATGCGACCTGCCCTCGAAGAGGTAAGAGTGAGGCCGGCGCCTGGCCGAGTTCAGCTCTGTGGGACAGGAGACAGGGCCAGGGCACCTGCTACTTCTCCCTTCAGATGCAGCTGCCAGCCTCAGAATCCAGTTAAGGTAGAGGCTGTAGCATTTGGGAAGGTGGGGGACACCTGTGCTGAAATCCTGTTGTGACATTGAAGAGGAACAGGACAAGGGACCGTGCCTTCCTGGGGCTGACTTTGTTCCTGTCTCCTCTGTAGCCAAGCCCTCAATGTCAGGCTGCACCTTCCCCTGCCTCGAGGGGTGGTCAGGTGAGTGTGTGCACCCACCACAGGGAGATTCCTGGGGAGAGAGTGAGCTCAGCACGACAGGCCTGCCCCAAGAAGGCGCCAAGCCCAGCACCTTCCCTTTCCAAACTCCAGCCTGTCTCAGGAGCTGAGCAGCCCAGAGCAGAAGGCCGAGCTGGCGGAGGGAGCCCTTCGCTGGGACCTGCCTCGGGTGCAAGGAGGCTCTCAACTCTCGGGCCTTTTCCAGGTATTCGCTGTGGACCCCCGGCCCCTCTCCTCCCACCATCACTTAACAGCCCCCCTACACTCCCGAAGCAGTGCTGCCTGGTCCCCCCAGCGTGGTCAGCTTCCTGCCCTCTTTCCTCCCCCTGCCTCTGCCCCTCACAGATGGACGTCCCAGGGCCCCCAGGACCTCCCAGCCATGGGCTCTCCACCTCGGCCCCTCCTCTGGGTCTGGGCCCGGCCAGTCTCTCCTTTGAGCTTCCCCGGCACACGTGCTCCGGCCTCCAGGTTCGATTCCTCAGGCTGGCCTTCAGGCCGTGCGGCAATGCCAACCCCCACAAGTGGGTGCGACACCTAAGCCACAGCGATGCCTACGTCATTCGGATCTGAGGCTCCCCAAACGAGGACACGGCAGCCAAGGCGGCAGTTTGTCCCACGGAAGGACAGTCTTTTTCTTTTCCAGCCTCCTGGTCTTGGGACTCTCAATCTGGGCAGGAAGAGTCCTCAGTCCCGAGAGACCAGGATGGGGCAATGGGCCCAGCCTCTCTGTGGTATCTGATGCAGGAAGGACTGCAGTGGATCGGAACTTACAAACCAAACTTTTATTCTGAGGAACTGACTGTACAATATCTAAAAAGAAAGTGACATGAAAGGAAGCAATCTACAACTTCCTTCCGCTTAGTATGCATGCACGTGTGTACATGTCTGCATGTGTGGGAATCTGGGGGCTGGCAGGTGGAGCATCACGAAGCAGGCTGAGGGGAGCCAGAGTTGGGGGGCTGGGAGCCATTCGCTTTTGGAGTCCCTGGAGCTGGAGGGGGACTGTCCCCAGCTTCCTGCTTCCCCCCGCAGAGGGCACTGCTGCTGAGTGGAGAGGGGGATGATGCCGGTGGAGGAACTGGAGAAGGATGGGAAACGGGGCCTCCTTTGCCCTCCCCTGTTGGGGGAAGTGAGACCACAATATACTTCTGGACACTCCCGGGACCAGAAGGAGCAGTGCTGGGGGGTGCGGTGGTGGCGGTGGAGACCAGCTTGACGATGGGCTGCACACTGGGGACGGTGGTGGTGACGGGCGAGGTGGTGGTGGAACCTGAGCCAGGGGCCGAGGTGCTGAGGGACAGGACCTGGATAGAAAGGAAAAGCGGGTCCGCTTGCCCTGTGCCCTCCCTGCCCCTCAGAGGCCTGGCGGGGACACTTCACTTGCTCCCTGCCTGAACAAGTTATTCCTGTAGTTGACCCCATAGACAGCTGTGGCTGGAGACCTTGCTCATGCAGGGCAGCTACGGCCCTGCAGAACCGTGGTGGGTGCCTCTTTCAGCTCCTGACTTTGGGCCCAGAGGGGACTGTGCTCTACTCCTGGGCCTCCCTAGGGTGCTGTGAGGCAACCTGGGCCCTCCGGATGCTCCCTGTCCCACACAGCTCTGCATACCTGCTGGGTGGATGGGGCGCTGGAGGACGACGACATTACAATAAACTTGGTTGGAGGAGGGGAAGGCTGTGGTGGGGCAGCTGCTCGCGCAGACACCAGTGTCTGGACAGGAAGTGCGATGGAGCCAGGAACCTTCAGCAAGCCAGGGGTGCGAGGGCCAGGCTGAGGGGCCTGCGAGAGGGTCAGCGTGGGCCGGGGCTGTGGGGAGAAGAGGAAAGGGGATGTGGCAGCATCTACTAAGAAGAGTCTGAAGGGAGAGGCCTGGGCTCCCCTTGCTCTTAGTGGCTCTCACTGGGGCTGGGCATCCTCACTCAGGGCCTGGTTGCCCTGAGACGGCTGACTTGGGGCCCGCGTGGCTGTGTGAATGCCCGTCCCACACTGGGGTCCTCCTCCACCTCCTATTCCTCCTCCCCACCCGGCCACGGACCTGCGTGATGGTCAGAGTGGTCCTGTTAACCTGCTGAGCCTGCAGAGCAGCCTGGGCCCGAGCCTTGACCACATGGGAGCAGAGGAGGGGCCCAAGGGACCCGAATTCTGCCCGATAGGCATCCTGATTGTCAGGTGGTGGGCGCAGCTTTGCCAGAACAGGGGCACAGTGTTTCTGCAGACAAAAAAAAGCCAGGTAGAGGGAGGGCTGGTGACACTCTGAGAAGAGCCTTGGGGATGCAATAAAAAAGGACATTCCTTATCATCTCAGTGACCCTGATGGAGGCCAAACCATGCTGAGCTGTTAGTGTGTGTACAGAACACTGTGGGCTTGCTCAAAACAAAAGATGGGCACGGGGCCAGGTGCGGCATCTCACGCCTGTATCCCAGCACTTGGGAGGCTGAGGCGGGCAGATCACTTGCGGTCAAGAGTGTGAGACTAGCCTGGCCCAAATGGAGAAACCTTGTCTCCACTAAAAATACAAAAACTAGCCAGGCATGGTGGCACGCACCTATAGTCCTAGCTACCAGGGAGGCTGAGGTACTAGAATGCTTGAACCCAGGTGGTGGAGGTTGAAGTGAGCAGAGGTTGCATCACTGCACTCCAGCTTGGGTGACGGAGTAAGACTCAGAAAAAAAAAAAAAAAGAATGGCTGGGCGTGGTAGTTCATGCCTGTAATTCCAGCACTTTGGGAGGCTGAGGCTGGCAGACCACCTGAAGTCAGGAGTTCGAGACCAGCCTGGCCAACATGGTGAAACCCTGTCTCTACTAAAAATACAAAAAATTAGCCAGGCATGGTGGCACATGCCTGTGGTGCCAGCTACTCGGGAGGCTGAGGCACAAGAATCGCTTGAACCTGAGAGGCAGAGGTTGCAGTGAGCCTGAGATCATGCCACTGCACTCCAGCCTGGGTTACAGGGTTAGACTCCCATCTCAAAAAAGAGAGAGAAAAAAAAAATGAAAACATGGGCATTAACATGTGAATGAACTTGCTAAATACTGTGGCAGGACAGTTAATCAAGAGGGCATTTGCTTTGTACAGAGACCACACAGTAACACAGAAGCACTGGGGAAGGATGGTCCAAATGCCAAAGGCTGAGCATGTGAGCCCTTCTTTCTTTTTGGAGGAGTGGTGGTCTCCCTCTGTAACCCAGGCTGGAGTGCAGTGGCACAATGATAGCTCACTGCAGCCTTGAACTTCTGGGTTCAAGCAGTCTTCCCACCTTGGCCTCCCTAGCAGCTGGGACCACAGGCACATGTCACCACTCCCAGCTTTTTGTTTTTCGTAGGCGGGGTCTCGCTACATTGCCCAGGCTGGCCTCCTAGGCTCCCAGAGTGCTGGGATTACAGGCGTGAGCCACCACGCCCAGCCAGCCCCCTTATTTTTTACTCAGCTTGAGTCTCAGTCTTTCCATCTGTAAAATAGTATCAGACTTTGCAGTATGTTCTGAAAACAGGAGGCAAAGATGGGAGTAGGTGAATAAAATACGCCATATGCTTGCTAAACGCCGGCTGTCTCTCGGGGGGTCGGGGGCGCAGGTGCAGGGACAGGGGCTTCGGTTACCAGCAGAAGGCTCTGCACATGGTCTGCTCCAATCCGGTCAATGTTGCTCAACACAGGGCCGTCCAGCACACTGCGGATCCGCTCCCCTTCCTGCTGTAGCCGGGGCAGAATCAGAGTCTTGATAACCTGTTGGAAGGGAAAGGAAGAAACCAAAGCCGGAGGGTCACCAGGGTCTCCCAGGTGGGGGCACAGTGCCCTCTATAACCTCATGACTGCGTCCCCTCCCCCATTTCTTCCTCCCAGAGGCCTAACATCGTGTCCCAGCTCAGCCAAGCCTGCGATGGAGCCATAACGAGTCGTCCAGGGCGTCTTCTCGTCCACCCAGCTCTGTAAGGGGAAGGAAATAAACTAAGATGAAGGGGTCTGAAAGGATGATTGATAGGGACCCACGTCTTTCATAGACACTTTCCTTGTAAATCATTAAGACATGACAGTGAGGCCAGGCGCGGTGGCTCACGCCTGTAATCCCAGCACTTTGGGAAGCTGAGGCAGGCAGATCACCTGAGGTCAGGAGTTCGAGACCAGCCTAGTTAACATGGTAAAACCCTGTCTCTACTAAAAACACAAAAATTAGCCAGTTGTGGCCAGGCACAGTGGCTCACACCTGTAATCCTGGCACTTTGGGAGGCCGAGGCAGGCAGATCACCTGAGGTCGGGAGTTCTAGACCAGCCTGACCAACATGGAGAAACCCCGTCTCTACTAAAAATACAAAATTAGCTGGGTGTGGTGGCACATGCCTGTAATCCCAGCTACTCAGGAGGCTGAGGCAAGAGAATCGTTGGAACCCAGGAGGCGGAGGTTGCAGTGGGCCGAGATCGCATCATTGCACTCCAGCCTGGACAACAAGAGCAAAACTCCGTCTCAAAAAATAAATAAATAAATAAATTAGCCAATTATGGCTGCAGGCACCTGTAATCCCAAGTACTCAGGAGGCTGAGGCAGGAGAATTGCTTGAACCCAGGAGGCAGAGGGTGCAGTGAGCAGAGATCGCACCACTGCACTCCAGCCTGGGCAAGAGTGAGACTCCATCTCAAAAAAAAAAAAAAAAAGGCATTACAGACAAGCCTCAAGGCCCTTAGAGCCCCACAAGTTCCAGTCCCTCTTCCCTCTGCCCTTGTTTCCAGTGTCACTTCCCCCAACCAGAGGTGGCCAGTGATGAAACCAATGGTGCTCAAGTTTCCCTGGCTCACCTTGGTGAAGGTCTTGGTGATTCGGGACTGGATGTTGTTAGTGGTTGTGCTAAAATGCTTGCAGATCTGGGCCACCAGGCGGGCAGCAAAGTCTCGAAGTGCCCAGTGATTGTCCACATCTGGTCGCAGGCACAGCTGTCTGCTCACGATGCAGGTCATCACAGCCGGAATCAGCTCATGGACCTAAGGGAGAAAGGGCGGGGCAGCTGATTCTGGTTTTGTTTGTTTGTTTGAAACAAAGTCTCACTCTGTCACCCAGGCTGGTGTGCAGGGGCACAATCATGGCTCACTGCAGCCTCAATCATCTAGGCTCAAGCAATCCTCCCATCTCAGCTTCCCAGGTAGCTGGGACCACAGGTATGCACCACCATGCCTGGCTAATTTTGTTTTTGTTATCTTTTTTTGTAGAGACAGTAGTCCTACTACTATCCTCAGGTTGTCCTCAAACTGCTGAGCTCAAGCGATCCTCCCATCTCGGCCTCCCAAAGTTGCTGGGATTTCAAGTGTGAGCCACCGCTGACCACTGACTTCCTGTTGGTGGCAGCAGGGTCCCTGGTCCCTGGAAGGGAAGGTGGGCAGGACCACTCACGTATTTTTCTAGATAGAGCGTGGGGTTGTCCATCAGCGCCTTCACCATACGCATCAGGTAGATGAGTAGGGCCAGGTTGTTCTGAACCACATTCACACGGACCTGCGGGAGGGAGGAGTGCTGGGCATGGGGCAGGGAGACCCTCACAGGAGCTTCCACTGCCGTCCCTGCACAGTGGAACCTCATGCTCTCACCCCCTCCGAGATGAAGGTACTGAACCGTGGCAGCATCTGATACAGCCCGGGGTCCGTGGCAATGCTTTGCAGGGCTTCCTGTGGGAGGAGGGAAGCCAGTCAGGTGGGGGTAGGATGTGGGGAGCAATTCATAGGACCCCCAGGAGGAGGAGTCTCAGGGCCAGGGCAGGCTGGTGGGGCCCTCACCGCCCTCTTGGCCTCGCAGGAGCCCACACAGGCCTCGGTGATCTCCTTGTAGTAGAGCTGTTGCTCCACAGACAACTCATGGATGCTCCGGGGCTTCAGTCGCAAGGGGGCCCCCTCCAGCAAGGGCGGTGCCTTCTTCTCTTTCCCTGTGTGATTGGATAGGTGGGTCTGACAAAGAAAGCTCCAGAAGAAACCTCAGTAACAGAAGAACCTTAACCCTCCACTTCCCCTGAGACTCAGGAGACCCAGCTTCTTCTTAGGCTTCCCCATCCT